TGCTTAGACTCTTGGCACTCTTAGGTGAGCAGACTTAGTCAGCCTGTGTTGCCCTAACACTAGGTATGCCCTTGTAACAATTGTCATGTGCCATGAGTGCATGTTTATCCAAGAAATAGCAAGTGTACTCACACAAGGAGGTGGTTGCTTCAGCAATGGCAGTCTATGTCTCATTTGGGGCATGGCTGAGCATGTGAATGGGCTGACTAATATGTGTAATTTCTCATTAAAAAAGCTGGAATACAGCTGGAATCTCAGGGTCCCCATGTCACATCACAAATCTGTGTTGGGGGCAGGCAGACACAAACCTGCTTTGCTCCTGAGGGGGCTCAGGTGGACTGTGCATGCAAGTCGAGTTAATTCCTCTGATGACCCCTCTGGGCTCAATTTCCTGCAATGACCCCTCTGGAGCAGCATTAGGGACACATTTGGCTTCTGAAGCTGAATAAAAAGGGTGTTTGGGAAAATAAGTAAATCAGGGGTCCTGCCCAAGCCTGTGATAACATTCACCCAAAAGTGCATATATCAACAAAATTGAAAATTACAGAAACAGTGGGCAACAAAAGTAACAAGCACACAGTAGATGATGGTGTTATTTGTTCTCTTTTTTCTCCCTATCACTGAGAGGTCTCTGTCAAATCTTGTCAATCTGTGACTTGCAGGACCCCAACTTTGTTCTCTTAGCATATGTGCCCTATTTTAACTTCAGAAGTGCAAATGTATCCCTAATGCCATGGCAGAGGGGTCATTGAGGGGATACAGGGTCCTGAGGGCCATTCTGGCGACTTTGCCTCCGAATTGGGGTCATCGGAGGAATTAATTCCACGCAAGTCGACACAATCCCCTCCCCCTCCTCTGTGACTCTTGAACTATCTCTCTCTTCCTCGATTATAGTAACAATCATATATCATCCGGCCATCGAAGGCGGCGCACTTATCTTATCCATACCGAGACCCTCGTATACCCACTATGTCTTGGAAGATTGGGAAAAGTATGTCGAGGGGTGTGTGAGTCACAACCCCAAGTTAATCGGGAATTGCAGAGATCAAAGACGCGACGCTTTCTACCAAATCGTCAAACCCGTCCCTAACTGCGAGTGCTGATATCAGTCGATCAACCACCCCGACTCCTGGCAACGTGAATGGGTCGTTCGACAAGGCCTCTGTGAGCCGCTCTGGTCTGTTAACTGTCTGTGTTGCCCAAGCTCGCGGCCTTTCCCTTCCCAACGGCGTCCCATTGCCGTCAGCGGTCGAAAAAGCACTCAGATCTCAAGAGGCTCAGGTGGCGTCCAGTGTATCGGCCGCAAGTGTAAGCAAGCAGCAGCAGCAAGCTCGCTCGTCAAAGAACCGGGAGAGCCTTCAGCGAAAGCAGGTCTGGTGGCTTCCGTATGTCATCATCGAGTTCGATAAAAATGAAATCCTACTTGATGCATTGGGAGGTGACATCGCGGGACCGATTTGGATGTATCGAACGCACTTGTGAGGTTATTCTGACTCTACGCGCAATACCGTGAACTGATCATCCGCATAGCGATGTGTCCCGATCCGGCGAGGTTTCCTTACAATTATACTTGAGATCTGGCGCCGGTGACGCGGTTAACGATGCTGGCGTGGATTCCATGGGCAAATCTGATCTCTACTTGGGAGGCGTCAAGTTCATGCCTGATTTCGAAACGGCCAGCACCAGAGTTATCAACGAATGGATTCCCCTTACGGGAGGGTCAGGTGAAGTGAACTTGCAGATCATGTACAAATCGATTAGCCAGGTGAGATTTGCGTTTATGATCATGATCTCACTGATTGAGCATCGCCTACAGGCTGTGCCGCTTACTATTCATTCGTTTGAGCTGCTTCAGGTGGTTGGGAAAGGAAGCTTTGGCAAGGTTGGGATGTATTACCCTCCTGAAGCGCTCACATTGACCACCCAGCAGGTTATGCAAGTTCGCAAACGAGACACGGGTCGAATTTATGCTTTGAAGACAATACGCAAAGCTCACATCGTGAATAAATCGGAAGTCACACATACATTGGCAGAGCGAACGGTCCTCGCCCAGGTCAACAACCCCTTCGTCGTTCCCCTCAAGTTCAGCTTCCAATCCCCTGAAAAGCTATATCTTGTGCTAGCCTTTGTCAACGGTGGCGAGCTCTTCCACCATCTTCAGCGCGAGCAACGATTTAGCGAGGAGCGCAGCAGGTTTTACGCTGCTGAGCTATTGCTGGCGCTTGAACATCTCCATGACTTCAACGTGGTATATCGTGACTTGAAGCCCGAAAATATTCTTTTGGACTACACGGGTCACATAGCCCTTTGTGATTTCGGACTCTGTAAGCTCAACATGACCGACAATGAAACCACCAACACGTTCTGTGGAACCCCCGAGTACTTGGCTCCTGAACTATTGACAAACCAAGGCTACGCTAAAACAGTGGACTGGTGGACACTTGGTGTTTTGCTTTACGAAATGATGAGTGCGTCATCTTTCTGTTGGCACTCAAAGAGAACTGAATGCCCTGATACCTGTGCCCAGCTGGCTTGCCTCCCTTCTACGATGAGAATACACCCGAGATGTACAAGAGGATCATGTATGATCCTCTCGTATTCCCTGACGACATGGGTGCAGAAGCTCGCAGCATTCTCACGGGCTTGTTGAACAGGGATCCATCGAGACGACTTGGTGTGAATGGGGCACAGGACATCAAAGCACATCCCTTCTTCAGTCGGCATATCGACTGGAAGAAACTCGCGGCGAAGCAGATACAGCCTCCCTTCAAGCCAAGTGTGGTGAGCTGGCTTTGGATGAGCAGAAGGCGTACAATGCTTATTTTGATATAACAGGCAAGCGCAATAGACACCAGCAACTTCGACCAAGTCTTCACGTCTGAGGAACCACTGGACAGCGTCGTAGCGGATTCACAGCTTTCGTCCACAGTACAAGCCCAATTCGCGGGGTTTTCATATGATGGTAGAGGTGACGAGATGGCGCAGAGTGTTCAGACCGGTATTTGATTGCAGTTCGCTCTTCTTTTATATGCCGTACAACTGTTTATGTGCTGTGAAACATTACCACGAATACCGTCCAAGTGCGAAGCAGACCGATCAAGATGACATGAACTATTCTCCATTCCTATTACTCGACGGACACATTGACAATTTTGATGTCCTCGTACGGCTTGTCCACTTTGTCGGTTTTTACATTCTCTATGACATGAACAACTTCGAGGCCGTGAACAACACGTCCAAATATGGTGTGTTTGTTGTCCAACCAAGGGCATACGGTTGTAGTAACAAAAAATTGTGATCCTGCGCATAACATCAGCCCTGCACTTGGGCAGATATTCTGACCGACCATTAGTGTTAGGACCTGCGTTTGCCATGCTTACTGTGTACGGCCTTGAAACGGCAGGCTTTCAGTGATATCACAGTACCTTCAGAAAGCGGACCAACCTATCATGCCGTAAAGCTGGAGTGAATTCATCTTCGAATTCCGTGCCCCATATTGACGTCCCTCCTGTCCCGTCTCCCAGTGGATCACCGGTTTGAATCATCTTCCGTTCATCAGAAAGACTCATGTGAGGGCAGAGCACTTACGCACAAATTTGGGAATAACCCGATGGAAGATGACACCTTCAAAATATCCAGATTTGGCATGGCCGACAAAATTTTCCACAGCCTTGGGAGCATACTCGGGGAAGAGGCGGATGTGGATGTCACCTAATTCGGTATGTATGACAGCTTGCGTGGCCAAAACAGCTGTCTTCTTGATCGGTATGGAAGCAGCCATTGTCTGCTCATCTCGGGTAGGGCGTTCGTTCAAGACATCACGATCGCCTTGGCCTTTGACCTCTCTTTACGCAAATCAGTGGCAGTCCCAAAATAGGTGTGGATGCTTGCACGCACTCGGGTTCTAGACGCCCAAACATATAAAACCGACCTCTTTTGAAGGCAGTACAGAAAAGAGTTGGGTCGCGTGTCTCCTTAGCTTCTAATATGGGGTTTGCCGACGCTGCCATGGCCTTCACATGTCAAGGAAGTCAAACTGCGAGGACTCGAACTCACGGCAGTGACAAAGCCTTTCTTCTCGGGGGCGCCTTGATAGAGACTTAAATTCAGCCAGCGCAAAGTTTCGTCCTTTCCAAGCAGCCGAACCACGCGATTAGTGACGATGTTGATGACTGACAAGATGGTGGGTTCATATACAACGCGGTCAATGCACACATGACATACCTTTTATGCCAAGTAACGTCGCATATAGCACGAAGTTCCCACTTTCGTCCCAGACCGCGTTGGCAGTTGCAGCTGCCTTGACATCCTTCTCCAGCTCTCTCTCAGCTGCTAACCTCCGACCAAATTCCATGTCCTCCACCTTGGAAACAGCTGTCTCAGCCTGTTGCATCTCTTGTATCGCTGAAAGAGATTCATCGTACTTTCTGACCATTTTCCCGGTCAGGAAGTTGAAAATACGTATCTGCCTATCTGACATGGATAACACAACAAAATGTGACGAGTCCGGTGAGAGTGTAAGGGAAGTGGGGAGGCTCTTCGTCTGCTATGAATCAGCTCCCTGTTTCCACACGGCAAGATCAGAACACACCCTCTTAAACTCATACAAGTCTGTATTGCTCTTGAACTGCCAAAGGCCGGATATGGTTTTTGGCAGGCTCCACGGTTCTTGTGGTTGCCAGTATTCCACAAATCCCCCCTCGTCGGCGGAAATGACGATGTCATACTTATCCGAGTACTGTGGGGTCGTAAGTCTTTGAAACACTGCTGGAATCATACAGACGTGCGGTCATCATATGTACTGGGGAGCGATGCAGCGAATTGACACTGTCGAATGGCTGGCCGTCCCCACGACCATCGTAGAAGCGAATGGTGCTATTTCCTCGCTCGGATCTATGCAACGTTGTCAATCTTTGAGCATAATGACAAATCTAACCGGCTCGCACACAGCCAATATGGATCTTCCTTTCCCTGTTCCGTGCACCCAGCAGCAAGACAAGGGTGTAAACCCGAGTTTGATCATATTAATCATGTCTGAATGAAGGCTCAATACTCATACGGTAAGAGGGCTGACCGGCCTACCGAAATTGACAACATCGAATACTTTCGCAGTACCATCCTCAGCGACGCTCGCGTACAGATTGCCATCGGCACTAGCGGAAACCGCCACAATCGCAGTCAGGTGTGCTCGATAATGTTTGACGAACTCGACGCCCGTCTGCTGCTTCTTCCAGAATTTCACATGACCGTCCACGGAAGTGGTAATGATGAACTCGGTCCTACAATGGCGTGAGAAAGGCGTGCATCATTTGGCCCCTGCTCACTTTGTTACAGTGACAAAGTTGACGAAGTCGCGATGCATGAAACTTTTCCAATATCTGTCTGCGGTGGGTAGATGTTCCAAGAAAAGGCTTTCATGTGGTAGCACTTAAGGTTTTGAGCTATCAATTTGACAGAATGGACAGCATAGCAAAGAGGACAAACGTTTTCTCTTCTTCCGAGGCCCTTCACCAAGCGGCATGGGCATCGGGCCAATCTCGTCTTGCTCATCGTCTTGCTCATCCTCATTGTCAGCCTTTGAAGGATGATAAACGCCGTCCCTGAGAGTGTTATGGTCATGGCTGGACGTTAAAGAGCTCACTTCCTCCCCTTCGACCTGTCGGGGACGTTTGTGGGATATGTTGGAGTCCATTCTTTGGAGTGGAGAGAGTGGCGACGACATGGACGCGCACGTGGACACCCGAAATGGGCCGGGGGCAATATTGTCCGAAGAGGTGTTTTTCCAGAAACCGCCCCAACTTTGCTCCCATCCACCACCACTCCAACGTCCTCATCGCTATCATCATGTCTGTTCCTCAACCTGTCCCCCCTTCCTGGAAGGTACGAGCATATGTTTCTGCTGCTTGTGTTTTTGGTTTTTACGGTGGTGGCAGGACCTTGGCAAGTCTGGCAACGACCTGCTCGGGAAGGACTACCCCATCTATGGCACCAACCTGGAAGTCAAGACTCGCACGCCATCAAATGTCACATTCAAAGTCGCCGGTCTCCGTGATTCCAAGTCCACCGCCATTAACGGTGATATCGAGGCCAAGTATGTGGACGCCAAGAACGGTGTCACCTTCACACAAGCCTGGACAACTGCGAACGTGCTCAAATCCCAGGTCGAGCTGGAGAATCAGATTGCGAAGGGCCTTAAGATCGATCTGAACGCCTCCCTTCTCCCTGACAAGGCTGAGAACAACAAGAGCGCTCAGATTGGCATAGTCTATAAACAGCCTGCCCTACATACCCGTGCTGTTCTGGATCTTTTCAAGGTATCATCAGTATCAGTGCTTTGTACGATGCTTGACCGTGCTGATGCTTCCTTGAGGGTCCCACATTCACTGCGGACACCGTTGTTGGCCGTGATGGTTTCCTTGTTGGCGCGGAGGCGTCCTATGATGTGACGAAGGGAATGGTTACCCGCTACGCCGCTGCTGTTGGGTACAGCGCTCCGGAGTATGCCGTCACCCTTCATGGCCTGGGCAACTTGAGCACATTTGCTGCTTCTTACTACCACAAAGTGAACCGTGACGTTGAGGCCGGCGCCAAGGCTATCTACGACACGAAGTCCACTCATGGTAATGTCAACCTTGAAGTCGGTGCGAAGGCGTGAGTGAAATTTTCGCCGACCTTCGGTCTCCTAAAGCTCGTTATAGTTATCTCGATACCTCGGCGTTTGTCAAAGCGAAGATCAACAACGCTGGAGTCCTCTGCCTGGGATATACGCAAGGACTCCGTCCTGGAGTGAAGGCTTCTTTTGGTCTTGCTCTGGACACTCAAAGGTTGAACGATACTGCTGGCGGCCAGCCAGCTCACAAGGTTGGTGCTAGCTTCACATTTGAGGGATGAGAGGAGTTGGACGGACTGGGGGTTTAAAAAAACTGCCCTTTTGCCTCATACCCTAAAACATTGTTGAATAAGCTATTTCATTTCGGTTGTTGTCCGAATGCAATGGTAGATCCCCCAGTGCTGTGATGTGCCGAGGACTGAATGATCAATGAATGACCCGGCCGGTGGTTGGAGTCGGAGGTAAATGACAGAAGACATTCGAAGCATAGCTGTCTGCTGGAACGCGTTGCAACGGTGCTCGAGTAGTTTTATAGTTTCTCCTTGCGTCCTGCGCTCGTAGCGTCTTCACCCAGCAAGCAGTTTTTTTCGACCTATTTCATACCACCACCCGGGCACTTTCTTTCATTGCCTTGTTCACGCTCTAGACCTACTCAGCGCACCGTCATTATGGATAGTTTTAACCACTCCCATTCATCGGTCCCATCGATGCCGAGCATCATAAATACATCCCGGCCCCTTTTCGCTGGGGCCGCTCAGAACGCTGCGCCGTACTCTAGGTCCACAACCCCGTCTGGAAGCTCTCATTATAAGACGCCTGCCGAAACAGCCGAAAGTGCGAGTGCCGTGTTACTTATGTTTGCACCACTGATGTTGTCTTACCAGACGGGGACGACGATGACATTCCTCTCGCAGATCGGATTCCGACCGCTCTTGCTGCACAGAAGTCCATCCGCGTTTCCGCTCGTTCCTCTGCTCGACGTCCTCCAAAACTCAAGTCATCAGTCGTCGCCCTTCCTTCACAGATAGAAGTCGAAGGGGGGAAGCCGCCGCCTTCTCCAGGACTACCGGCCGAGGAACTCATGCAGAAGCTTATGGATTTACAGGTTCAGCATAGTCTACCTGCATCGAAGAACGATGCGAGTCCCCCGGTGAAAAGGCTTACGGCACGAGAACCAGCCGGTTCAGCATACACATCAATCGTCTTGCGTCCAGTTGCTACCACTATACCCAGTCGTGAGCAGAGCCGACCAGCGGTCTTGCAGCGGTCCGAAGACAAGAGAAAAGGCCCCATCACCAGCCCCACGATATCTGAGTTCCAAAGTTCTATCGCTCCTGGGTCACGACACGCGGTTATGACTCAAGGTGCACCAGCTCCTATCGTGGCTCTTCCCCGGTCTTCCGAAATGCCTTCTCGAGTTGTGTCTCGAAATGGTACCATGCGTCAACAGCAGTCGCGTCCTTCAGATGAAGCACAAATAACGCAATCAGAATCGCGGGCGGATAGTGACACGAACACACGATCATTGTCAAGATCAAATACAAAGAAAAGTCACATTGATCCGCAATCGAAATCTTGCGCTTTCTCTTCGGCGGGATTCTCAGATAACCATGTGGCGGGACCACCACAAGCGTATTTTGGGCCGCCACAGTTGGACATTCTGTTCACGGTTGACGTCCATGTTCTCAATTTGCGAACAGTCGTTAAGATTGATGTTGACGCATCTACCACCGCTAAGTCTGCTTTGGACATCGTCATGAAGCAATCCAGAGCAACCACGCGAGATATTCCTGCGCAGCAAGACGTTACTCTTTGGGAACTTGTGAATGACTTTGGGATGGGTGAGAGTTTGCCCGTGTTTTGCAGGATTGGACCTGAGACGATGGCACAGAACGACCTGTACGAGAATTCGAGCATCTCAGGAAGGTGTGTGAGGCATGGGACATGCAACGACCTGTGAACGCCTTTATGTTGAAGCATTGGGGGAGAGCCAGTTTGCTCAGTAGCAAGGTGACTGGATTTCACCCCCACATGTATCCGCCGTATGACACGAGAACATTAAGGCACTATTTTCCCCAACTCCAACCGCGCAAAGCGAGGTTCAGTGGCAAGCAAAACCTGGCAAATGGTCTAAACGGCATCTCTATCTTTATGATGGTAATTTCTACCTCAGTAAAAGTGGAAAGGTACGTATCAAGATTCACTCGTGTACCAGTTTGGACTGTTGCTGTAGGGCAAAGATCAACCATTTCTCTGCTCGGTTACTAATCACGACTTTTATGTCGTTACCCGCATCCACAAAACACCAAAACCATTTGTGTTTGCCATCAAGTCGACAGATAACATTGCTTTTTATGAGAGCCCTGAGGAGTCTTTGCATGTCTTTGCGGTTGGTCAGGTCGAAGGGGAACGCTGGATGGAGCAAATTCTTTTAGCACGGGTGGGCCGTTTGTTTGGTTTTCAGATGCGGTGGCTAACTGTGCCTAGTCTGCTGTGATCGCACGAGAACAGGCAGTGTCGACCCCATTGAATGTGCCGAACAGGACCTCAAATGCTGAGGCAATGATGATGACGCGGGCGCGGACGGTGCGTCAGGCAGCGGACATGCCGGCCACAGCCAGGGGTGGAACGCCTTTCCAAGCTGGCACATTGTTGGGGGTGTTGTCACGGAGGAACTAGCTTCCTAGCGCCTCGGCCCATCCCTGGGCGGTCATTTCCGGTCATTACGATTTTGTAGCGCTAGAGACTTTGAAGTGATGTATTTTTTACAAGACATCTCACCCTCGATGGTACTGGCAGTGTTTAATTTACCTGCTCCAAGACACCTGCTTGCGTCAATGTGGCCGGGTTCAAATGACGGTTGACCCTGATTACGTCGTTGCCCCATAACGGGACTGGCCCCCCGAACCTCACTCCTACAGTACTATTCCAGTGGCCGCATGTCTGCATTCCCGCATCCCCTTCTCACTTCTCGGAGATAGGATACAGAGTCTTCCTCGTCCCTTCCATCCTGTTGTTTTGCTCCAGCGTCACCAATGACCACTGTCAACGACCGTTCGACATACTCTGGCTTGTACTCGGGCCTCGCCAACAATGCCGTCTTTGCCGTGAGGGTTCAGGTCGTCGGAGGATTGAAGTGTCTTCCACTCACAGTCGAACTAGGTTATCGTTTCGGGTGTTGGCCTTACAGTGTTTGAATCACTACGACGCGTGAGGGCGCACACTAATCGGCCAGATGTAAAACAAAGCAAACTGGGGGGGCCCTTGGGAAGCGTAGAGACGTGGGAGTTTGGCTAGTGCGTTCTCTTGGGCCTCTTTGTAACCCGGAACAAAACGCTGACAATAGTAGCTTTTATATGGCAAGGAGCTGGTCACTGTAAACACGAGTGTCAATCTGGAGGGTAAATAACTGCTAAATCGCATGGCAGACATCCTCCGCCAATACTGAAAGCAATACCGCTATCTTGGATATGGCCCACACTCCGATATTCGGAACATAACCTCCCAGCTCTGACTCGAAGTTTGGATGCTGTCGTACATGTGCGTTACTTGACTGCCTCCTGTGGGTATTCCAACGCATTCAGCGCGTAACAAAGCTGATGAAGGATGCCTTTAGTTCTATTTGCACTGCTTCATACTTGCACATCATTGCCAATTCTCCTTGTTATCCATTTGTTGTTCAATCCCAGCGATATTCTACCTGGGAGTATGAACAAAGCATCCTTACAGTATCTGGTCACTTCGGATCGCTTTTTATGGGTGCATGTTGTTATTGTACGCACTGCGCAGAGGAGCCATTTAAAAATTCTGACATAATACACAGCTCTTTTGGCTGACTGGTACATGGATATGGGCCTTGAGTGAGTATTCTATTGGCTGCAGCTCTTCTATAATTCCCTGAGCTTCGATCTTAGTTTGGCTAACTCGAGGAGCCTTGCGCTATCGGCACGAAGTAATAGTTGACAGTTACAACCGTGCTGCGCAGAGCACCCCGTCGGCCGACATGAAGAAATTCCGTGGTCGACGTTTTCGGACCGTGATGATTGAGAACATACCGGTCTATATGAGGAGTGAGGAAGCTCTAAAGAATTATTTCGAGAGATATCTCGCAATGCCATCATTGCGTGCTGCCTTTCTGCAGCGAGGATGGCTCGGCTGGTGGGGTGTCATACGCAATCAACTCATCAGAGACTTAGAGCCGTTGCCTCTTGACGAAGAGGCACAAGAACACGGCGACATGCCCAAGGTCGAACAGGTGGTCTTCGCCCGAAAGACCACTGAGCTGCAGGCTCTCCTAGAACAGCGCGAGGTATTATTGGGAAAACTGGAGGCCCTGCATGTCAAACTCGCCTCTAATGTTCTGGCCGCCGTGGCGGCCAGGTTGGCTGCCAAGGAACATGCCTCGATTGAATCACCCACCGCAGAGAAGTTCGCTCGCAAACCTAGACTTATCGGTGGTCTACAGACCAACTCTAGCCTGGATAAACTTGTCGAAGCGCTTGGCCCTTTTGCGAAGGCATTTTCTCAGGAAAAAATACAATCGCCTCCGTTGCCTGTCACAGGGGATACTATCTGGGAGGCGCTGTATCGTGTACCACCGGAATTATTGCACCCTTACCAGCCTCTCATTCGCATGAAACCGCGCTACACCGGGCGTATGGACGTGGCAATCGATTATTACGCGTTAAAACTTGCCACAGTTGACAAACAAATTGAAGAAGAGCGGGCGATCGACGAAGCAAAGCGAGAGCCCTCAACCACAGCATTCGTCACTTTTGTTGCACCTCATCATGCACGCAAAGCGTTCCGATTCCTTGCGTTTAATCCACGCAGCCCAGATACGTGCTTTGTGACCCCCGCGCCAGACCCTTCCGACATTATCTGGAAGCGTGCTACAAGACCTAATTTCCGAGGAGCTTTCCTTCGAGATCTGTTGGTCTCGATTGGGGTTTGGACCTTCACTCTCCTATGGGTGCCTCCTGTTTGTCCAATCTTGTTGGCCTTGCGACGTTCGCTTGCTCACAGGATGGTAGGTCACAATTATCGTTGGTTTGTTCTCCATTCAGAATATCGCCGCAATCTTTCCATCGCTGGTAAAACACTTCTCAGAGGAATGTGCTCAACATTAATTGCATCTCAGCGTGACTACTTCAACTCAAATCCTGCTAAAGAATCTCTTGTATCTAGGTGGGATCCTGCCCTGGTATACTATGGTTCAGTTTACCCATGTTCAACAGCTTCCTGCCGACACTGCTATATTCTATTCTCGTTGTCCTTATTCCACCCCTGCTTCGCTTCATCACAAATCATGGACATTCTGCCATAACGGTATCCAAGATCAGTGATCTTGTCATGACTCGATATTGGAAATTCCTTGTCTGCAAGTAAGAAATCGAATCTCTCCGTTTTGACTACACTCATTCTACGCAGCGCGGTGTTTTTCTTCTCGTTGGGCAAGATATCAATCTTTTTTCTGTGGGTCATATGCTCAGACACCTCGTACAGGCGTCACCACCATCTCATCATTCGTTAATGTTTTTCGACAACCCGCGTCTTTACTCACTACTGTCGCCCAGGCTTTTCCAGCAGCCGCGCCGTTCTTCGTTGGGTGGGTACATTGCAGCCCCAGTGGGAATGCTTAGTAATGAAAACGCAGCTGGTTTGTATTTGAGACCGGGATGCATGTGGGACTTTCTATTTCCCTAAGTTTGTTTGCTCTGTTACTAACGAGGCAATTCCATCACTGACATCTTAATAGTGGGGGTATGTCAGCAAAATCTTTCTCGTCAACGTCGCTAACAAGCATAGTTTCCAATATGGATGTATCCATTCCATCGTGCAGCATCAACTCTGCGGAAGCGTGCACAGGCGACAAAACCTCGTGTATACGATTACTCCTGTAAGAGTCCTTGCGAGTGTCAGTTCTACACTCACTTCCGCTCTAAGACTGGCTTCCCACCCACATGCTTGTCCTGCTGATCATGCATGTCTTTGCTATTTTGAATCCACTCGTCATCCCATTCTGTCTTATTTACTTGGCTTTTGAGTTTGGTAAGTTCGGCATTGGTTTACAACGTCCCCTTGTTGAATGTTCATGACAGTGATTGTCAAGCATCAGGCACGTCCGTGCCTCTGTTACTACTCAAATATTAACTTCAGCAACCAGAAAATGCAGGTGTTTTCTCGGGCATTCGAAACGAATGGGTTCAATATCAATCATCGCATCCTCCGCTTCTCGTGCGATGGTCTCGTGTTTTCACAGGTATATACATGCTCCCGCTTGGTTTGTGGCTTGGATCATGAATTATCCAGGTCATATTTCTAGTGTTAATGATCATCATCAAGAAGGTTGGCGAGGCCGTATTGACCGGCTTGTTGATACTGGCAACGATTATGGTGAAGCTCTAGTGAGCTGTGTCCCCTCTGCAATGTGCTGTCCTGATCACGCATAGCCTATCACGCAAGTGCAAGACGGCTTACGGCGCAGCAGACAAACTCGAGGCTGATTGGATTTGCTCCACCGGCTCTATCATGCCAACCTCGCAGCACAGACACGAGTTGCCCTCTATTGCCTCTCGCGAAACTCTTCCTTTGTGTAAGAGACTCAAGCCACTATTCCAGACAAAGACATGGATCTATATGTGGCACGCATTCCCCTTCGAAATGCATTTTCCATCCTGGCAACTTTCAGCTCGGGATCCGGCTATACCCTCTATACGTACCCAGTTACCGGATGATCCCAGGGACTCTATGCCTCCGTGCATAGATGGCCCGCGTGTCGACAATGTTATAACATCCCTGGGGCAGTTGGCAGAAGCAACCGTCCATACAGCAGATGACAACCTGACCAATGAAGTGGAGCATCCTTGTATGTCTACCACCGCTTTGGATGCCGCCGATGAGAATCCCATTGTGACTGCACATCCAACAACTGCGAAGTGGGACGACAGTGTCCCATACGATGCAAGTTACGAAAACCCGCTCTACACAACTTCGCTGGACAAGTTCATGTGGCTTCCACGAAACCCCCTTGCTAGACTCGATCTCGATGATGGCGTCAGGATCCACGTGGTTTTACTCAGTCGTCCAGATAGAAACTGGCGAGGTGTGGGAAGGCTTCCACGAGAGCTTGAAGCCCAGCTCTTCGGTGATATTCCTGGAACCAGACCGTCTGGGGAGGTCCTCCTGACAGACCATGACAGCCAGTCTTATGAACCCAGAAGCTCTATTACACAAGAGCCCCTTCTGAAACCGAATGTACGACTAACTCGAGACGATGCACTGGAGGAAATCGAGTTACCGCCTATCCTCGCCGCCCGCGTACAGCATCCTGAACAAGAGACGGACATAGAAGAGGTAGAAGGCACCACGTTACAAGAGAGAATCAGGCCGCCACTCTCAAGGGCGAGGTCGTTCAAGTCACAAGCTTCGAAACAGCCCTCTTTACGCCATACGTCATCCGCTGAAAATTGGTTCCCTGGCCACATCATGCGGGAGGAACCAAATGAATTGGGTATTCCACCTCTGTCCACAGTTGGATTGCCTGAGACATCCTCTGATGGAGCACTCCCCGTGATAGGCCTTGGCGGCGAGGAATCTAGGATCAGTTCGACACCAGGAAATACACATGGATCTGCTTTGTCATCTTTCAGAGCGCTGGCAAATCTGGTTATGCGAGAAGCGCGACAAGAGAAGGAAGACCGCGAAAAGAAGGACAAGAAGGAAGACGAGAGCCGCAACCCTCGGAGTAGCCTGGCCCAAATACTGGATGCGCACGGCAGGGTGAACGAATGAATCATATGGATTGTGTCAATTATACTCTACAATGATGATACCCATCTGTTCATAGATACTAAATAACGAGCAATGCTGTATTCCTAGCTTGTTCGCAGTCTTTTCCGACTACTGTTTTCGCCATCATCTGTGCCTCCTCGCTTGGCCTTCATACCTGTGATTCGCATCAGCTCCTTCCTCTCAGCTTTCCTCTTTTCGACCTTTCTCTCCTCCGTCTTTTCCACCTTGGCGCGGTGATCTGCCCGGCGTTCTGCTTGCTTTTCCTTTCGTCTGGCGGTCTGATCTTTCTGAAGGGCACGGATTTGTTGCAAGAGAGCGACAGCCCTCTTCTCTTCAGGCTCCATAACAATGGCTCTCTTTTGTAAATATGTTGGTCGATTCTGCGCCTTCATTTCCCTAGGTTTCGAAGCATAGGGAAGCGCAGCCTGCAACTTCTTCGATACTCTCACGGGATTGAATCGTCTGGACGGTCGAACGATGGACTGAAAGTAACAGATGAATCAGTTGTAAACGGGCATATACATGAGCTCTCTCGTACCTTGTAAGTTGAGTTCACAAGAAGTGGTGTTTGTAAGCCTTCTTCACGACGAATTTGTCCAGTCAACCTCATTCCGGACCATTTGGCTTTGTCCGCCAAAAGTAAAGAGGTGATCGGATTATAGAATTTTCTCGGTTGGATGCTATACCATGCTCTCAAGAAGATGATATCTATCAAGGCATTAGGTACGTTCATGATCTACTAATTAATGGGACCTACCGCTCATCAAGACTTTGTCTTCAAATGTCGCACGAAAGGCGCCGTCAGGCTTAGGAAGTGCCTTCTTGATTTGACCACGGATTCCGGAAACAGTACGGAGGTTTGCTCCCTCAAACTTCGCAACCTCGAGGGCGCTGTTGAACATATCCTTGACGAACGCGGTGTTCTTGAAAACTTTGTATGGTACTCCGGTGAGCTTTAGTTTCTTCACGATTTTGGAGCTCTGATCTAGATCCAAGACAACTCCAGTAGCCGAAACACGGAAAGCAGCTGTATTCGGGTCCAAAGAGTTGAAAGCACAAAAGCCAGTGTTAGGAAGAGACATCGGTCCCCAGAATGTAGCAAAGCAATGCATATGCTCCGGGGTATATTTTAACATTCGCATGCGAATGCTGTGATCATCCAAAGAGTAAACGGGAATAGATTGGAATCGTCGCCAGCCCAGAGAAAAGATAAGAGGGTCATTGGTCTTCAGCGTTCTTGTGCACCATCGATGACGTTTGATTCTCACTTGCGAGAATCCAAACTGTTCTTCCGTGGCCAACAGACCGCCAACAAGGATCGGATAGATAGGATCGAAGTGGTCGATCAGTTCGCAAGGCACGTCTGTGATTTCCAAACGAACATAGGTCCCTGGCCGATGCCCTTCTACGAGTACACGAGTTTCCTCATCGACTTCAACGAATTCTTGCTGATTCAGGGTGTGTTGCTCCGCCATTTCCGCCTTCTTTTCGTCGTAAAATTCAAGTTTGTCGCCTTCATCTGGATCGTCATATTGGGCGTCAAATTGTCGCTTGAGCGCTTCTTTCTTGGCTAAGAGCCGATCTCCAGGTTTCTGGGCAATAGAATTATCTACTGAGCCGAAGTACTTCCCATCGTCGTGTGATCCACCAAGGTTCCTGTCAGAGTCGTCGTGTACAATGTCATCTTCCGCTTGATCATTCATGTCAACAGACTTTGCGGTGATGAATTGATCTCGAAAGGTGTCCAACCAATCATCATCGTCCCACTGTAGATCAGACACTGATATAAACTCTTTGGTCTGATCAGTAGAGTCCGACGTCCCATTTATAGATGTCTTATTGAGAGTAAAGAGTTCATCCTCATAGTCTTCAAAGTCGTGAGTGCACCCGTGCGCATCCACGCCATTAGAGATGTTTTCAGCGCCGAGGTTGGATTGATAAATGAGCTTCATCCAGTCTCGGCGTTTTCGCTCACCAGCAGGAATACCATCCAAACCGAGTTCCTGCTGCTTCCAGACTCTGTTTACACTGTCGGAGTCTTCTTCAAGGCCAGCCAAATCGGCGTCCTCGTAGCTGTCACCTAGATCCGAGTCACTCTCCGCATATTCTACGACCGCGCCGGGATGGTCATGTGGGTGGGAGGAAGGAAAGCCACGCAGGGGTCGTCGACGCCCAGAGTCTGGTAGCTGGCGTAGTGCTATATCATCCTCATCGAGGGCATCATCATCCTCCGTCAACTCGGAATCTTCCTCTGAACCTTGATCGAATTCGCTGACATCGTCTTCACCATCGGATTCATCATCGCTCGTGCTTTCATCATCAAATGCATCACCGGTCACTGGAGCCGACGAAGAACCCAGCAAACGGATTTGACTTCGAGCTAAACCTTCCGTCATCGTGGAGCGGACATCTTGCAAGTTCATAACCATTCGCTCTCCTTCTCCTTCAGGTTCTGTCTTGTATCAGCAGAGGTGCAGCACTCTAGGGACGGTATCAACCCACCGTGTTCACCCTCTTCGCCTGGTATTTGTCTCGAGAAGCTTCCTGATACGTTGATCCAGACAGCATCCTTGTCATATGTCACTCCGCCAACATCGCTCATTGGTGCATGGATGAGCTTGTGTTTTTCGCTCAGCTTGCGACGTTTTTCGCTTTCAGCTGTGGGAAGTGGGCAAGGGTCTTGTAATCGTGTGATGCTGCTGATCTTGAGATCGCCTGCACCTGGAATGTGCACGTTTGTTGACTGTTTCATGTTCGTTCCTCGCAGGTAGCCGTAAAGCGTGACAGTACGATCACATTTGGGCTCCAGACGGATTTTCTCCCGAGGGGTGAGATCTTCTAGGCGGTCCGCCAGCAGGTATGGATGAGAGTTACGGAAAACGAGAGGGCGAAACTTCATAACGCTGATAAAGCGGCTCAAATTAAGTATCTCTTGATCCGGATAACGGCCGTTCAGGATACCGGACAGATAGAACAACTTGGCGCCTTGATAAATTTCGGCCCAGAACCGCTTCTTGAGCATTTTTTTTGTTATTTTGAGCGTGGCAGCCTTCTTAATGAGGTCGAGGTGGGTGAGCACGCCCAACACTTTGGGGAACCCATGTGACTGCAATACGTTCAGGAACTCAAACGTCTCCTGCAGCAAATTTAGCTAAAAATACCGATCATCATAGTGATTGCTGCGCACCATTTCAAATCCGAACGATCCATCGACCATGAGAAGTACGAGATCCGCGATCTTGCCAACATCGATCATAGAGTTCAAGTCGTTGTTGCACTCGACGAAGGTCAGCCGTCGCGATTTACCTATAACCATCAGTGTATATTTAGGAGATGTGATAGATAAACTAACCGCTGACAACAGTGATGGGGCCCTTAATGTCGGTAAGCGTGTGTTTGGTGAACCGTCGGACAAGGCTTTTTATGAGAGTCGACTTGCCGACGCCAGGAGGTCCAACAACAGCAACAATCACCGGCGGGGGCTCCTTGTCTGGCGTACGATTGACAAGAGGAACATGTAGTCTTGTTTGGTCTTGTTCAACCTTTCTTCTCCCTTGACGGTCTGCATTCCGACCAGACTTGGGGGCGAACGCCTGCCGTTTGAGGGTGAGCAGGTAGGACGTTTGTATTTTGAGAAAAAAGCAATCTCAAAAGAAACACACGCACTTTCTCATTGAAGCCTTTCTCATGATTACTCTTCCCTGATTTCTTCTCTGCCTTGAGACCGGTCTGTGCCTTTCTGTGCGCCTTGTGTGGACGATCCTCCATCCTTTGAGGTCAGGATATGGGAGTTGCACGAGCCGTCCTGTGCCCTGAGAAGGAAGCTGAAAAGCTGGGTGGTCACATGATACTATTTACACGTGACCTTGGATCATCCGCGTCGTGCTTGCAATAACACGCGCGTCTATCCCGTTGCGCTTTGTCTGCCACGACAGACACAGACCTCCTTGCACACTATCCTCCACGAACGCTCTCTTTATATTACTACCCTGCTTGCCTCTGTCATATCTGCCTTGTTATTCACTATTACGCTTCCGTGCCGTTGACGCTGTGCTTTCAATGGCACGCCGAGACTCCCAGCGACCAGACCCCCTGGACGATTATGTACAACGCCCTCCCATTGCTAAGAGCACTAGCGAACGTGAGCGGATGATAGCTGAACGTACGCTGGAAAGCCATCTATCTGTGGTCTACCAGCCCTCGCCCGCCGGCACCGACGACGACCTGTCCGTCGAGTACGGGCGAACCAGACCCCTCTCACCTGTTAACCACGAGGCCTCTTTCATGTCGTTCTCTGCTCAAGCACCGCCTCATATCGCTGCGGATTACTCCCACATGATAGATGATCGATTTGGTCCAGTCGGATTGGACGATTCCCTGGGCCTCACCGGACTCGACATATCCAAGTCGTCAGCAGGACACCACATGGCCAACGTCACATTGCACGCCGGCTTCGGGGGCAAAGCAACAAGCCCCACCGCGTCAAACATTGCCTTCGAGCCATCCAGAGATGTCGACGACATCAAGAAAGGTGGACACATGTGGGCCCAGAATGGCAGGGAAATTCATGACGTGCGCTTCTTTATATCCGCTTAGCGGTATCAAATACTTATGTTTAGTTCCAGAATTCTCCTCGTGCCACTCGTTCAGGACGTCGAAAACTTGTAGAGGCGTTGCCATCTAATTTCAGTCCAAAGCGTGTCGCTGCAGATCTCCCGCGAAAACACCCGTTGATGATGGAGTCACCCAAGTACCCTACACGTGCCACAAGGACGTCGCATGAGGTAATCACCATCTACACAGTCGTAATGCTTCTTTGGGCTAACCCGACATATTTTAGAAAGGAAACGGTGTGAGCTCCCCCTTGCAGAGTCCGGAAGACGGGCCGAGCAGCGCTTTTGGACGTCATGCCAGAACTCTGCGGCATGATATGGGACTTGCCAATGCTGGCTCAGAACAACTTCCCAAAGTTGCGTCACGTCCGTCAAAATATGGCAAGGGTGATAGCATCCAACTTCCAGACCTCACGGGTCTCACATCTGCAGTTGTAACCCCAGCGAAACCGCACGTATTTTATCTTCAAGCCCAAACACACTCGCCAATGGAGAGAGAAGTGTTGGCAGAGCGACGTCGTCACTGTGAGGCGCAACAGCGCATGTCCGCTCATCGTGATGAACTCGACCGACTTTCCGGGGAGGTGATGGAGAAAGAAGCTGAAATCGCCGATCTTCAGTGTCAGCTCCGTACTGAAAGGGCGGGACGTTATTCTCACACGAACAATGGCTCCGATCGTATTGCTGAACTGGAGCGTCAGATTGCTCGACTGACGAAGGAAAACAAAGGCAAGTTTTCCTTGTTCATGAAAACATGAACAGGACACTGATGGAAACTAAGGCCTACACTCGAACCTTGACTCGCTTCGGATTGAACTGGTTCGAGCAGAGGAAACACTGCGGAAACAAGGCTCTGTTCTGGAAGAGCTGCGATTAGAGAAGCAACGAGATGAGGAGCGTCTCCGTGATATGCAGCGTGCCTACGATCGTACTTTCCAGGACCTTCGTAGGAAACGCGAAGAAGTAGGCCGCCTCCAACGAGATGTTGCTCGGCTCAAAGCCCATTATGAGAATATGAAGGCCTTGTGGAATCGTCATATTAAGGAGCAGCAACAGCATCAACCGGAGACAATGGGCCAAGAGGGCATCGAGCAAGATGATTCTTCCGTCGACGATGCAGGCGAGTCGCCGTACGCACCAACTGCGCCAGCCTGGCGCACCGAACGTAGGCAACTAAGCGCAGTGACGGAAGAAGATGACGAAGACCTGCAAGACCATCCGGACGAGGCGCATGGTGGTCCCGCCGTGCCAGAGATGTCCACCGGCAGCGTCTCTTCCCTCGGTACACCGGTTGATCCACCCGAACCAGACTCCCCACGCTTCAACCAATCATTCCACAATACGAGCATCGTGTCGGATCTTGCTGGGCCCTCTCAAGGGCGACAAAAACCCCTCACGTCGGTATGAGCCTCTGTTATCAGTTTTTCATGTGTCCTCTCATCTTGTTATCAGGCCGGCGATGTCGCCGATTTGGACGATGAAGTAGCAGAGCGGCGGTCTTTCCGGAGCCTGGACAGTATACATGACAGCCCTCCCCTGATGGCTCAGTCTCGACTCCCGGAGGTACGTTATTCTGGAATGTGCACATTTGTATTGATCTTTCTGAACCTATAATAGCCACGTCAACGTCCTTCAAGTGCACCTCCACTCTCGTCTCGACTCACGGGAAATCGACAGCCCCTCCAGCCGCACGTAACAACATCCCTACAAAATGCCCCTGTGCCGCCTTCGTCGTTACAAGATTCAACCCTGCCCCGTCCTCGTCTGAAAGATGAACGTGTGGAGAGGCTTTTCCACGTGTCAGGTGTCCACGATGCTGTTCATTGTTGGCGATGCCAAGAGCCTCATGAAGGAACCTCTCAAGGACGGGGCTCGACATGTGCAGTTAATATTCCCTCCCTTGTGCATCGCATGGGCGAAGGACATGAAGCTATCTCAATCATAGTCATACGTGCCCTTGAGGAGGAACAACGAAGACGAGCCTTGACACACGCCGATGATGGTCGTACCTCTCAGGAGCTCCTAACCAACGCTATCAAAGACATGGAGGGTGACTTCACCCATTACAGGTCGTCAGTCAATCTATGTGAACTGTGCGAAGAAAGTACTGACGTTGGCCGTCATCACAAGGGTCTATTCGGAGCTCGCAGAGCAATACGGGGTAATCGCACCCAAGAACCGTATCAGGCGGAATATTCTTGCAGAACATCTAGGTGAAGTGATTAGTATACTTGAGAGAAAGGTGAGCCCATGCAAGTGTTGTCTGAGGTCGATTGTCCGCTGAAACGATGGCACTTCAAGGGTGATCTTATTGCCACCCTTTATGACTCGCTTGGAAATATTCAGCGAAGCCAGTAAGGAAGACAATCACATAAACAAAGGAGGGGGTTACCGAGGCAAGAACTTGTGGTGGCATTCATTATTCTCTTTTCAGCTTCTTCTGCCGATGCGCACTTTTTCCATTTAGCACTGTGAATGGCCTGGGATTGCCGGGCCGGACTTTATCTACTCTTGCCAGAACATCTGTACATTAATTCACAAGTCATTTCAGCACGGGGGCCTGGAGGGAGAGCGATAAGGCGGGCGATTTCGACGTGATAGTCAGCTCGGTTCGAGATATGTGCCGGACGTGCCGGTGCAGTCCACCTTGGTTGACTCGCGCTGGCGGAAGACTGTGGTTGTCTATTCGAACAGTAAGCGTGTTCCAGACATGGTGCCATGTATATTGCCGAACATTCCTGGAAGCGTTGACTGTGCCGAGCCCCCGAGAGACTACTGGATGTGGTAAGTATGGGTGGGGACTAGAAGGGAGACCGAAAAGAGAAGAGCATATATAATTGATATTTAGGTTTTCACCGGTTTTACAAGGAGCAGGACAGGAAAACGGAGGTTGACATGGGAATTTGACCGGCTGATGAGGATGGTCAGCCAGTACTGGTTGGTCGGCCAGTAAGCATCTCGAGATGGAATACCTAACTCGAATGCACGCTCCTTTGCCACTGTTAGATGGCGGTGCACCCACGTTACTGGTGGTGTCTTAACTCTGTTTCATTTTTTTCCTGCCTTGGGCAAGACCTATGTATGCCTAGAACATGGCGGGAAGCTGATGGGAGAAGCTGGTATGGACAGAGGGGAAGACCATCGGTAAAGAGAAAGGTGGCCGAGCCCCGGGTTGGGGCGGCCGAGAACATTTGTTCCCGCGACTTTCGACGCTCGATGACCCCCGTGCGCTGCTTGAAGGGGGCCCAACAACACTGTGTGGGCTCTTTAGGGGATCCTCCTATTCATTTCAGGGATGGTCTTCTCCTTTCATGGGATGTGTTGTGTGGCGCAGAAATGATGGGAAATAAGGAGCAATCAGGGGTCCTGATCTTAAAGGTCTCATCAGGTGCATCGTGTCGTCATTGCTGTGGCACGGGCACTACGTCACTGAGCACTCGGGGTCTGAGTCCGAGGCCCTGAATAAGTCAACCACAAGAGCACGCGTGTGCCGTCCGTATTGAAATATGTCCCAGGTGGAGTTTCGCTGGGGAAGAAAAAACTTGTGCCGGTCGGCAGATATTGCGTTGGTCCATGACCGGGAAGATATGTCGCCTCGATTGAGAGGGGTTGCCCTGGGAGAGTGTCTCAATATTTCTCTTTGTTGTGTCGGGGAGTGAATGGGTGGGAAGGAGGTGGAACGTGCGGAAGAGATGACGAAAGGAGGAATAAATTCATCTCTGCGAATTAGGGCGAGCGTAAATGGCGGTAAAGTGAGGTCATCAGGGGTTTTCTTCGTTGGGTCTCGACTCTCCTTGTTCACCCTGTGTTTGCTCGCCCCGTCCGCTCCGGGTCGGCCCCCAAATTTGCGCTCCCGATCAGCGTTGGTTTGTCTCACTCCTTCCTGTGAGAGAGGGCGTTGAAACAGGGAAACATACCTCGGATTGGAGCTGATGGGACGCGATGGGATGGCATGCGGACACACTCCCCCCCTCCTCCCCTGCCTCTTCACTTTTCCCTGCCGCGCGCGCCTCCCCCGCTCCATCCCCTTCTTTTGCCCTCCGCCTCTTCTCGGATGCCGACACGAGGGCACCGAGGGGAGCAAAAGGGAAGCAGAGAGAGAGAGAGGCGATCCATCGGATAATAACCCTAGGAAAGAAGGGGGAGATGGGAGAGGGTAGGTGGAAGAGCGGCGCGATGGATGGTTGACTTGGATTGGGTGTTCGCCCACGCTGTAGCTATATAAGTGTGTGTTCGTCGGATGGTCGAAGGAGTACTTTTGAACCGCTCCCGTTCATCTCGGTTGTCTTACACCACCTCAGCCTCTATATTCGCTCGCCAGTCTCTCTTCTCTCTCTGTCTCTCCCTCTTGCTCCCCTTCCCTACAACAAAGGATCGGATTATCAATCAAGGCAAATCAAGCAGGTGAATATACAGTTAAGCTGTGTCACACGAGGGAACTGAACCTTGTTGCGTCGCTGCCGAAACTCGCGTGTCCCCCGTCGATAGCTTGTTTTGTGTTGCCGACGTCAAACCACTCACCATCCGACAACACACCCACGTCGTTGTCCTCGGACCCGCCGGATCAGTCCCCATCCCGTCATTGCTCCCCCGCCTCTCCCTTTCTCTTAATTCCCCAGATTTATTCCCCTCCTCGACGCTCCCGCCGTCCTTCCTCCCTCTGTCGTCACACCCCTTCCATCTTCACTCCGTTTGTCGACTTCCATCCGTACCAGCCCCGTCACTCGTTCACAGCCGCGTTCCCCGCATTTCTCGGTATGTTGTTCCCCGCCGGGCCCTGACCCTGGTGCCTACGCTAACATTTATATTCTGTGCCTTACAACAGTGTTTCCTCTCCAGGTACCATTAATAGTTCTCTCTCCTTCCTGTCACTATGGCTGCACCAACAACCACGTCCGCCAAGGAGAAGAAGGATGCTAAGGAGCAGGCAACAGTCAAGGAGGTCGTTGTTGAAGAGAAAGGAAATGAGAAAGAGCCGGCCGTGACTGCATCTACCTCAACTACGACTGAGGTGGCTAAGGAACCCGCGAAGGAGAAGGAGGAGAAGGAGGAGAAGGAGGAGAAGAAGGCGAAGGAGGAGAGAGAGGAGAAAGAGGAGAAAGAGGAGAAAGAGGAGAAGGAGGAGAAGGAGAAGGAGAGAGAGACTAAGAAAGACAAAGAAGTACGCGCATATATTTAACTCCTTGGCTTCCAGCTGACCGGCCACGCTCAGGCACCCGCGCCCGTCATTGATATGGACACGTTTTCCCAAATTCTCGAAATGGACGATGATGACACCCACGAATTCTCCCTCAGCATAGTCGAGAATTACATGGACCAGGCACAGACCACGTTCCAGCAAATGGAAGATGCAATGTGCGTGGTTATCAACCATTTGCAGCGTGCCGCCGCTCACCATGTCACAGTTCCGAGAAGAATCTCCCTCAGCTGTCTGTACTCGGCCACTTTTTGAAAGGATCCTCAGCGGCGCTGGGTATTACTCAAGTACAGACTGGCTGCGAGCTCATGCAGCATTACGGCCAGCTGCATCGAGGGGCAAGTGGGCAAAGACTACAATCACAAGAAGCCCTTGATATGATCAAGAAGCTTCTACCCAAGATCAAAGACGGCCATGTCGAGGCGGACAAATGGCTCAAAGATTTCTACGGCGTGGAGACGTGGCAACCGGCCGAGGGAGCGGCTCCTGAGGATGACAAATAACGGCCTCCGCCCACTGCAACTGGGAACCTGTCAATTCCCGTGCCTTCTTGTGTTCCGTCCACTTGTTTTCCCCTCTGCTCAGTATTCAATGTACGTGTCAGTTCTCTAACGCAGCATCGATTCTAATCAGTGCCCGCGTCTTGCGCATATACCTTGCAGGCTCTAACAAGAAATACACTCCGACCCGGCTCCTAACGTAGAAACTCAATCGATTCAAGTAACTATATCGGGTCGTCTCGTTGGCCTCTTTCTCAGCTTGTCCTCTTATCTTTGACGCCTGTGATTCACACTTGCTGGTTGTCGCATCATTTTTTCGCTGCTGTATCCTCTCTCTTGGTGCTGTATCTTCAACATTGGTACTGTATCTCCACAAAAGTACGGCACCATTCGTTTGGCCACAGTCCGTTCTTTCGCTCCCTCCCCTGATCGCGTTACCGTTCTTTCCATTCCACTCCCTGCTGTGGTCTAAACAGGCCGCCCTGTTCTCTTCACCTCTCGCTGTCTCCATAGGTATACTACCCCCAGTGTATCGTAGTGCCAGCTATGTGGGCTTGTCTCGAAAGAGTCGCAAAGAAATGAAGCTGGAAGTTTTACGTGCCTGCCTTTGTTCCCAAGACGGTTTCACCCCGATGTGCTTGTTATGACACACACACATGTAGAAATCTCGGACTGCTCCATGTGACCTGCGCCTGAGGTCAGTAAGACCGGCTTGGGATCTTAGATACATTCACCTTCGCCTATCTGTCCCAGTCTTAACGGGATGACCAGGCAACATGAAGTGTGAGTTCAAGGCCTGTGGCTTTGCAATGCTGGAACAGGGCTACGTTGGTAACGTCGAACAATACATAGCATCCCTACCCATAACTTTCACAATGACGACCAAATCACTATCCATTATTGCGGCTAAGCAAAGGCGGAGATATATGTTTCCATCTATTATGAACATTGACATTGTGTTATACCCACGTCTGAGTAAAGAACGTGAAGGTGAGACTGGAACACCTGAAAGGACTTGTGCACGTAGGATGAACATCAAGGAAGGGTATAAGAACGGAGGTCATCTGCTAGAGTCGTAAGTAGGTGGACGCAAAAAGTCCTTCACTGCCCTCCTCTTGTGAGCGCCTGGAGGCGTACTAATTCGTAGCTGCGCGCAATGTCAGCCAGATTCGGAGAAAAATATTTGTACTCACTAGCCGCCACGCAGTTTCACCAGCTCGTCATGCGTCCCGGCTTCTGCGACTCTTCCGTCTTGCATGAAATAGATACGATCCGCATTTTGAATGGTACTTAGCCGGTGAGCAACTGTCACGGTTGTGCGTCCTCGAGCAGCGTTATCAAGGGCCTAGAACAGCAGTTAGTGACAACATAGTGCACAGTGAATAAGAAGGCATGTACCAGCTGGACCACATGTTCAGAGGTCGAGTCGAGGGCCGATGTTGCTTCATCAAGCAGAAGAATTTTGGGCTTGCGTATCAGCGCGCGCGCGATCGCCACACGCTGCTTCTGGCCACCGGACAGGGCCGTACCCTTGTTCCCTACATCCGTATCAAGTCCTTCGGGGAGCCCTTTGATGAACTCTAAGATATTCGCCTCACGGCAGGCTTCGTCGAGGTCAGCTTGTGTGACCTCGTCAGGATTCGTAGCGCCGAGTAGAAGATTAAATTTCAGAGACCCCGCATAGAGATTTGGTTCTTGTGAAACAATCCCAACGTTCTTTCGATAATTTGCCACGTTGAGCTCAGGAAGAGGTATGCCATCGACATAGATCACTCCGTACAGTACTTCATAGAATCGCTCAATAAGTTGAACCCTAGACAAACATGTCAGATTAAGCGATTATGGGCGGCACCGGCAAACCCACGTAGTACTCTTGCCGCATCCACTAGGCCCGCAAACAGCAACCGTCTGACCGGGCTGAACGTCCAGATTTAGTCCTCGAAGAACCCGAACCCTTGCACCTGCTGTCAGTAGGTTGGTGGAGTAATGACATCATGAACGTACTCGAGACGCGTAGGATACCGGAAATGGACATTGCGGAACGCAACCTGCCCCTTCAACTGCTGAATGTGCTTGCCATCCGGCGAGTCCGTGTCAATTTCAGGAGTCGAGTCAAGTAGTTCAAAGAGTTTCCTGCTTCCCATTGCCCCCGAAGACACATCCGGCATGAACGAGAGACTTGTAGCAACTTGCATTACGCCGAAAGTTCCGCTCATCAAACAGACGAAGAACTGTACGGTGGTATACTCTTGCGAAGCCACCAGTCGAGATCCGTACCAGAACATCTAGATGCCATATATGAACGATAATTTATCGAGCTGACAGAAACTCACCAAGGCGATGACGAAGTACGGGCACCCCTGGCTCAGGCCAAAGAAGCCTCCACTGACTAATGCCGTTTTCTTTGCATTTCGGAATGGTTGGTCAAGGAAATGGCGATACTGGAGGTATGAGGCCTCTTCCCGCGTCAGCGACACGATGGTTCGGACCGCGCTGGCCACTTCGCAGGCAAACTGAGCAGAGTCCTCATGTGCAAGCTTATCTCGTTCATCCTTCAACATGACAACTCGCAGGAAGAGATATCCCGCGCTTAGAAGGAATGGCACACATGCTACAGAATGACAAGATGAGCTCTTGTCAGTATTTGCGCCGAAGAGCCACGTACCAAGCCCCACTAGACTCAACTTCCAGCCATAGCACAGACCAACAATGCCACCGCCGATTACGGTGATACCTGCTTGGAACAAAGTGCCCAGTGTATCGCCTGCAACATCACCGACCTTTCGGGCGTTCTCCGAGAGGCCCGCGGTTAGAGCGCCTACGGAATGGCGTTCGTCGTCAAACCAACCAACTGCAGAGAGTCAGGTAATGATCAACTGATGACATATAAGAGACCGACCATCTTGCCGCATAATAGTTTCAAAGGATAACGCTCGTATACGTTGCGTCAGAACAACAGACGCCGCCTCCGTCATGGAATTCTGACCGGCGAACAGGATTCCTGAGCAGATTGCGATTATGAAGAGACTTGCGCGGTGATAAGCTTCACAACAAGCTTGTATATCATTAGCGTACTCACAGCAGTGCATAATGATTCCCTGCGTGTCGAATCTCTGTGGGATCTGTGCTGGACCAACCGTTGATGGCGTTGGCAAAGACAATACCGAAGAGGGGATAGATCATGCCGTTTGCTTGAGCGAATGAATCAGCAACTGAATCCATCTTAGTGTGAATAGAATCCAACTCACCGGTGGCAAACAGAGCTCCGGAAATGTAATACGGAAGCGCCCTACGATTGAGTCGCGCGAGTCGTTTGACGATGACTGTGAATGGATATCGTCTTTTCCCCTCTTCATCGTCCTCCATGGGACTGCGTTTGATAAATGCCTCGCTGACCACACTTGGGCCAGTTGCGATCCGCCGTAGAGGGATATCAGTTGATCTCTCTTCCTGTCCTTCCTCATCCGCTACGACAACCTGATCTACATGCGGTGGCAGGGGGACCTTTTCGGGATCACCTGCTCTTTCCGCAAGCTCGCGTAGTTGTTGTGCATGAACGAGAACTGAATATGGACCATCTGGATTCCTGAGGAGCTCATTGTGAGTTCCCTCCTCCTCGAGTGAGCCTTCATTCAGAACATAGATCTTGTCTGCATCTGGAATGCACATTAGCACGAATCACAAACGGACCTACAAACGCACTCTTAATGGTCGATAGGCGGTGGGCAATAGTGATAATCGTCCGGCCTTGGGATACTTTCTCCAGAGCATTCTGTACCACTCTTTCAGACATGGTATCGAGAGCGGAAGTGGCTTCATCAAGAAGCAAGATCTTGGGGTTAGAGACGATGGCGCGAGCGATGGCAATGCGTTGCTTCTGACCACCGGAGAGGAGTAATCCCGCCTGTCCTACATTCGTATCGTATCCCTCAGGAAGCTTTGAGATGAATCCATCTGCATTAGCCTTGATGCATGCCTCTCGTACGAGTCTGAACTGTTCTTCTACACTTGTGTTCTCCCAAGGTGTGCCCGTCAGGCCGTAAGCGATGTTCTGCTTGACTGTGGTAGCAAATAACACAGGTTCTTGCCCGACAAGCCCAATTTGTGATCGGAGCCAGCGGACGTTGAGGCTTCGTAGATCATGACCATCGAGTTTGATAGATCCATTGAGAGGGTCGTAAAATCGCTCGACAAGTGCCACCGTCGTAGACTTTCCGCAACCAGAAGGGCCGACAAGAGCAGTGGACTTCCCCGCCTCGAAGGTCATGTTTACAGATTTGAGCACCTTGACATTGGGTCGGCTAGGATATTCGAAAAGGACATTTTCGAAGGTAATATGACCGTGAACCACTTCAGGCCGTAGACCTTCCTCGGATGCTGAATCAATCGTAGGTACACGGTCGATAGTCGCAAATAGCTTAGCTGCAGCAACGCGAGCGTTACTAATATTCTCCAAGAATGGCATCAACAGGATCAACGATAATGAACCGGTGACGAGAGAGAGAAAAACGTTCACAACCGTGCCAGCATTCCCGATCCCGTAAAGAATCAGCGTGGTTCCATAGTAGAAGGCGAGTGCGTAGGCGCCGTATTGAATAAAAAAGAAGATGCCAAAGAGCGCGCCATCAATAAAGGTAGTGGTGAGCATAGCTTTGGCCGCGGTGTTCACAAATTCCTGGTAGACGGCAAAGAGCTTCTTCTCTGCACCAAGTGCCTTCGTTGTACGGATGGTGGAGATGACCTGCTCGGCGATGGTAGCTCCCTGGGAGATGGCCTTGAGGCTGATTTCTTCATATTTCGAGTGGAATGAGAAGAATGCCGCGAAGATAAGGAGGACGCAAGGAAGGATTGACGACAGGGCTAGGGCAAGTCGCCACGATCGAACATAGGCAACGATGTAGCCTGTGAGAAATCCGGATAAAGCCGATGCGATGAGGGGGACCTTTTCGCTGATGCCAATTTGAATAATGTGGGTGTCTGACTGAATTCGAGTAACAATTTCGCCCGCACCGAGTGTATCAAAAAATGCAATATTCTGTCGTAGAAGGGCTTTCAAATACTCCTCACGAATCTGGCAAGAGCGTGAGCGATAGGCCAGGGAAAAAAACCACCTCAGGGCGTACCCGTTTGGTAGCTTTCTCCCCAGTATATATCCATATAAACATGTAGGTGTGGACCACTACGTAGGCTCCGATACCCAGGATTACTAGATATAAAGCGTTCTTTGCTGCGGCGTCCTTGAATTCAGCACTGGCTTCCGCAATCTGAGACGACTCCCCAGAAGCTAGGGCGACAGTGAAGTTCACAAACTGCGTAACCAGCCGACCCATCAATATGGTCATCAACGGTTGTGCGGATCCGGCTGCCGCGCCACAAACACAGCCCAGGAGATTGAGAAAGATGTCGAGCCAAGAGTGGTACCGGAAAAGGGTGAAGAAACTGACAGGTTTCGGGTCGCGCTCAACATCGGCGGCCATTGAAATGGGGATGAATTTCTCTTCTTCATCTTCTTTTGTCGCCTCCTTGGCTGGGGAAGCTTCTTTGTCTTTGCCACGGAGTTTGGACCACCATGACGGGGTTACAGGAGGTGGGGCAGACGGAGAAGGCGTTGCCCCGCTGGGCTGGATGTCTTCGGATTCGAGGAAGGGGTCACCGCGCTCCATGGGAAGCTGTTGTTTTCTAGTTATATGAGGTGAGTAGAAGTATCAACATTGAGCCTAGCACTCACAACAGCGTAATCTTGCGTGGAGTAGAGGATGTGGCCGGACAACAAATATTTCGAGGGAGGAAAAACGAATGGGGAGATGAGGACAATCCTTCGTCGGTTCGGCCATATATACGACGGAGTCACAAAAATGACTCCCGCACATTGTTAGACTGTGTTTGTCTTCTTCAGGGAGAAATGGCTTGCGTGCACGGCCGGCACAGACCCTTGCCTTCCGATCCGCCGTCGGGACGCGTCGTGCCAAGGCCGTCGCGGTCGTGGTCCGATAAGATCTACCCCCGCGTGGCCAATATGACATTTTGACTGAGTGCCACATTCCCCATATCAGATTCGGAGCTTCCTCCTGGGGCCTCCGATTTCTTCGTTCGGTAGACTGCGGCGTTGGAGGGTGCAGCGCAGCAATGCAGACAGTCACTGTGTCTTAACGCATGGTCTTCTGTCTTTTTGTCCTATCGGCAAACAACTGTCGCCAGCGCACGGCATTCCATAACTTCAGGTGTGTGAATCGACAAAGCAAGCAACAATTAATCTGATTTGTACCCGTGATCGACTCCGGTGAGACACGTCTCACAGTGCACAGTGCACCGCGCAGTAATCTATGTGTCGTTGTGTGACCCGTTGGACGTGAGTACCACAGGATATTATTAGGTTATTGATAACTCACTATGAATGTCGAAATAGTATTCGACCGTTAGATATATTCATGATGTTGCAATTGCTGCACATGTACACATGAATGCGAGTAACAGTTCTTGCAAGCTTTTCATGACTAAGCATGCACCCTGACGGGTATACACGAGAAGTGTGTGCCCTTGCGCGCCTCGGAGGCAATTTGCCTTCTAATTTCCTTGAATAGTAAGCAACCTTCGGATTGCATTAATGTGTGCAACTTTTAATGTACACACAATTGTTATGATCAAACAAAAAAAAATTGTGTGTGGAATTCACTAAGATCTAGTATACATTTCAACAAAAATAGAGAGCTGACTAATAACAATTTGATGCCAAAAACTCGATTTACCGGGAAAGTGTTGTGGGAGAGCACTGCACCCTCAGTGCCCTTCGGCTGACCACACCAAATGGTGAGAAGGAAATTTGATTCAATTTTCAACCAATTTCTATTAATTAACTATGCATAATTGTGTGTACATTAAAAGTTGCACAGATTACTTGTGCAATCCGAAGGTTGCTTACTATTTAAGGAAATTAGGAGGCAAATTGCCTCCGAGGCGCGCAAGGGCACAGGCACAGGGCACACTTGTTGTCGCCCCTCACCCTGACTATCACCTAAAATAACTGTCAACATCTACGTATACCGTTCTGCCAAGGGCGCTCACAATGGCCATCAAACGCCAAACATAACCGGACTCTATTCTCACTGTCGAAAATATCGATCGCTGCCTTCTGTTCTATCTGATCGATATATTTTTTGTGCGAGACAGTGCGGATTTTGCGAGTCTACGGCGTGAGGGCGGCGAGAGCCTCCCGTCGCGCAGGCTGTCTGCCGCCCGTGGAATGCGAACAAGCAAATGGAACGCGCTCTCTGTGATGAAACTAGCACTAATCAAGTGGCTTCGTCGGCAACGCAGACAAAGTCCAGTTCTCAAGATCTAAAGACGATGGATTGATCGTTTGAATATGTGCGGTGCTGTCAGGAATGCACGATGAGTCGCGTTGCAATTGTGTGGAGCAGCGAGGCGAATGTCGGAATCCGAAGGCCGAAACATTGTAACACTACGTGCTCCTTGCGAGGGAGCACCAGTCGTCGTGTCGTTCTTGCTGGAAATGGCGCCCATAGGCCGTTCGAAATTCGCGGCCCCCGTGCCGTATAGTTTCGTGAGATCCTCCCTCGCCAGCGTATGAGTGGTAGGACGCTTGTCTGATGTACTTACCTCAGATCGATTCCCTGTCATCGTCCCGATCTAACCTGAGAAGGCCCTGTTACAGCAACAGCAATTTGCCGCTCATACGGCAACAACTCGACTCGAGTCCGATCACGGCACTGAATATCGCGGACTTCCCAAGCACCCTGTGATCCGTGCATATCACAAGAGCATACCTTGCATAGTGGCACGATCTGGCTAACATCGTCCTTGGTGTGAACAAGGCCGCGCAAGATGTAAAGCAAGAAGAACTCAAAGTGACGTCCCGCCATGCCAACATTCTGGACTTCGTTCAGTGTCTGCTGGATAGTTTGGAGACCTGTTCGGGAAATAAAGGGCTTCACTCCCTGCTCCCCAGAAGGATTGGACAGTGCTGTGATTCGCAACACCAAAGTTGTTCTCCTTGACGAGGCCACCTAAGTGGTCGACTCGAGATCAGAGCGTGTTATATAAAACACACTCAACAGCACTGCACGTGGTCGAACAACAACCGCGGTGCACGCCGTCTTAGCAGTTCCTGTGACGCCGATACGTTTCTGCAGGGCAAGTCGTGCGCCCGATAACACATAACGAACTTCTTTGCCTGTGCGATGGAACTACGAGCCTGTGTACAAGCTATGCGTGAGCATGCTCTCTGATCACGAGCATTTGTAGATTTGATCGGACACATGTCTCCAACGAGCGAGCGCTATGTATAACAGACACACAAAGCAAATTTTACTGTCTAGAAAAACATGGACCTGGCGACAGGTTGAAAGGGAGTGATCGTTCACTAATATCGAACAGCATCATTCCGTCAGCTGATAGTAAATAGTTGTTATTTGCGAAAGCAGCCAATTAATGGTCGCCCACCGACTAGATATTCTTAATTAGCTTATGTAACTGAAAAGGCATATATGATATTCACGTCATGAAAGGAGATTGAAAGAAAAGTCTCTTGCCAAGGCTTTCACACAGAACGGCGAAATTTCGCTGGACTGCGCACTGCTGAGCAACCTGAGAAGCGAACGAATCGATGCACGACTTATGATCCTTTGTGTGCACACAAAGGATTGATGCGCGCTTAATGTGGAACGCGCAGTGCACAGCCAGCCATGGGTGCCGGCGGCGCTGAAACTCCCACACGGGTGAGAACGGGGATAAGGAGGGTGTAAGTCACGTGCTAAAGAGGCTTGACCTGATGGGGCTTCTTCTAATCCAGGGACCATACCCGCTTCTCACCGACTTATTTGTTGACAGCGGCTGCCCTGAGCCGTGCTGACGTGTTCACCGTTCGTGCCAGACTGGCGTGTCGACTCGGCATAGTGTTCAAGGATGAGTAAAATACCATATATGGTATCTCGGCGGCCGATGGTACCTTGATCATGTTGCCAATCCCGGTGTTATCGCTACACCAGGTGGCTGAGCGCAGTCAGCGCAACTGGGTTTTTGGGTTATAGGCAAGAAACGCGCGGCGGCACGGCCAGAATCCATTACAAAAGAGGGATACCGGGATTTGAGCGTTGATGTGGGGTTGAGGCAGAAAGTGGAGAAGGAAGACTGACCATACCCTAAAGAACATGGCTTGCCTACGTCCAGGGGGTTCGCACTGCCATGTGGACTCACGGAGGCTTGGTCGTGGCGGGCGGGTCACCAGAGGTGCGGGAGAGCCACGTGATTGGTGAGGGATATTGCGGAAGAGTGGACAATGAAAGGTGCTGTGCGCCGTCGAATGCACAGTCTCCAATTGAACCATGCGGCAGGGCTGGAAGCAAGCGTCGGAGGCCGGGAGGTGGAAAGGAGCGGCACAGTCGTCCGAGCGCGCGGCAGAAGGAAGATGTTGGCGGGGAAGCGTCTCTTGGTTGGATGCCCAGTGATCCACCGACTCATCCCCTGCGCAGACCCGGTCCATCGGACCATTCCTGGCCGCAAGTATAAAAGAACATGGAGCGCCCTGTCGTCCGCATACAACTCGCTAAGGCTCACATTCCTCCGTATCTTTTCTACGACCCCCCTCAACCATCTAATCTCGACACATGGCAGACATCGAAAAGCAGCTGCTACAACAGCAGACAAGACCACCCGATGGCGTGACCCACACAGGATCTAACTCACCCCTCGAAATCAAAGTCGAGAAGTCAGGTACCGGTACTCCAGACGAAGATTCAGCACAGCAGAACAAGAAAGTTAAATCCCCCCTGTTTGCAAGGCGGAAGCCAGCGAAGGAGAAGAAATTGTCCTCTGATGGCAAGGCTGGGGGCACGACCGACGACGACATCAAACCTGTGGCGATCACCGCACTCTTCCGATTTGCCACTAGATTTGAGATTTTCCTTGACATCATTGGCCTAATCTGTGCCGCCGCTGGAGGCGCAGGCTTGCCCCTTATGACCCTCATCTTTGGTAATCTGGTTACAGCTTTTGTCAACTTCACCACCGTCGCTCTCACCGGAGACCCGGCCTTGATCGCTCCTGCAGCCGACAATTTCCGTCATGTGTCGGCTCAGGATGCTCTGTGGATTGTCCTCATCGGTATTGGCATGTACATTGTCACACATGCATACATGTGGATTTGGACATACACCGGGGAAGTAAACGCCAAACGGGTCAGTATCACTCTATTTCACCTCTTCAAGCAAATTGAGCTGACATTTTGATCAGGTCCGCGAAAGGTACCTTGCCGCTGTTCTACGGCAAGACGTGGCGTTCTTCGATAATCTTGGCGCAGGTGAAGTCGCCACTCGTATTCAAACCGATACACACTTGATCCAGCAAGGCACATCCGAAAAGATTCCTCTGATTATGACCTTCGTGGCCGCCTTCATTACTGGTTTCATAATCGCTTATGTCCGCTCATGGCGCCTTGCGCTTGCTTGCACAGCCGTCATCCCCTGCATTGGCATTACAGGCGCAGTCATGAACCACTTCATATCTATTTTCATGCAGAGGTCGCTCAAAGCTGTTGCGGATGGTGGTACACTCGCGGAAGAAGCCATATCCACCATCCGCACTGCCAAAGCATTCGGAACGCAGCACATCCTCTCGGCATTGTACGACACTCATGTCCAGAGAGCTCACAATGCCGACATGAAAGCCGCCGTTTCATTGGGCGGTGGCCTGGCCTGCTTCTTCTTTATCGGCTACAACGCATATGCACTTGCCTTTTACTATGGAACCACCCTTGTGCTCTTCGGCATCGGCAACGTCGGCATTGTCGTCAATGTTTTACTTGCAATCATGATTGGCTCTTTCTCTCTCGCGCAAATGGCACCCGAAATGCAGGCGGTGTCCAATGCCCGCGGTGCCGCCGCCAAACTGTTCGCGACAATTGACCGCGTTCCCACCATCGACTCCGCCTCGACCGAGGGGAAGAAGTTGGATAACGTTGAGGGACGCATTTCACTGGAGCATGTCTCTTTCAACTATCCTTCGAGGCCGGAAGTTAGAGTTCTCAATGACCTCACGATCCACTTCGAGGCCGGTAAGACTGCTGCCTTAGTCGGCGCGTCTGGTTCGGGCAAGAGCACGGTCGTTGCTCTCGTGGAGCGGTTTTACGATCCTCTGCAAGGTGGTGTTCAGCTCGATGGCCACGATCTCAGAGAACTCAACGTTAGCTGGCTCCGTAGCCAGATCGGTTTTGTCGCACAGGAGCCTACGCTATTCGCTACCTCTGTTCGGCAGAACGTAGAGCACGGCCTCACCGGTACACCTCTAGAGAACCTTTCGCCCCAGGAAAAGCTGGCACTGGTAAAAGAAGCGTGCGTGAAAGCCAATGCCGATAGTTTCATCAGCAAACTCCCTGAAGGATATGAAACGAACGTTGGGCAGGCTGGACTTCTGATGTCTGGAGGCCAGAAACAACGTATTGCGATTGCTCGTGCTATCGTTTCCAACCCGAAGGTTCTGCTCCTGGATGAGGCAACATCTGCTCTTGACACCCAATCGGAAGGTATTGTGCAAAACGCGCTCGATAAGGCTTCCCAGGGTCGCACCACAATAACAATTGCGCACCGATTATCTACTATCCGTCGGGCGAATCAAATCTATGTGATGGGCGAGGGTCGTGTTCTAGAACACGGGACGCACAACGAATTGCTTTCCAACAAGGAAGGCGCGTATTCTAGTCTCGTCTCCGCACAAAAACTCCGTGAGCGCCGAGACGGTCAACAGGATGACAAGGAAGATGGCGTCGATGATCAAGCAGAGAAACTGGAAGGACCCCTTATGACTGATGCTGAAGCGCAGGCAGCCGCAGAGGCAGAGATCCCACTCCAAAGAACTGGTACCGCCTTCTCTATTGGCTCGGAAATTACGAAGCAGCGCCGTCAAGAAGGCTTACTGCCTGATCAACAAGTTGACAAGACCTACGGTTTTCCTTACCTGTTCAGGCGCATTGGGGCAATCAACCTCAGTGCCCTCAAGTTCTATGCGTTTGGATCCATTTTCGCCATTGGATTCGGCATGATCTACCCCGTGTTCGGCATCGTTTATGGTATTACCCTTCAAAGCTTCGCCACCAACACCGGCTCTGCTTTGAGGCACGCGGGTAATATGAACGCCCTCTACTTCTTTATTATTGCAATCGCGGCATCAGTTTGCGGTGGGGGGATGAACTCCTTGTTCGGTGTCGCTGCCACACATCTGACAGCGAAACTACGCTCAATCTCATTCTCGTCAATTATGAAGCAAGACAGTGCGTATATTTTCATTTGCTTGGTAAGTTGCATTATGCTCACATTATTTTTTAGTATCTTGGTTCGACGAGGATCGTCACTCGACTGGCGCCCTTACCGCTAACCTTTCTGACTACCCACAGAAAATTAGCGGTCTGGGCGGTGTCACTCTTGGTACCATCTTACAGAGCGCTACTACGGTTGTTGGCGGGGCAATCGTTGGTCTTTGCTATGGTTGGAAGCTCGCCCTCGTGGGGATCGCCTGCGTTCCGTTTGTCATCGGCTCCGGCTGGATTCGTCTGCAGGTGGTAGTCATGAAAGACGAGAAGAACAAGGCTGCTCACGAGGAATCGGCTCAGCTCGCTTGCGAAGTCGCCGGCGCTATCCGCACCGTTGCTTCCCTAACCCGTGAGAAGGCAGCATGCAGGGAGTACAGTGACAGCCTTGAGATACCCCTCAGGAGATCGAACAGGAATTCGATTTACAGCACTGCCCTGTATGCCCTGTCACAAACACTGGGCTTCTTCACCATCGCCTTGGTATTCTGGTATGGGTCTCGCTTGGTTGCATCCCAAGAGTACGATACCCAGCGGTTCTTCATCTGCCTGATGTCTGTTACGTTTGGTGCCATGCAAGCGGGCAACGTGTTCACATTCGTGCCCGATATCTCTTCAGCGAAAAGCTCGGCTAGTTCTATTATCAACCTGATCGACAGTGAACCCGAGATCAACGCGGACTCCACCGAAGGCAAGAAGCTGACAGACGTGAAGGGCCAGATCACCTTCCACGATGTTCACTTCCGCTACCCGACCCGACCCGGGGTCCGTGTCCTTCGAGATCTCTCCATCCAGGTCAACCCTGGTCAGACGGTCGCCATCTGCGGCCCTTCCGGCTGCGGGAAATCTACTACTGTCCAGTTGATTGAGCGGTTCTACGATCCGTTGGCCGGAGGTGTATCCTTTGACGGCGTCCCGATCACGGAACTCAACGTTGGAGAGTACCGCAAGCACATTGCGATCGTATCACAAGAGCCTACATTATACAGCGGTTCAATCCGATTCAACATTCTACTCGGTGCCAACAAAGCCGCAGAAGAAGTGACGAAAGACGAGCTAGAGGAGGTCTGCCGCGACGCCAACATCCTGGACTTCATCCACTCCTTGCCTGATGGCTTCGATACTGAGGTGGGTAGCAAGGGCACATCCCTTTCCGGTGGCCAAAAACAACGGATCGCTATTGCCCGGGCGCTCATTCGTAACCCTAAAGTGCTTCTTCTCGATGAGGCTACCTCCGCTCTTGACTCGCAGTCGGAGCATGTGGTGCAAGAGGCGCTCGACACTGCAGCCCGTGGTCGGACTACCATCGAGATTGCGCATCGTTTGAGCACTATTCAGAATGCCGACCGTATCTACTACATTGCAGAGGGGAAGGTGACAGAGGAGGGGACGCACGACGAGCTTTTGCGCATGCGTGGAGGGTATTATGAGCTCGTGCAGCTGCAAGCACTGAGCAGAGCAGACATGGCATGATTCACGAGGGTACGATGGGGATTTGGGGACAATTTGCAGCTTTTTGGGATACACATCTACGTTTTATTTGAATTCTGAGTGTTGTATCTATAGTGTAGGTCGCAACTCACATTCTGGTTGCGATAGAGTATGCGTGTAAGAGTAAGGTTCACAATAACGTAAAATCACTCGAAGATTGTTGGAGCGCAGCCTCGACGGCAAAGTGAACCATTCATGTTTATCAATAACATACATCGGCCCGTGTTTTGTCTCCCAGGCAACGGCGCATCAGAAGTCCTGTTAACGTCATAATAAACCCTGAATCAAGTAGTGCAGGTGGTTTGTCACGTACATGTACAATTTCTGGAATGATATGGGATTGCTTTCTTGGCACAGGTCGAACGTATACGGCAACATCACAAGTTAGGTTGTATTATAATTATTATTCTATTATATCTGTTGTATTTAGTTTCTCGTTTAAACTGCCCTAAAGACACCGTTGTATAGTGCCAAGACCCACCTGGTGGTTCCTGTCCCGTTTACGTATTCATCCCCCCCCCTTGCATTGCTCCACAAGGTGTTGCGAGAGAACGACACAGGGTCTCATTTATTCAGATTACGGGAACGGGTCTGCCGGAACGAGTCGTCATTTGATGTGCCATGCGCCCACAGATTTAGGACGCCGACGTGGAAGGGGATCCGATTGTGAGCGGAACACTGGCCAATGGTGAAATTGATGAACAGTTGGTAACACCGGGTTTACCAGCAGATTGTCCTGGTTCACCCGAGCCAGCTCAGGAAGGAGTCGAAGGGGATACCGGCGCGGATTGTGGCGAAATTCATCATCCCGAGTTGATACGTTCAGCACGGTGGCTCACCAAAAAGGAGAATACCGCAAAGGCTTATGAAGCTTAAATGAAAGGAAGCACTGTTCATTTCCCGGCGGCCTATATACGCGGCCGGTCGGCTCGGCGATCCCATGCGCGAGGAGATTATGTCAGCGTGGGGATTAAGTTGGCTGCCGCCCACGAATGTCCACGACAGGGCCATGGGGACAATGAGCGCACAATGAGAACAGCCATCGATGTAAGGTCACGTGCAGTAGAGGAATTGCGCCGAGGTAGGGACGAAGCAGTGATCGGTGAGTGATCGGTGGGGGTCAGGGGACGAGAAGCATGGAACAAGCTATGAGTAGGGCCGAGCAAGGGATAGGTTGTGCCCCTGGGTGCCCTGGGCGCCGGCTGACACGCCCATGCCTGAAGGGATCGCCCGTAGGAGTATAGTCCGGCGCCCGAGGCTAGGCAAAGGCTATGGGAAAGTCCCGGGCGCCGGACATGGCTTTGAGTTTGTCGATGGCTGCACGCGGAAGTGGTCGTCCGTGGATGATAATCAACTTTGAAGATGTGCTGGATGGAATGGATAGGCATGGCTGAAGGAGGAGGCGGGATTGGACCGCTGACTCATACCGACGTGGGCCCTTGCCCCCGGCGCAGAAGACCAGCGTGTGCCGATGGGAGGCGTCTTGCGGCGGAGTCACGGTTCGTCAGATTAGGGTATTGAGGTGCAGAGTGCTTTGACACGGAAATACGATGATTGTTAAAGGATTGTATTTTGGGGATGAATTGGAATAAGAGAAAGTTGTTAATGAAGTGTGTGGCTGAGAGTTATGTGTCATTATGCTGACGTACGCGGCTTGTTGAAGGCGACCCTCGGCTGAGAAGAGTGGTCTTGCGCAGACGGACGCCATCGGACCCATGTCAGCCTACACTATAAAGCAGGCCCATGAACACAAGCCTTCTCTATCCCGTACATTCATCTACGCCGACATCCCCCCTCTCTCCACCTTCCCTTTCTCCCCTCGTTCTCTTTCTTCATCTCTCTCACCTTCGACACTGACAGATGGCTGACCTCGAGAAACAACAGCTGCAACAGCTGCAGTCTTCCACCGCCTCAGACAACGACGACACTCCCACCCACCGCACATCCAATGGAACCTTCGACATCAAAGTAGAGAAGGCAGCCGCAGCAGAGCAAGATGAGAAATCAAAAGGATTGTTCGTACGGAAAGGCGCAAAGGGGGAGAAGAAGACTCGTGCTGGCAAGAAGAAGGACGCAGAGGTCGAAGGTCTCAAGCCCGTACCTCTCTCTGCCCTTTTCCGCTTTGCGACAAAGTTCGAGTTGGCTATTGGCGCTATTGGCCTTGTCTGCGCTGTTGCTGCCGGTGCTGCTCAGCCACTCATGACCCTCATCTTTGGTAATCTCACCACGTCGTTTGTCAACTTCACAACCATTGTCGTCAATGGCACCCCGGATCAGATCGCTTCAGCCGCCACCGACTTTAGGCATACCGCCGCCCAGGACGCGCTCTACCTTGTCGTGATTGGCATTGGGATGTATGTTGTCACACACTTGTACATGCTTATTTGGACATATACGGGCGAGATGAATTCTAAGCGGGTCAGTACATATATGCGCACTTCCGTCAAGTCCTCAGACTGACCTTGATTAGGTTCGTGAAAACTACCTTGCAGCTGTGCTCAGGCAAGATGTGGCCTTCTTCGACAACCTTGGCGCTGGTGAAGTCGCGACACGAATCCAGACGGACACTCACTTGATCCAGCAAGGTACATCGGAGAAGATCCCGCTTATTGTGACCTTCATCGCAGCCTTCGTCACAGGTTTCGTTCTCGCTTACATCCGTTCCTGGCGTCTTGCTCTTGCACTCACTTCTATCGTACCTTGCATTTCCATCACCGGCACGATAATGAATCGCTTCATCTCCGGGCTTATGCAAAAATCCCTCAAGGCCGTGGCGGACGGTGGCTCCCTCGCAGAAGAGGTCATCTCCACCATCCGTACCACCAAGGCCTTCGGCACGCAGCGCATCCTTTCCGCGCTCTATGATACCCACGTTGAGAAAGCCCATAACGCGGACATGAAGCAGGCGATCGCGCACGGTATTGGACTCTCTTGCTTCTTCTTCATTATCTACAGTGCATATGCGCTCGCCTTCTACTACGGCACCACCCTCGCTCTCCTCGGCATTGGCGATGTTGGCGTTATCGTCAATGTCTTCCTTGCCATTCTCATTGGTTCCTTCTCCCTGGCTATGATGGCGCCCGAGATGCAGGCCGTGTCTCACGCACGCGGTGCCGCCGCAAAGTTGTTTGCCACTATCGATCGTGTCCCCACCATCGATTCCGCCTCGACCGAGGGCAAGAAGCTGGATAACGTTGAGGGCCGGATCAGCCTCCAGAATGTCTTCTTCGACTATCCTTCCCGCCCTGACGTCCGGATTCTCAAGGACCTCACTCTTCACTTCCAGGCCGGCAGGACTGCTGCGCTGGTTGGTGCTTCCGGTTCCGGCAAGAGCACGATTGTTGCTCTCGTGGAGCGGTTCTACGATCCTCTCCAGGGTAGTGTTCAGCTCGATGGCCACGATCTCAGGGAACTCAACGTCAGCTGGCTTCGTAGTCAGATCGGCCTCGTCTCCCAGGAACCTACTCTTTTTGCCACTTCGGTCCGCCATAACGTCGAGCATGGTCTGACCGGTACGCCATTCGAGAACCTCTCTTCCGAGGAGAAGCTCGCGCTCGTTAAAGAAGCATGTGTCAAGGCGAATGCCGACGGATTCATCACCAAGCTTCCCGAAGGGTATGATACCAATGTCGGCCAGGCTGGTCTCTTGCTCTCTGGTGGTCAGAAGCAGCGTATCGCCATCGCTCGAGCTATTGTGTCCAACCCCAAGATCTTGCTTCTCGACGAGGCCACGTCTGCTCTTGATACTCAGTCTGAGGGCATCGTCCAGAATGCGCTTGACAAGGCTTCCCAGGGTCGCACGACCATTACCATTGCCCATCGTCTCTCTACCATCCGCGACGCTGACCAGATTTACGTGATGGGTGATGGCCAAGTCCTCGAACACGGCACGCACAACGACTTGCTTTCGCGCGAGGATGGGCCATACGCACGTCTTGTTAACGCCCAGAAGCTGCGCGAACGCCAGGGTGGCGATGATCTGGAGGAGGACGAAGACTCCGAAGGTCAAGCTACCAAGCCCAGCGGACCTCTCATGACCGATGCCGAGGCTGCAGCCGCAGCCGAGGCCGAGATCCCCCTCAAGCGCACTGGAACTGGCCGCTCCGTTGGCTCTGATATCATGGAACAGCGCCGGCAGGCGGGACTCTTGCCCGAACAGCAGCTCGAGAAGGACTACGACTTTATCTACCTTTTCAAGCGGATGGGTATGCTCAACCGTGACGCACTCAGGCTGTACGGGTTTGGCACCATCTTCGCAATCTGCACGGGCATGGTCTACCCAGCCTTTGGCATCGTCTACGGTATCACTATCCAAAGTTTCGCCACGTATACCGGTGCGTCGCTGAGGACAGCAGGTGATCGCAACGCCCTCTGGTTCTTCATCATCGCTATCGCTGCTTCCATTGCCATTGGCTTCAACAACTCGTTCTTTGGCGCTGCGGCTGCCCAACTCACTAGCAAGCTGCGCTCAATATCTTTCTCCTCCATTCTGAGGCAGGATGGTAAGTCTCTCCGCTCTTAGATGTAGATATACGCTCATGGTTTTCTTTAGTTACGTGGTTCGATGAGGAGCGCCACTCCACCGGTGCCCTGACGGCCAACCTTTCTGATAACCCCCAGAAGATCAGCGGTCTTGGTGGCGTCACCCTCGGCGCCATCGTGCAGAGTGTCACTACTGTCATCGGTGGCGCTATCATTGGTCTATGTTACGGCTGGAAGCTCGCGCTCGTCGGTATTGCCTGCATCCCATTCGTCATCAGCGCTGGTTACATCCGGCTCCGTGTTGTTGTCCTCAAGGATCAAAAGAACAAGGCTTCCCACGAGGAGTCGGCTCAGCTTGCCTGTGAAGTCGCTGGTGCTATCCGCACTGTTGCCTCCCTGACTCGTGAGAAGGCGGCCTGCAGGGAGTACAGTCAGAGTCTTGAGATCCCTCTCCGGAACTCGAATAGGAACTCGATCTACAGCACTGGCTTCTACGCTGTCTCCCAGGCTATGTCATTCTTCGCCATCGCCCTGGTCTTCTGGTACGGATCCCGTCTCGTCGCCGATCTCGAGTACAGCACCGAACAGTTCTTCATTTGCCTCATGTCTGTCACCTTCGGTGCCATTCAAGCCGGCAACGTGTTTACCTTTGTACCTGATATGTCCTCCGCAAAGGGCGCAGCGGCGTCTATCATCAACCTGATCGATACTGAGCCGGAGATCGACTCGGACTCCACGGAGGGCAAGACGCTCACCGACGTCAAGGGTCAGATCACCTTCCACGATGTCCACTTCCGCTATCCCACCCGCTCCGGTGTTCGCGTGCTCCGTCATCTGTCGATCCATGTCAACCCTGGCGAGACGGTCGCCATCTGTGGTGCTTCCGGCTGCGGCAAGTCCACCACCATCCAGATGATTGAGCGGTTCTACGACCCGTTGGCGGGCACTGTTTCCCTCGACGGTATCCCGATCACGGCACTCAACGTAGCCGATTATCGCAAGCACATTGCCATTGTGTCTCAGGAACCAACACTTTATGCCGGTACCATCCGCTTCAACATCCTCCTCGGTGCCTGCAAACCTGCAGAGGAGGTGACGCAGGAAGAGATCGAAGACGCTTGTCGGGACGCCAACATCCTGGACTTCATCAAGTCTTTACCTGATGGCTTTGAGACGTCTGTCGGCAACAAGGGAACCTCGCTTTCTGGTGGCCAGAAGCAGCGGATAGCTATCGCGCGTGCTCTGATACGTAATCCGAAAGTGCTTCTGCTCGATGAGGCCACCTCGGCTCTCGACTCGCAATCTGAACGTGTCGTGCAGGAAGCGCTCGACACTGCTGCTCAGGGTCGGACGACAATCGCCATTGCCCATCGTCTTAGTACGATCCAGAATGCCGACCGTATTTACTACCTTGCCGAGGGTAAGGTGGCCGAGGTCGGTACGCACGACGAGCTCTTGCGTTTGCGTGGTGGTTACTTCGAGCTTGTGCAGCTTCAGGCTTTGAGCAAGAGGGAATGAGTATCCTTGCGGACAGTTTCACGGTTTTGGGTTAGAGACAGACATATTCACATCTACAAGGAAGTTTACCACATTCTCTCTGCAATGACGGCGCCACCTACGAAGTTATGTTTATGATAGAGGCTAGCGATAGAGCGGACGTAATGCAGCCCTGGCATTTCTGGGCTTGGAAATTCATGTATGCCTAGCAGCGGTAATGCAATTGGTGACTGAATAGTATCATTATGTATTTTGTGTGTCCATTTATGGAAATAAGTGTTTGGTCACTGGTCGCCACAAGGACCGGAGTAACGGCCGCGGAAGAACCGGTACGTGTGGCTGTGCTATAAGAGTGGCGTCAAAGGTACATCGTACTCTCGTGTTCAAAGCAGTTGTACGCGCGGCCTGTACTCTCATTCTCAGTACTCCTTGCACCACTTCATCCAACTCACGCACAATGGTCCGTTACAGTGTTTGGATTCACCGTTGGACACCACTCATCCCGCATATAGGACAACACCTACCGTATCGTTCCTGCTTCCAATGCGGGTTCATCAACTGCTTCCCTAAAGGATACAGCCAACGAGTACGGCTTACATGATACGATGCGCTATGGCATGCGGAGCTTGGCAGCGGAGATCAAGCAGGTCGCACCGCTCCAAGGCAGGCTTGAGAACGTGCGTCTGTTCGCTTCCGTAAGATCGTGTATCCGTAAGGCTGATATATGCTGGTTTTGGCGCTGCGTTAGTGGGAAGAGACGCAGGATAACTTGAAGCTGAACATGCAGAGGAACCTTTATGGCTTACATGCGCCTGTTAGGCTGTTAATGGAGAGGAGGGCAGTTTCTCAGGTCCGTTGTCGTAGTTCCGATTGTTTGGTGTCCTGATAGCGTTTTCGGCAGACTCCGCATATGCCTGCTCTGCCCCGCTCAAACGTCCATCTAGATATCCTGATGGGACGGGACGAGGTGCTCGACCCGGCGGAGATTATGGACGGTATGTCATCTGTGGCGCAACGCTGGGATTATGCTGACATGCGTGTGCAGGAGCAGAGGGGGCCGAAGCGATGGATATCCACGGAGAGATGGAGAAGAAGCTCAAGCTGTAGCAGGGATGTATAATATAAGCTGATGGTTTGCACGCTTTTGTGCCATGGTTGGGAGCACATTGCCCAGTCAGGTTGTTTGCGTGTTCTGTCGGTGCGGAGGTACGAAAGGAGGAGAAATGTGGGGCAGTGTGCCTTGACCATGGTGTGAAAATGCAAACTGTTTTAATCGATGCACTCGAGTATTCCACCGACAATGGTTAGTCCGAGATGTCCAATGCCATGGATCTGATAGACCACGAATATTACCATCGAGAAGAGAATTTATTTTTCGAAGTTTTGTTGACGGTAGGGTTCAATCATTCGGGAATTGTCGTGTTTATTTGGTCACGCACACTTAAGCAGACAATGCGGTCGGCAATGGGCAATTCAACGATGAACAGATGGAATGCCTCGTTGAATACACAGGTCTTCATCTAACCATCACCGTACATCGCTCTTGCATGCTTAAACCGCATGCAATCACGCTGCAGCACGCAATTTGATTCAAATATCGCCTGTCACTCGCTGCTCTGGAACTTGGCTCATGCGCTCTGACCACTCTTAACACACACGATGTCGAACGGTGTACTCCCCCCCAAACCCCCTAGCCTCACACACACGCTCCATCAAGCCCAGTCCTCCGTGCTCTGCCTAGCAGCAGACGATCTGCACATCTTCAGCGGTACACAGGAGAACAACGTCTATGTACGTCCTGGCTGAGTCATGCGATCCTGCGTATTACTGAGATGGTACAGGTATGGGATCGGAAGACATTGCAGAGGGAGACAGTCTTGAAGGGTCATACTGGCAGCGTGCTCGCCCTCGTCCTAGCAGAAGAAAAGAAATGGCTCTTTAGCTCGGCAGGTGAGTCGTCTTGTGATCAGACTCCGAATGTTTATGTCTGATCGACATGCAGCGGATAGCACAGTCAGAGTACGTCCCCCCTCCTCCTATGTCGCTCTTCTAACTCCCCTCAGATATGGTCCACCACCACTCTTACTCCCGTCTATCTCCTCCTCCCCGTGCTCGACGTCTACTCCGGTGACATATTCACCCTCGCGTGGAACGCGTCCCAGTGTACCCTCTACTTCGGATGCCAGGACACCTCAATCCAATACTACAACTTCAACAACTGCAAGCCCCAGTGCGCGTCCAGCACTCCCCCAAAACAGTACCACAAGTTCTTCGACTCCTCCCCGCGGTTTGCGCATGCCGCGCGGCTGGAAGAAGGGGGCGTGGAGAGCGTAAAGGTCCCCGAGATCGTGAGGGAAGAGGACTGGCAGGTCCTTCAGGTGCCGAGGGGGAACATAGTCCCTGCAGCGCATTATGGTTATGTGTACTCTATGGCGCTCGTAGAGCCCCGGGAGGGGGGGATGATGCTCCTCACCGGGAGTGGCGATGAGGACGTCAAGGTGCGCAACCTCTTTCCTTCAATGGAGCTCGATCATGCTCATTTCACATAGATGTGGGACTGTACGCCCACTGGACTCATCCTCCGCACTACCCTGAACGGAGCCAGCGGAGGTGTTCTCAGCCTTGCAGTGCGCGAAGATACGGTCTATGGTGGCTGCCAGAGCGGGTTCATCAAAGTCTGGGATCTCGAGACCGGGGCTGTGATACGGACGATCACTGCTCAGGAAGTAAGCGTTCCACATCTGTATCTGATCGTTTGTTGATAAAGGCCAGAACGAGGACGTACTGGCGTTGACGCTGCTTGGCACGGACTTGTATGCTGCGTCTGCTAACGGTCAGATTCAGGTGGGTCTTGAAGTACCCCGTTTGGGCTTTGCGCTAAATTATCGTAGCGGTGGAACGGATCCTTTGAGCAGACTGCTTCTTGGCACGCTCATGAAGGCAGCGTCCTTTCTGCGCTCATCGTTGCACCACGTGCAGAGGTAATACACGACAATCGGAGCCAGTATCAGCTCGTTACCGGAGCGAACGACGCTACCATGAAGGTACTGTAGTACTTTCTTCTACAGTTAGATGGACGCTGACCATGTCCTAGCTGTGGGACATCGAGAAACCACCCGAACTCAAGCAGTCTCCCTCGTCCAGCTCCATCTGCAGGACAGGCCCAGATCCCCGGGCTGACGACCTCGTTGCTGCCTTGACAGACTTTGTTGCGTACCCATCTGTGAGCATTGAGGCGCATCGCGAGGACTGCAGACAGACGGCACTGTTCTTGAAACGCATCCTGACTCAACTCGGAGCTGATGCTCACGTAGTAAGTCCTCAACCCAACATCGGCTCTATCGCTAATGGGGACTCTGTAGCTACCTGGAAGTCCCGGTCGTAATCCTATCGTCTCCGCCGTATTCAAGGGCACACCCAAAGGCACCACACTCAAGCCTCGGATACTGTTCTACGGACACTACGATGTCATAGCTGCTCCTCCCTACGGTTGGGACAGTCCGCCGTTCTCTCTTACCGGGCGAAACGGGTACTTGTATGGCCGTGGTGTGACGGACGACAAGGGGCCTATCATGGCTGCTGCCATGGGTATCTCCAAACTACTTGCCAAGAGGTCACTCCACGCAGATGTCATCATGCTCATTGAAGGCGAGGAAGAAGCGGGCAGCGAGGGGTTCAAGGATATGGTACAGAAAAACAAAGACCAAATAGGACCTATCGATGCCATTCTTGTCAGGTACGCATGTTCCCTAACGCAAGTGGCAGATACTGACATGACTATAGTAACTCGTACTGGATCGGTGAGGACACGCCTTGTCTCACCTATGGTCTGCGTGGTGTCATACATGCAGCGCTGGAGATCGGCAACGATCAGCCTGATCTTCATTCTGGAGTAGACGGAGGAGCGGTGAGAGAGCCTATGGTCGATATGTGAGCGATGCTTTCCCTTGATCCTGTCAACCAGCTAATACTTTGCAGGGTGCAACTGCTGTCCACGCTCTCTGCAGGGCCAAGTGTGTTGATACCTGGCTTCTGTAAGTTCTATCTCGGACCTTGCTGATCTCTACGATCCTGAACTCGTAATAGACGAGAATGTTCGACCCGCGACAAAGGCCGAGCTGGATGCGTTCGACACCCTCTCGGACATCACCGGCAAGCCGGCATCCAACCTCCGCGCACGCTGGCGAGAGCCTTCTCTAAGTATTCACAGCCTTGGCGGCTCTGGTCCAGGCAACTCCACCACGATCCCGCACTCGGTACGCGCGAAAGTATCAGTTCGTATCGTCCCCGATCAGGAGCTGGAGGAGATCGCCCAGGGGCTCGTGAACCATCTACAATCTTCGTTCAAGGCTCTGAACTCGACCAACAAGCTGAAGATCACTGTGGATCGCAAGGCGGATTGGTGGCTTGGGAAATTGGACGATAGGTTCTTCCTTGCCCTCGAGAGTGCCATCGAGCAGGAGTGGGGCGTGCGCCCGCTTAGGATTCGTGAAGGAGGTGTACGTCCTTATTTGATTCTCAGTGTGAAGACAGTATTGATCATATTCATATAGTCTATTCCCTCTCTTCCTTTCCTTGAGAAAGAGTTCGGATGTCATGCGCTTCACCTTCCAATGGGCCAGAGTTCTGTATGTGACTCTGCCGTGCTGTGGGCGAGGACAATACTTACATTAGTCTTTGGGGCAGGATCAAGCACATCTTAGGAACGAACGGATCTCGTTGAAGAACTTACGTAAGGGTCAGGATGTAGTGGCACGATTCTTACTCAATCTCTCATCGTGATGGTACGATACCATACTGCTTGGATAGGCACTATCCAGCATCAATTGTAGATTACATTCATACCTAACATACAGTGCATGTACCATGAACACCTAAACATCAAATGTTAATTCGTCATCGCAGCTTCACAGCGGCTGATCCATGTCCAGATCATCCGCCGGATCAGCCGTGACACCGTCCTGTGCCCAAAGTTGCAAGAACTACACCCTTTGTAAGTCTCATAGACCTTGCTATAGTAGAGTTCATGGACGTACCTGTCTCCGCTGGGTACGAAGGTCCTCCATAGTCACGAGGCTCGTCATCGCAAAGGGAAGTCTTTCATAGTCCATAGGGTAATCATGCTTCCGCATCGCAGGTCTATCCCCCAAGTTGCTCTTCTTCCCGATGACAAACTTCAAGCATTTCCTGCGCCAATTTCAGTTCTGATCTTTCGCTATGAAACCTGGTAGCTCACTCTTCCGATAAACCATACACGCCCTTCAAGTAGCCTTTGAGGACAAGGATAATACCCACCGCAACCGACGATCGCATGAGTGGGAAGGCATCGGATAAGGTTGCTAGAATCTGAATCAGCGATGAAACGAGATGAAACGACGATGAACCTACGTCTTCCACCATCGGCCAGACCGGTTTGAGTCTAGGTTAGGCTCAGTAAATGGACGCCGTCCTCGAAAAACCATTCCAGCTCACAATGAGGACTCCTTGGGCTGTATCAGCATCAATCTCGTCTCCCAAGTCCAAGCGGGCCAGCGTATCAACCACTTGCATGCCAGCCACAGAGAGTACAGACATCAAAGATCGTACAACTGTCAACACTTCTTCCAGGGTCTTGAACTCCAACGCCGACACGTTCTCCGCCATGTACCGAACAAACGCCACATCATCCTGCCCACAGGTTTGAGAAACGATATGTTCAAAGAAATGAAATAGTGATCACCTCAGTTGCAGTCAGATTCGTGGTGTCGACATCAAATGCTTTCATGATAGCCTTCAAGAGATCCTGGCGTGGACCCCGTTTTTCTCGCACCAGTGCATACCATCGATGCAAAAGAGCAACAGGAGCTTGGGCGCCTCGAAAGCCTTTCAAATGATCAGAACCAACACGCGAGCTGCATCCCTCAAGAAAATTTCGCACCTCGAACTGCACCTTCACAAATGCGCGCCTGATATTCGAAGGACTTTCGAGCACAGTCGATGAGCCTACTGTTCAACATCGAAGCATGTTTGTTCTGGAGAAGGGCATGCAGGGCACCAGCGCGGGCTGAAAGTCCCGTATCAGGGCTTGTCTCCAGAGAAATCAGGACAGGAAGACACTAGGCACGCTGTCAGAATTCTGGATAGACGCGGAGGAAGAAAAAGACATACCCGCAGCGGGTGAGCTAAGCCCTGCCTGATGGTGTATCCCAAGATGTCCACGGAGAACCTTTGGGTTGGCAGGTGGGTGGACAACGTGCCCTCCAATATATGGCCCAAGTAGCGCTGAATGACAGTTGACGCGATACTGAAGATACCATCAATACTCGTTGGTAGAAAACTGGTGTTGCTATACCCAGAATCCGCGAACGTGTCCGCACTTCCAATAAGTTCATCCATGTTGACGTCTGCCTTCTTCCCAGCTTTTTTGTTTGCTAGGGGTAATGGTCAGATTCAGATGCTGAGAAGGAAATGTGTCACATACCCCGTTCTTCCTCTGCTCGCTTGGTCGCTTCCGAGGCGAGGAAATCCTGCAAAATCTTAAGGACGCGTCCCCGGCCTTCCACATCCTGCGAAGCAAATATTGAATCCATCAGACTGAGAGTGGAGTCATGAGTGAGCAGCTTGGGATAAGACTTGAACATGATCCCTGTGAATATTAAGTTAGACGTCATACTTGCCAGGTGGGCCGACGTTACCGAGACATTGTAAGGCTGCAACAGATAGTTTCTCGTTGCCTGGAAGCTTGTATAACTTCAAGAAGAGAGAATAGAAATGCTCCGTGATAGAATGCTATTGAACTGATGGTCAGCTCCGTCACATCTAATGAATGTAGGCATACAGTCGACATCGAATCGAGCTGAGCAGCAGTGTCTGTTTGAAATTAGTTCAAAAAAACTGGGATACTGAAAAAAAAGTACCGGGCTTCTGCAGCCGAACCTCGTCAAAGTCGCAATGTTCGTTAAGAAACGCGACAATGAACATAAGAAGTGGGGTAGCTTGAACAGAAGCTGGGTTGGATTTCCCTGCTTCTAATGCCTTTATCTCGACCTGCAACTTTACTTTCGAGATGTTAGAGTTTAGCGTCGTAGCAGGAATTCAATACGTACTGTTGCAGGGTTTCAATAACGTGACTAGTCGAACGTAGTCATGAGTCAGGTATTTCACTGCTGCACAAAAACAAGCGATCGTTTCCTGTAAGCTCTGAAGGGCCGTTAGATTGTGTGCATAGAATATATGACGTTCCTAACCGATATCCCGCCAGCCGAGGACGGCCTGCTTATCATTGGAAGCAAGACCTTCTGTAATTCTTCACCGAAGGCGACGGCCGTCTTAGGCATTCCAGGAATGGCCGCTCGGAAAACCTTGAGTACCGAGTCTGTGATGGCGCGCTCGTCGGCCTGCAAAAACGGAGCTCGAAACTCTCTGCATCCAACTAAACAGATACTCACCGTTGTAGCCACTTTAAGATAAGGCAAAAGGATCTCTGCTCTTGAGCCGGACATGACTTTAGGGTGTGCAGTAGCAAGAAGATAAATTCCTTGGACGCAGTAGACGGGATTCTGTAAAACCTGTTGTAACCGGCGCACTGGGATCAATTCGATGGACGCACAATTTCTGCATCTGGGTCATCTACCAGGCAATTGATCAGGCTGTCGCATAACGCGCTGTAGCGTTGGATGATAATGCTGTCGTCTTTCCTATTCTTGTCTAGAAGGATCTATACCAGAATATCAGCGTTACGTCTGATGGAGAGAAAAAAGGATTCACTTGACGAAGCAGATCCTCCAACATGGAAGTTCGATCCTTGAAGGCGCCAACTACTTCCATGAAAACGCGCATATCCTCACCGGGTGGCTGACTGGAGCTACGAGGGTTGGCCACTACAGAGGGAAACCACATCTCTTCCATCGATTTGATCGCAAGATCCTGCCAAAGGGTTATGGGCCTGACCGGCAGTTGATACCTGTTTCTACGTACTTTTACGGTCTCATCCTCGTCTAGCATACGTTGAATCATCTTGACGCAAATATCTGTTTTTCTAGCCCGATCGTCGGACACATCATAAAGGCTCTTTAGCAGCCTCATGACTCGTTTTCGTACGCCCAAACCAGTATCCTGTCCATCTTGAGCACATGATCTACTAAAATCATAAATGCAGCTCACCGCCATCCGTTCGGAAAGTTTCGCATAATATTCTCCGGTAAGGGCCGGTTCTTGGACGATGTATTTTCCTATGAGTTCAATGGCTGCCTCTCTCACTGCAGACGAGTTGTCAACCAAGTGAGACTCAATGGTCTGGCGAACGTTTTGCTATAGCAAGCGGTTGTGATCAGCTTGACAGATGAATTTGGGGAACATGACTCACTTGGCGCAGGAGCTGCGGGTCGCAGGTGATAATTTGGCCGATGGCACGCAGCGCTTTCGTGCGCATGAAGACCGCAGGGGATGTTAATGCCAAGAGGATGGCATGTATGGTTGGATCGAATGTGTTTTGGAGTGGATTGGTGGCACCAAGCAGCTGGCCAACCGTGTCGATGCGAGAGCTTTCATGATCGGAACTAAAAACATTTGAGATCACCCGTTCTTTCTAAATTGACAGAACCTCACCTGGCTTCAAAAACATCTCCACTATCCTTATCCCACGCATTGCGAATAGCATTTGACATTTCTTTGACAAGTTCTGAACCTTTTTCGAATCGTTCGGCAGACGTTGAAGCATCGGCGTCTAAATTCTCCACTGCTTGCGATAGATTGATAGCAACCTCATGGCCCCACAGTGCGATGGAAAATTCCCTTGCAATCTAGAAGAGAAGAATGAGTCATGGATAGTGTTTACTCACGAGTAACGCACAAAATAAGCTTGATCCTCAGTACGATCATCAGAAGCACGTTTGGCGAGATATGCTGTGATCTCTGATTGTGCTTCCAGGACATGCTTGAAACGATTGACGCTGCAAGAAGCGACAATCTATCGGACGGTGTCATAATCTGTCACTGGATAAGTGTAATAAGGCGTACCTCTTCTAATGGTCTGAACTTTGGCTTGCCTCCAGAATCCGCCGGCAGGGCTTTCAGGCTGACAGATCGAAGATGTGCAGCAATCGTGCCGAGATGGTCGAGAGCTAGCTGCTTGGTTGCATTGTCTGCGGTTGTTTTGACATCTTCGAGCGACGTCCACTGTTCCAGGAATCAATGCGTGATGGGCTGATCGAGCCGTTGTCCAAAGCTCACCATGAGTTTGCAGGCAAGACGCAGCAGCACCGAGGCAGCCGGCCATTCCGGCCAGTACAGCACAGTCAGAAGATCCGCCGTGAAGCTGTCGAAAACCGCTCGATATTCCGCCTCATTTGAATCTTTTGTGGTTTTGCTCTTCCCAGATCTAGAAATAATGTGAGGGATGATGCTCCGGATTTCACCAAAATGGGATCTCTGACCTGTTCACCAAAAACTGCAAAATAGTCCATGCACACGTCTGGCCACTGTCGAGCCCAGACTTGTATAATGGAATCTCCTGCAGTCCGTTAGAACCACACATATACAAGGCTCTCATCTGAGCTTACGGCGGAGGTCTCCTTATCTAGTACTTCGCCATCGTCCACCTTGACCTGCTGCGTGACCGCGTCTGTCGCGGTGCGAGCCTTCAGACTCTTGATGCTTAATCGCAGACCGCGACCAGTGGTCTGGACTAGTTGCAACAATAATGCAGAGACAATGTTGATCGACTTTCCGTTCCGTAATCTAATAAATGTAAGAAGCTGGAGTAGGACGGTAAAGATGAGCATACCTGAACTGTCCCCCTTTCCGCTTGAAATCGGGCAGCTTGATCAGAGATGTCAGGATATCCTCTATAATGCTCGATCGTTGATCAGGATGGTTAGCAAATATCTAAGAACATGGTTAGCTGTTCCCAACTATCGAAGCATAAACTCACACTCCGAATCAGACTCAACGCAGACAGCCTGAGAGCTGGGAACCCTGCCTTGCCGCCTAGGGCAAAAACAGCTGCATCTTTCGCTTTGCTTTTGGCTTTGCGGGCATCATCGCCCATAGACGAATTGTCTACTACGAAAAATGGCCCAATAGCAATGTATGTCGCGGAGATCACGATCGTCTCAGACATGGCGTGCTCGCCATGAGATATCAAGGCATCAATGCGTGGCATGAGTGACAGGAGGGATTGGAAGGTTGCAGAGAGATGTTGGGATGACGCTGACTCCTTTGACTCGGTGATCCGTTTGATTAAAGATGAATTTGCTAAATATAAATGAGCGCGCTCTCATCCCAGCTATATGAGATAACAAACTTGAGTTGTCAGCAGACGCCTCCACTATCGGATAGACAGTCTTCTCCAATGAGCCCTTGACAACATCAAGACAATCCTTAATGATATCTTCGGAGTAGAGCTACGAAGAAGTCAGGAAATCGATCTCATGCAGTACGGGAGTACACACTTTCTTAGGCAAAGCATCTGCCGTAAGCAGGGCCAGACAGCAGTCAGCAGCCATGACACCCAGAGATACGATCTCAAGCAGGTGGGTGCACTTTTCGACGCTCATATCAGCAAGTTGTTCCTCCTTACCCTCCTGCGGTTCCTCCTCAAGCGACTCATCATCTACAGGGGTATCCATGTCTTCTTCAGGCTCTCCATCAAGCCCGAGCGAGATTGCATCTGAAGCAGCTCTCGACATCGAGCGACGATCAACGACACCAGACTTTCGTGCTGATTTCGAAGGCGTTGCTTCGGGTTTACGACCGCGGCCTCCTTTATTCTTACCCTTCTTCGGAGTATTCTTGGTAGACTTCGGAGCGAGTGAAGCCGGAAAAGGTTCGAGATCGATAGCAGCCTTCACGTTTCTGTCCAGAATTCGTAGAATTCGGCCCAGAGGAGCGGAATCAACTTGGCTCAAAGCACCACGGGCTCCTTTGCGGCGGCGCGAGCGAGTCTCCACCGACGATGCCTCGATATATCGCAACAGTTTTCGTAGGACGTGAGGAAGCAACATAGGCTCGCTGCCAGGATCAAGAGACGTAGTGAAGAAGCCGCCGGTTCCTCCTGCGAGAGTGGGTGAAGTAGACAGAAGCATCGGAGATGCCTGAGGAGAAGCAGCTGGTAGCGAATCTTCGGCTTCGAAAATATCATCCAGATAATCGAGGAGCTTCTTCACATCGGCCCTATCATCCCTTTCCCCGGTACGTTTTCCAGAGGTCCTGACACCGGTGTGCCGGATGCGCGCTCCAAGACTGTCGTCAGACTCGCCTTCGGTGGCCTCATAATCATCTTCGTGACCTTCTTCCTTTGGCCGGTGCTGTCCAGGAACTGGAGGGGCAAGCACGTATGGTACCGGCCGACGTTGCGAGGACGGATGGGACTGGGAGAGAGGCTTCATAGGAGAGACGCGGTTGTCCATGGAATGAGGCGTTTGAAAAATCTCGATAACGACCTCTTTGTCTTGACGCTTCTTGGTCGGAGTGCCAAACAGGTCAAGATCGTCTCTTTCATCACGCTCTTTACGCTTGAGAGGAGAGCGAACTAGGGGTGCATTGAGTCGGGTGCCATTGGCATGAGCTGGAGAGGCTTGTGCAGCAACTCCAGAACCATGGCGAGCATACGGCCTCATCCCAATCGGATCCGGCGACTCATCATCCGTTCCAGGAACCTTTAGATCGGCTCTGGACTTCTGCGGCGTTGCTTCGGCAATGGTAGATGAGGAGTTCGGATCAAAACCATTCCTAACTTGGGACATGATAGGGTTGCCTCCATCGAGTCCTGCCAAAGCAGTGGGCCGAGGACCAGCCATGGCATTTTGTAGACTTGACAAGCTCTGCGGAGTTTGTAGCATCTTCGCCTTCGTCTCAGATAATAGCAATTCGAAAGCAGCACCAGGCTTAGTAGGGTGTTTGGGAGCTGTATTTGCTGCTGCAAGCTGTGCATTGTATGCACGATGTAGAGGATGCGTGCGAAGCGGCGGTGGGTTATTTTGCGCATGTCCCTGAAGAGAGGATGCGACAGGCTGGCTCCATTGGGTTGGAGTTGGATACTGCGGGTACGAACTTGGAGCAGGCTGAGACGAGGCCACCTGAGGCACAGTGTGCGCCGTCTGTGGTACCTGCGGGTTTGTTGCCGTGGGCGTGCTCGTAGAGACAGAGTAGGTGGGTTGAGACAGGGAAGATTGCTGCGCATATACTTGCGTCGATTGAGGAAAGGAAAGTTGTGCGGTGGTCTGCTGAGGATATGAAGCATGGAGCTGAGTTTGAGAAGTAGAGGATTGCAGTGGAGCTTGCGGTTTAGACTGAGAAGACTGAGCTGGATGTGTAGAGTATTGCGGATATGGTACAGTTTGAGCTTGGGCAGAGTATGAAGGCTGGGGCTGGGAAGGGTAAGAGGATTGAGACTGCGAAAGAGAGCGCTGCTGTGACTGCACCGGCTGGTGAGTCGCCTGCTGCTGCTCAATCGAGGGCTCCTGTTGATAGGGTGCATGCTGCTGCTGATAGGACGACTGCTGCTGCGAATAAGACTGGTGCTGGTGATAAGATGACTGCTGAGGTTGCTGATACGATGGTTGCTGAGGTTGCTGATACGATGACGGCTGCTGCTGATATGCCGTTGCATGCTGAGTAGGCAGCCTCGTTTGCGCGTACGAATCCTGCGGCGACAGCCCCTGGGACAGCTGCTGAGGGTATGTTACTTTAGGTTGAGAATGGGTAGACTGCTGGCTAGGGTAAGTACTTTGCTGAGGCGGGGTAGGCATCTGCTGTTGAGCCGTTGAGTGGGCTTGGTATTGATACGCCTGATATGTGGCTTGCGGTTGAGCGTAGGAAGCCAGCTGAGTCTCCTGGTGCGAAGTCTGCGGAGTCATCTGCTGATACATGGCAGGCGACTGAGACTGAGAAAGCGAGCGCTGAGGCTGCGATGGCGGTCTCTGAGACTGGGAGTTGGTTCGTTGATGCTGCGTAGCTGGGAGCGCTTGCGCTTGCAAAGGCGCTTGTGACGCGCCCGTCTGGTACTGCTGATATTGCGGATGCTGAGGGTGCGTACCTTGAGTAGGCGACTGAGATGGGTAGGAGAAGGACTGGAGAAGAGAAGAGGAAAACGAGTTGGCCTGGTACGTCGGGTAGGTAAACGAAGCGGCCAGCTGCGGTACCTGTGGTGGTGTCGGCTGCTGAACAGGAGAGGTATACGCGGTTCTGAAGCGCATACACTCAGCTTTTTACACATGCGCATATATGCAGCATATACATACCTCTGGTTCCCAGGCAGCGCTTGCTCTCCCCTCAACAACTCCACAGCGCGTCGCTGGTGGTCTTCCCAGTACGCGCGTTGGCTCGGTCCCAGCTGACTCGGAGCAGTTTGGAGTATCTGCGCAGGTCGGTCGTGCTCCTGCTGGTACGCGTATGTACCCGCGTGCCCACCGAACTGGTCGTAGTACTGCGGGCAGAGGACAGACGGGTATGGCCGCGCGTCCGTGGCGGAGCGGGCTAGTGCCGTCGCCTGCTGGGTGACTGTGTGCGCTGAGGGGATACATTCACTGCATAGAAAGGAAGCTGACTTACTCTGTCCTGTTGGGAGAGTTGACGCGAAGGGATATACGGAGAGGAGGGTCTGGGTAGAAGTAGACGCCTGCGGCTGGAAGGAGTTCTGCTGCTGCTGTTGCTGATGGTGCTGAACAGGTGGCAGCTGGCCGTTCTGTGCCAGCCAACGGTGGTCCATGTTGGTGGTGTTTACAACAGTCACGCGCGAGTGATGGTGGGTCTGAATAGGTACCAGAGAAGCGGAAAAGCGGCTACAAACTCCGTTGTGTGTGAGAGCGCCTGCGGGACACGATCGGATACAGAGTACTTCGGCACGCGTCCCTGATCGTTAGAAGAAGAGTCACCGGAGGCAAAAAGGATATATTACACCTCAACCTTCTTGTGGCTCTTTTGCAACAGTCATCTGCTTTTGCACTCAAGTTAAAACCTCTTCCAGACCATGGACCAGAGAAGTGAAATATCACTCTAGAAGCATGCACATGATCTGCCAGGCATTATCCCCTGGCTCTCGGGCGGTGACGGATTCCCATTCTCCGAATCCAAGCCGGCTCAGGCGGCGGACCTTTTCACAATAAAACCACCCAGTCTCTTTTCTATAAAAAAATCGACGTGAATTAGAAATCATGCAGGCAAGGGCGGAATGATTTAGCCCTCAGCATGGTGGCCTGTGTCACTCTAATGTCAGGATCTGGACAAGGAAGATTCACACGTGGAGGAGTCATGTCTCCCCATTCGGCCCGGCCAAGTGACTCCTCCAACTTGCGAGACTACGTTTTGTCCTTCGGACGACCTGAATTAAGGGTTGAGCGAAGTTCCAGAGCTGCGCAGATATCGATATTAGAAAGATATGAGGTTGCGATATCATGATCCACTCCAACAATACCTCTTTAGGTCCGTGCGACAGAGATCAATGAAATGGTGCACAACGATCCCAAATGCGCACAAGACTGTGTCTAAGCATCGCATACCAGACCCCATGCCTCTTGTGACTGTTCCACCTCGATGTGGCCCAGCCCATCAAACACATCTAGAGTTTGTGTTTGTGAGCATCAAGATTAGCGCCCGTGACATCCTTTTCTCCGAACTCCGCGGACTTGCGGGCGCCAGTAGACTACAAACGCTACATATATAACGACGCTAACGACGCTCTTCCTCCCCTTTTCCCCAGCTCTAACGATGTCCCAATCCCCTCCAAATGCACTCTACGTCCCCTCCACATCCCAGCTCGTCCTCGAGCTCTTCGTACGAGACCTCCCCACCTCTCTAGCGTTCTACAACTCCCTCGGATTCACCCTTGTCGCCCAACGCGGATCGTTCGCCGAGCTCTCATGGGAATCCCACCTCCTCTTCCTGGACGCCTCTCACCCATCTCTCAACCTCCCCCCGCAGACATACCACCCGCAGGCAAATGTTCGCGTTATGGTACCCGATGTGGACGCAGCCTGGGAGCGAGCGAAGGAGCTAGGAGCGAGGGTGCTGTCACCTATCGAAGATCGGTATTATGGGTTGAGGGATTTTACGATCCTGGACCCGGACGGGTTTGGAGTGAGGTTTGGAACGAGGCTGAGGAGTGATGTTGGTTAGAGAGATGGACGATTGGACTATCTGTGGGAGGCATTTCCCCGCCCGTGCACGGGCCACCCTCGTCACGTGAGCAAAGACGGTATGTATCCCAAACGATATCTGGAAAATCACACTAACTCCTATGTCCCCGGTAACTTTTTAATCGCCCGTCCTGCTATGGGCCTCCCCGAGTTACTTGCACCTCGTGCTCCGAAAAATTCAACCACCCTCTCTTCCCAATCTTATCGTTGCCCCAACCCGGCGGAACATCCTCCAGTCTCCATATCAGATTGCATCTCTCCCACGACCACTTCCCCACCAGGAGCAGACCGCCGGGTCAACCATCAAAGAGAGAGCCACAAGGGATAGGGTGCATGCGGTGCGGCCCTTCCCTTCTGTAAGGCCTGGAGCGGGAGCCATATCGGGAATTGTATCCGCCAGGCTATATTTACAGTCCTGATCGTAATGAACAGATAGCTGGGCATGTGAGCCTCCATCGCGGTCATGCGTGAGCTGAGATTGGACTCTGGGTGGAGAGAAGACGCTGGAAGGGGATATGCCGGTTGGGTGGGTAAAGAAGGATGCTGGAGGGTTGGGTGCCCCAACCGCAACGGTCGTCGATACACATGCTGATGAGAACGTTCTCTCGTGTTCCAAGAAGAATGTACTCCTATTTTCTTACTATACACTCCTCACCCAACCTCTTTGTGTCCCCCTGGTCAACCAACATATCTTGACCGATAACGGCGCATATCAACCACCGAACTTTCGAGCGCATTCGGCGAGGTATGTCGGGCCGAGCGGCGTTCCTCCGGTGGGGTCACGCGCGGGCACCGCCGAAAGCGCCAATTCACCTCCGGTTCGGCCCAGACCGAATCTGGTCCCGCGGTGGGAAGCGGGGGGGTGGGTTGGTTGACAAATTTCTGACTGCTGGAAACCTTGGGGCGGGTGGGCCCGGTGGTCTATCTGGGGGCGTTTCGATGAGGTTGAGCGAGTCAGAGCGTTCCTGTTGGGTGTTTCTGTCAGTGGTTGTGAAGCGATGTCAGGATATTATGTTGTCGACCAGTAAGAAGAGGAGGATTTAATATTTTCTGTTGTGGTTAGTTAGCGGTATGGGCGGATAAGGGACCGAAATGCGAATGATCCGATTGGTGGAGGTGACTTTGCTAGCGGTGGAGCGCTCATTCCCGCCCCTTTCCGCTCAAACATCCCGCCGCGTCCCTTGAGTGAAAAGGCACTGCAGGGGTATATATACTCACCAAACAATGTAACTCCTTCCCTTACCCACTTTGACTGCCCCTCGAGCACTCTCTACCACATATCCTACTCCCACTACATCCCATCTACTACAAAAACACAACAATGTGCACTTCAAACGCTTCCGCTGCCCTGCTCCCAAGGCGTCAAACAACCAACAAGGCGTCCAAGAAGCTCCTCTGGGCGCTATCGGGACCCTCATCCTCTCACACAATAATCGACGACAGCACCCTCCTCACTTCTGCCGATCTCGAGCGGCCTGACTCATGTGGTCCCAGCGAAGGCCCAGTACGCAAGCGCCGGGCGTGCAAGAACTGCTCCTGTGGGCTTGCAGAGTCCGAAGCGGAAGAGACGCCTGCCCTCAGCTCCGGATCGAGCTCAGCTGCCGATTCAGGAGCAGAGGAGGACGTGACGTTCACTCTTCCCAAGAAGGCAGAGAAGAAGCCGACGGAGAGGGAACGCCTAATCGCTCTGGCAGAGTCGATCGAGCGTGGAGAGCTCGTCACCAGCTGCGGCAACTGCGCAATGGGTGACGCCTTCCGCTGTCCTAGCTGCCCTTACCTCGGTATGTCCCTCTCCCTACTTGCCCCGCACTGGACCTGATCGCCGTGTCTGTGTACAGGCCTCCCCGCTTTCACCCCAGGCCAGAAAGTCGAGATCGACTTTGGTGATGACCTGTGATCGTGAGCGTGGCGTGCTTCTGTGCATAGGCCGGGGCTAGTTCCTCTCGCCTTCCTGGCATTTTCTCTCTATCTCTCCCCTTTTATCGCATGCATGGGTCCTCTTTCGTTTGACGTTGGGCTCGGGTTATTATCTGCATCTGCATGATCCGCTCGACGGACACTCCTGTTGTACACTCTCCGTGGCTATAATCAAATCGCATTACAAATCTCCCTTGCCGAAGTATCCATTCAATCTAAGAGAACCTACATCGTACACTCCTTTTGCTATCCTTGGTGAATCCCTCGGTCGCCTACGCACCAACAGCGGTAGGCTCATCAAACACCTTCTCCCTAAAGCCCGGCAAGATCGTCGCCGTCCTATGTGTCTCATCCCTATACGCCTGGGGCGTCCTCTGCCATTTCTGCTTAGCAAACGTCCACTCCTCCATCGTGGGCACCTTGTTCCCGAATCGCTCGAACTCGTTCTGCGTATAGCCCTCACGTGTGAGCACAGGGCTCTCCGTAATAGTCGCAAGCTTGACGTCGTTATGCGGTCTGGAGAAGTACAGCAGCCCTAAGCGGTCAACGTGTTGCTGATCCTTGGGCGGAACGTTCACGCGGTGGATCGTGCTGCGCACATACCCACCCGTGAGGAAGGACAGCGCATCGCAGGCGTTCACCGTCAAAGTGCCGTCTTGGGGTTTGACCCACTTCCATTGTTCTGTCTGCGGGTCACGAATCTGGAGGGCAGCAACCGGCTGACGGAAAAGGAGCGTGAAGCTTCCCAAGTCCGTATGTCCCCGAGTCCACAAGCTCAACTTCGAGTTCTCCTCAGTGCTGTACTTCCCATACTTCATATACCGCAGATGGTCCTCGCTCTTCTCGGCGTAGACGTGGATGCGCGTGAAGTAGTCTTCGGGTAGCTCGAGCGCGAGCGCCAGGAGCTCGAAGAGCGGGTCGAGCACTTCGCTGTGCAGGGACCTGGCGAATTCTTCGATCTCCGCAAGATGGGACTGGATGAGCTCTGGATAAGCCTGTGGGAAGTGGCCGTTGAACTCTGTCTTGCTGTCAGGATCTGTGAGGAGGACGAGGAGCAAGGAGCACGGACTGGGCATGTTGAAGATCTCGATCTTGTCCCTCAGCCCGGACTTTTCGTCGATGACCCTTCTCCCAGCCGGAGTATACCCATTGAACTTCCCCGCATCCAAGTCCGGGACATACTTGCTCTTCTCCTCCAGGGGGAGCTCGTAGAACTCGCGTCCGATCGCGAACTGCCGGTTCACCCGCTCCTGGGAGATGTTGAAGTTCTTCACGTAGAAGAAACCTTTGTTCCGCAGGGCGCTGATCAGTTCTTGCGCGAGCTGTTTCTTTCCCTCTGGAGTGTGGAACTTGGACAGGTCGATCGTCACTAGCTCCGCCCAGTCGAGGTTCTCCTTCGTCTCGGGAACATACTGGTACGATCCAAGCTGGGGCGCGGGGACAGGCATGGCTGATGTTCGTAGGCAGGAGACAGAGTGGTCAGCAGGATCACTCCAGCTAGTCTGCTGGCAGTCACTCCATCCCGTTATCTTTTATGACAATCAAGACAGACCATGAGCAAGCAATCCCAGCGTCCGATTGCACAATTACTTAGTCGTCACATGACATATCCGACATGCCGAAGCAGACAAGGATTAGACAATCGAAGAGTGAAAAGGCGCAAGCGGGCCCAGAAGGCTCGGCTGTAAGCTTATTTGGATAGATCAAGTTTCCCGAGCTCGACTCCGAACCGCATATCAGTGATGCTGGGCGCTCCTAAATACCTTTATTGTAATAAGACAAGTACAGACTTTCGGCAGTATTATTCTATCCAAGATCGAGGAGGTTCGATTAAGCGGCGACAGAAACGTCCTCGTAGACTTTCTCTTGGAAGCCAGGCAGGATCACAGCATTACGGTGGTTCTTGTCGTCGGAGCGCTTGATTTGACGTTGCCACTTCTGCTTGGCAAAGGTCCATTCCTCCATAGTGGGCACATGATTCCCGGTTTGCTCGAACTCGTTCTTTGTGTACCCTTCCCGCTGGAGCACCGGGCTCTCGACGACAGTGGCAAGCGTGACGTCGTTGTGCGGGCGTGAGAAGTACAGCAGACCAAGGCGATCCACGTGCTGCTGATCCTTGGGCGGTACATTCACGCGGTGGATCGTGCTGCGCACATACCCGCCGGTGAGGAAGGAGAGCGCATCGCAGGCGTTCACGGTTAAGGTGCCGTCCTGCGGCTTGACCCACTTCCATTCGTTGTGAGCGGGATCGCGGATCTGCAGCGCGGCAACGGGTTGACGGAACAGAAGGGTGAAACTCCCAAGATCTGAAGGTCCTCTCTTTAAATGTGACCATTACTAAGAGGGCATCTCACATACCAGTGTGGCCAGGTGTCCAGAGATTGAGCTTGGCATTCTCCTCCGGAGTATACTTGCCATACTTCATGTAACGAAGGTGATCCTCGCTCTTCTGCTCGTAGACGTGAAGGTTGGTGAAGTAGTCCTCGGGAAGCTCCAAGGCGATAGCGAGCAGGACAAACAGTGGGTCGAGCACCTCGCTATGGAGAGAACGTGCAAACTCCTCGATTTCGGCGAGATGGGACTGGATCAACGCAGGGTATGCCTGGGGGAAGTGACCGTTGAACTCTGTTTCTCGATTAGCGGTTTCAGATGCTTACTGTGGTGCTTACTTGGCATGTTCCAGATTTCGATCTGATCCTTCAGACCAGACTGTGGATTGATGACATATCGACCAGCTGGAGTATATCCATTGAACTTACCAGCGTCGAGGTCGGGAACATATTTGAGCTTCTCCTCGAGCGGGAGTTCATAGAACTCGCGCCCAAGTGCAAACTGCCTGTCCACCCGCTCCTGGGAGATGTTGAAGTTCTTCACGTAGAAGAAGCCCTTGTTGCGTAACGCGTCAAGGAGCTCTTGGGCTAGCTCCTTCTTGCCCTCTGGCGTGCCATACTTAGAGAGATCGATAGTAGCCAGATCAGCCCAATCGAGATTCTCCTTTGTCTCCGGTACGTATTGATAAGATCCAAGTTGAGGAGCTGGTACAGGCATCGTGGATAATCAGAGGCGTAGGATCGAATAACCAAATGTCCAGAACAGCTTTGTGGCACGAATCCCATGTCCAATCCTTTTATCGTAGCTCAGAGAGATACACGCAAAGTGACATCGCAATCACATTGCATAATCCATATCCGTAGTATGCCATATCCCCGCAGTAGTTATTGATAGACAATGATTAGAGAGTAGTGATGTTGAGAGGAAGTGACAGAAGCGGAAGAAGAAACGCGTGATCAAGGCGCGACCTCGCGCAATAGGTCGCGTCACGCTGTTGAGCGATCGCCTCATTGTCTTCTTGACCACCACCATCATCCTTACTTGGTAATTCAACCATTCACAAGCTTATATCGTAACCAAATTCTGGCGTGCTCACCTTTCATTATGCTTCTACCGACTGATAGGAGCCTGGACGGTGCTGGCCGACCCTGCTGATACGGACCAAAACCGCGCATATCGCCACGGCTCTTACTGATCTGTGGATGTGCTCTGTTTGGTTTATCGCGCTTTACGCCTCGACTACATCCTATGATCATGTTACCAAACGATCTTAAATAGTAGCATTGTGCAATCGCGCTTCTTCATGGCTACACACGCGTCGCATCGGAGTGTGACGAGACGGCTATTCACCCGGGGTGATGGTTATATACCCCTCAAGTGAGTAATGCTTGTTTTCTGGGTAAAGCATCTGTTTGCTCACTCATTATTGGTGCTTCAGAACAATGTCCTCCGCAGATAGTGATATCTTGGCAGAAAAGCCCACGAAAAGGTCGCTGAAGAGCTACATTTGGTGAGCATGACTCCCTATATCCATTCGATCCATCGTTGACCGGAACTCAGGGATACTTGGGACAAATCACCAGAGGAGCGCAAGTTTCTGGGGAGGCTTGATGCTTGTCTTCTCACCTACGCGGCGTTGTCCTACTTTAGCAAGTATTTGGACCAGCAGAATGTAACGGTATGCCGGCTCCTTCACCTCTAGACTCGGCAGCTCAAAAGGGGAGCAGAATGCTTATGTATCGGGCATGCAGACTGAGTACGTGGAGTACGCCTTCTGTGAGCGAAGTCTAACCGGGGATGAACAGCCTTGGGCTGTAAGCGGACTGCGAGCGTCTACAGGGCAAATGGCTGACCTAGCGCAGGGGAGGGAATCAGCTTAACTACATCACTACCGCCTGGACATGCGGATATGTTATTGGACAGATACCCTCCAAGTACGTATTTGCGTCACTCGTTCATCGTGGTTTTGACTGAGGTTTGGGGCAGTATGCTTATTACTCGTTTACAACCCTCGATATGGGTACGGACTTTCCTTCTTAGCTCTGCGCACGCCTTGAGTAGTCAGGTAGATACCTGCAATGGAACTCATTTGGAGCGTATTGACAATGCTGCTGGCCACGTCAAAGAACTTCACACATCTCGTCGTAATCAGATTCTTCGTAGGTGGGTGTCTCTCCTGCTTCCATGAGGCGATAAAATTCTGACATCTTCTGAGGTGTTGCTGAATCAACCTTTTATCCGGGCATGCAGTATGTCATCGGAAGCTGGTACAAGCCTGATGAGCTGGGAAAGCGAGCTTGCGTCTTCCATGTTCGTAGGCATTCTTTGAGAATTCAACGCTCCTGCTTAATGGAGTCCAGACGACAAGTGCAATTGGGCCCATGTTTAGCGGTTTTCTGCAGGCCGGAGCATACGCGGGGCTGAACAACAGATACGGTATCGCAGGTTGGAAATGTATGTGTAGTCTCGATTGTGTTCCTCGTAGCAGGAGGCTCACCAAGGCCGTCTAGGGTTGTTCATCATCGACGGCATCATTACCGTCCCCATTGCCATTCTCGGATTCCTCATCATGCCCAGTACGCAGGCTCCTATCACGTCTCAAGCACGTGCTGATCCCTCCTACAAGATTTGCCGCATAATACCAAACCCTCGCGCCTGTACACGGAAGAGCAGCTCGACATGGCTCGGCGACGAATGGCCGAGATCGGGCGGAAGGCGCCAACCAAGTACACCTGGGAGAAGGTCAAGGGTTTCTTCAAGACCTGGCACTGGTATACGCTCGTCCCTCGTACGCCATCTTCTTTTTTGTTTAGATCATTGCTAACGATGCAACAGTTTACGTGCTCTTCAACAATGGGAGCAACCCCCAGAGTTCGATGATCTTCTGGCTGCAATCGTTCAACACTCCTGGACATACCGTCTTCACTGTAGCGCAGATCAACGTCTACCCATTAGGGATGAACGCCATCCAGGTCGTCACAAGTGTGTAGCCTACAGTAACAGGGGACTATACTAGAAGCTGATGACTGGAACAGCCCTCATCTGGGCTTGGTGGTCGGATGCGGTGCAGGCAAGATGGCCGCCGATGGTGTTTGCGGGCTTGTGGAGTGCGGTCACATGCACTGTCCTCGCTACAACTAGCTTGTATGGCAATGTGCCTCTGTAAGTTGTTTTATCTGCATGATAAGATGACGTTTAACATATCTATTAGGCGTTGGACCTTTTACTACTTCGTATGTCAGGCGTGTATCCTGGAAGCGGGTGTTGACAATCATTCAGACGCTTGTCTCGGGTGGCCTGTCTGGACTCATCCTCGCATGGGCAAACGAGCTTTGCGGGAACGACAGCGAAAGTGCGTAGAGCATCCTTTCATCAGCAAGGGTGAACTGATGCGATTCTGCAGAACGATCCTTCGTCGTAGCGTGCTGCAATACGTTTGCGTATGTCTTCCAGGCGTGGCTGCCGATGTGCGTACCGGTTCTTTTATGGAGATAAGGCTGCTAATGTCAGGGATGCGTAGTGTGCTTTTCCCGCAGGTTGAGCAACCGCGAGTGGAGAAAGGCACGATCGCGACGATCTTTATCAACCTCGGGATGAGTAAGCCACGTCCACGTTAAGCTATCCTTGGACGCATGTTCACGTCAGCACAGTTGGGTTCGCGCTTCTTACGTATGCCTTACAGACCCGGGATAGGCGACGTGCACGCCGACGCCGGATGCAAGAAGATGCCGCGGATCGAACTGTGGAAGTTGACGTGCTGGACGAGGAGGAATTAGACACCAAGGCGAAGGACGCCGAGCAGGCGATCATCATCCAGGAGCTTCCTTCGTAGGGATGCGCAGTCTAGCGCACAAACCCGGTTCATATGGCAGCAGCTGATGGTGATAAGATATACTCTGGAGGAATATCAGATCTGGGCAGGGTTCAAGTAAGAAGCACATTTTCTGCGGAGCTAGAACGTTTGCGAGCCGAACTGATACCTATGTTCGTATTGAATTGTCCGCAATGGTTACCCCGCATTCCTGTCATTTCTCCACAGTAACCAAATCTTCCGGAATGTCAAGAAGAAGAAGAGCGTTTCACCATGGGAACGCCTTTGTGGACGTGCTGCTGCTGTTGCTCTCTACTAATTCCAGCAACAGTCAGTCAAAGCCACAAATAATCCCCTCGGATGTCCGGTTGTGCAGTGCCATTGCAGTGCCATTTAGCGGCCAATCGCCGCTTTCCGTTGTTTGCCCGCTAAAATCCCTATAATAATTTCATGCTTGGGCGGTGTGCACGGTCCCTGCTCGCCGATGTGCTAAAAGGCATGCCATTCCCCTCTTTCTTTTGTTCTCCTTTTCGCTCTCTCTCTCCTTTTCGTCGTGTGAAGTTGCCAACTAGCAAAGGCATGTCGTTCTCTAGACCGTGTAGCTTCATTTCTCCCAAAGTAAGATTTTGATAACTGGGACTGCTGAATCATCTAATATCTGGCGAACAGGAGCTCAAGAAGCTCTTATCTTCTACAACAGATAAACCAACCGTCGTCGACGTGAGAGACGACGACTACCTCGTACGTCCTACTCTCACTGTACACAGCTCAGCTAATAGGGGGACAGGGAGGACACATCGTTCAATGCCTGCACTACCCTTCCTCGCGCTTTCACTCTGATGTCCACTCGCTCGTCGAAGAACTCAAGGATGAACACGTCGTCGTCTTCCACTGTGCGCTGAGCCAGCAGCGGGGGCCAAAGGCAGCAAGGGTACGTCCATGTCGTTGCTGAAGGGTATATTACGTGCTGATGAGATGGGCTGTGCGTTATGTATGCGTTGTAGATATATGCGGAAACACGGGCGATTCTCCTCCCCGAAGCTGCAGAGCAGAAAGTGGTCGTCTTACGCGGTACGCCCTATCCCTCCATCCCGACGACCTGACTGCTGATGCTCGACGCTCGCAGGCGGGTTCATGCAGTTCCAGGCTGAGTTCCGCGTACTTCCTTTCTCTTTTGTGTGTGGGTGCACTGGTCTGACGAATGTGCAGAACGAACCGCATCTGTTTGAAGATTTTAGGCCTGAGCTCTGGGATATGTGATCTCCAACGCACCAAGATACCCATCACGATGTTGTACTACTATCACTATTATCGCTCCCCTCGCCGCTCTGCCCTTCCTGTGCCCGCCTATCATCCGCCCGCTGTTTGGCAACCCGCACATGCCTCTCCGGGAACTTCTCCTGAAACGTGCGAAAGACAGCCCGTTCCTTCGCGAGCTTAGACTGGCACATCGTACTACAGGGGGACAGCGAGTTAGTTTAGTTAGAGTTTAGTAATTAATGGGCGTACAAGGATGCACTACTTGTGAGCATGAACGTCGCCACGCCCCAATTACTCGCCCACATCGCCGCTACCCACCAAACCAAACAAATCAGCACCACCCAACGCAGTCAACACCAACACAAAACGACGCACAAGTCCTCGAAAGTCGGATAGCCATCACCCCGACCCCACTGGCGATCCCGATGAGCAGCGCGTTCCTGACGCAGGGCATCTCGCCCATATGGGAAAAGTCCTTGAACGAGAGTAGGGAGAGGGCGGTCGATAGCCGGCTGCGGTCTGTATCTGGCGCTGTAGGTGGTGGGCGGGGCCATTGTTTGCGCTCTTCGTCGTCTGAGGTGGACATGGCTGCTGAAGAGGAAGAGGAGACCCTGACTTCTTCGAGTTGTCACTCGTTGACGACTACCTTTTGACACTGTCACAAACACTGCTCTTACCTCGATAATTACTAACTGTTCTCAATACGGCTGAGGTCAATGTCGTCTACTGGTTTGTTGTTCTATGCTGATTGTGGTATTACTGAACCCCGTCGCATTTGCGACGCCGAACAAGCCGACCGGGGCAAGTCCAAGACGAACCTTGTATACTAATCTCCTTAATATCACACACATCGACGCAATCACCAATCCAACCTAGTCTTTCCCGCCATTACCTGACACTGACAAGCGCGCCATGTCATAAATGAGGTCGATCAGTCGATCTGGACCTGGCCAGTAACTTCGGCGTCCATCGTCTGTTTCGATCACTGTGGCTGGCAGCAGATATTCCAGCTCGAGATCATAACCACGCGCGTGCGATCATATTTGCACTTTGTATTTATGAAGGACATTGGTGTTGTTTGGATAAACGTTCCCCTTCGGTTCCCCCGCCATCCTTTTCTCATAGTGTGCATCTTCGTTGGTGTCGGAATGCCCGACGAACATGCAGATGATGTACTGTTGCTAGCACGTACAGATATGCACGTCTCTCAGTTGCTATGCTTCGGACGTGGCATGCATTCGCCCATATGATCTCTTGATAAACGCTGGCAATTGGAACTTGTTACTTTCCTCTGGTACGGGAAGAGTGCCGTGCTAGTAAGGGAGGATGGATCCGACTTCGGTCTCAGAATCGCCATACTCAGGCATCGCGATTGAAGAAGACGCAACATCGAGTTAGCTCAACTCTCAGCGATCTGTCTTCCTGTGAGATCGACATCGATCAAGAAAAAAGCCAAGAGTCTGGTTCAGTACTTGTCTCTCAACACTGACGACGGCATCCAGAGTCACAGGCATCAGCGATCCACGCAAGGGGGTATTAATGTGCTGTTGGTAGGTACGGCATCCCACGGTCAAACCCGCTATGTTTCCCGTGTTTGTGCCGGGTGCACGCGCATGAATATGCAACTGACTCTGTATTCCGGTAGTGTTTCGGTTACATGGATAGTACTCAAAGTGACAACCGTGAGCGCCATGAAGCTTCTGAGGGCATATCCCCGTGTGGAATGCCCGAATTGAATGACTCATAAGTGTCAAGTAAATTTAGTCCCTCGCGTGCTGTACAGTCTTCGTGCACTGCTCCGGTCGTCACCGATCACATGCAATAGCGATCCTGAATTGTAATCTTACTTAAACAACAATATTCCGTTTAAACTACCTCGATCATTTATTTTATTCATGCAACAAAATAGCTCGATCATTGAGGTCTGGACGGCCATCCCCGTGTTTGATGACGAGAGATCCCTAGAAACTGCGAATGTGACAATCTCCATAAAAGGCGGTCAGAATTGTAGACGGAGCCCCACTCCGGACTAATCTCGTACCTAACCCAATGACACAAGGATTAAAGGAACCCAAAGTCTGGCTGAGTACGTCTTCTCCCCACCCGATGCCAGTAAACACTAAAGTCCAAAGTCACCGGCGCTCTGACCGGGTTTGGGCGGCTCATGACCCAGCTCGTCCTCTCCCATGGCGACAGCTGCGTAGCGACCTCGCTCGACCCTTCAGCCCTGCAAGACCTGAGCACCCAATACGGTACTAAGCTGCTCAACCTGCACCTGGACGTCACAGACGCTTCTGGGATCAAGAGCGTGTTCAGCGCTGCTAAAGCCCATTTCGGACGTCTCGACGTGGTGTACAACAATGCTGGGCTTGGGTTCTATGGCGTCGTCGAGTCCGTACCGGAGGAAGCGGCGCGCAAACTGTTCGACGTCAACTTCTGGGCAGTGGTCGCTGTGTCCAAAGAGGCCGTCCGGTTTTTCAGGGATGAGAACCCTACCAAGGGGGGCAAGCTGTTCATTATGAGCTCGACCGTGGGCTTGTGGCCTATTTCCCAGATCGGGCATTATGCAGCTACGTGAGTGTCATACTTGAAACTTTGGAGAGCGAACCTGACTTGTGTAGGAAACATGGTACATTCTTCGTCTTCCTTCGCTAGGTGTAACTGACCCCCCCCCTCCCCCCACTCAGCGGTGGAAGCGGTCACCCTGTCGATGATGCGCGAGCTCAAGCCAGAATGGAACATCCAGGTACGTCGTCCTTGCCAGCTCCGCGCTAGCTAACTCGGTGTGCAGACAACGCTGGTCGAACCAGGGTGGTTCCTCACTCCTATTCTGGGGAAAAGCTCGGGAAGGTGGTACGACTGTCCTGAGCTGTATGGCGGAGACGAGCGGACCGGCCTTCGTATCAAGGGCATCGGCAAGCCGGGCGACCCGGAAAAGGCCGTAGAGCTGATATACTCTGTCGCGCAGAGAGAGAAACTGCCAGAACATCTGCCGATTGGGGAGCTGGTCATCAAGAGCTTGAGGAGTTTGGCGAAGAGGTGGACGGCGGTGGCGGATGAGTGGGAGGTCGAGGGCGGAAAGACTGAGTTTGGGGAGGGGACGCCGTTGGATGTGCTTGATTGAACGTACAGTGTTTGGGGGACAGTGCCTCGTTGTACAGGATTAAACTGAAGCAGCTTTAGATGGAGCAGTCTGAGCAGGTATAACATGAATTTCTGAAGAAAGGTATGCATACTGCAACTTATCAACCAAGCCTCAGATTCACAACGAGCGCATGATGATCGCTCACCCACGAGCCTTCTCCCCTCCCTTCCCTCAGCTCGATCCCCTCGACCACCCGCACGCCTCTCGCTCGGAACACCTTGTCGAATCTCCCCAGAGGCCACGTCTCCCCTTCCCACTGTGCATGCCCCCACGTAAAACCCTCTTCCCCCGGCCTCACAACAGTCCAGACGTCTTCCAGCCCCAGCTCGGGCGGGTACTCCTCGTCCGCAGGTGAGTTGGCGTTCATATCCCCACATACTAGCCCTTCCACCTCAGGCAGAGAGAGGTACCGTGCGACGAGTGCTAGCTGGGCACGGCGAGCCAAAGATTGGTTAAGCGACTCAAGGTGGGTATTCGCTATCCTCAAAAATCGCTTTCCAGATCCAGCAGAGAGGGGGATGTCAACAAACAGCGCTCGACGACCTATTGCGGACTTGGGGAAGTCGATCACGAATGCGTGCGATATGGACAGGCAAAGGCTAACGAGCACGAGGTTGTCGTACCTCTGTCCGGGTTGGTGCAGGATGGAGAATTCGCTGCGTACCCAGGGATCGTTCCCGAGAGCAGGGAGTGAATCCCGGTGTACTTCTGGTTAGAGTAAGCAAAGAAGCTGGAAAACCACAAAGGCGTACCTTGTAGGCAAATAATAGCAGGCTTGCCATCCACCCAGAGCTTGATAAGGCTAAGAGCGGAGGATAGGCTTTCATATGCTAGTTTAGAGTCGGAAGAGGACGCTCCGTCGACGTTCCATGTTACGAGCTTTACACGCGAAGGAAGCTGAACTTGCTTCTGGTTCTGACATGGTCCCCTTGATGTTGACATGCTGGAGTACTGCAGTGGACTGAGGAAATGTTCTTGTTGTCGACTAGAGGGAAGAGGGAGGAACCAGCCTGCAAAGAGAGAAAAGAGTGACATGGACGTCGAGGTCAGGGAATAGAGTGACGAGAGACTCAATTGCTTCTCGACTTCCCTGAGAAGGTAATCTAATTGGAGCATGAGAACCTGTCAGAACAAGCAGTGCGCTGGCACTGCACTACCAACACTTTGTTCTGTGGCATGACCAGACGCTCCGACCATCCAGCTCTTGAAACGGTAGAACTCCTCCCTATGGCTAATGGCGGTCTGAACGACAGTGCGAGAGATTTCAGTAGAGCGAGATGGGAACCACGCGCTTTTCCCACAGAGGGGGATATACTGGGCATTGCTCTCGCTGAGCGGGGACGATGGTTGTTTACTCGCACGAGGAGAGAGGTACATGCTTGGGATCTGGAGGGAGGGGAGGGAGTGGCAGCAGAATGGGATTTGGATGCTGGTCAGACGGTCGAGGAGGGGCAGGAGATGGAGATGGAACGCGTCCTCCAGGTTGAGCAGGATGACGGGGACATCCTCCTGCACATCCCGCACATGTACGTCTACCTATTCCCTTGTCAGCGTCGTCGTCGTCGTCGTCTACTAACAAAGCACAGGACCGGCAAGCATATCAACTCGCAGATCCTTAGCTTCTCACCAACGACGCGCAAGTTCGACCTCCTCCGCGCACTCCACACCGCCCAACTCCCTAGCGCTACACGTACCTTCTCCCTCTCAGGTTCACTCGTAGCGTCAGAGTACGAGACTGCGATCACCATCTGGGACTGGAGAAAAGACGAATGGATCACCTTCACCGAGGATAACTTCTTCGACGAGCCTGAGTGTCCATTACACGTACGCCTCTCTCTTCCCCTTCCTCTTGCATAGCAGTCTGACTTCAACAGACGTCAGTACAACTACATCTCGCTCCCCCGCGAGTATTCGCTATCTGGGGTGGAGAACTCAAGATCTTCCAACTGCCTGCCCTCCGCCCCCGTCGAGCGCAGAACAAGCCAGCCTTCCTCACCCTCTCCCCGATCCTCAAGCTTGCCCTCCAATTGGCACCGAATGCCAACCCCTGCCTAGGTCGTATCGTCTCTGTAGAGGGCATCAGAGGGTGGGACGTGGCGCTGATGTACCCCCTGGAAGGACGATATGCCTTCTACTTTTATGCGGTGAGGGCGCACGCTGTAGCGCCAGGAGTCGCGGCATTCACCACGCTCCCATTGAGCGTGCTCGGCTTCGCTCTCGAACTGGACGCCCTCTCCTTTTCAATGCATCCACTTTCCAACGACCCGCCGTTGAATAAGTTCTTTGCCCAGCTGCATAATGACACCCCCGTCCCGGCGACACTAGCCGTCGTGCCCAGCAAGAAAGGCCCATACGCACTCTTCCCTGTGATGGGGATGGTGTGGCTGCTTCATGCCGGTCGGAACCACACAGCGCTGTTGACCTGCGCTCGGCTGGAGGAGCCGGTGAGCGCTGATGCTGAGATTGTGTGGGATGCTAAGGGGAGGGCGGTGCTTTTGAACAGGAAGAAAGTGACGGTGCTGAATATGCTGTAACTGCTTGTGATGCTAAGTTGTTCTGTGTTTCCTTAGTTAGGTTTGTGCTATCTTGAATGATTAACATTTCCAACATATCGTGTTCGGAGTTATTCTCGGATAATCAGAAGCATTCCGCTTTCAGGGTCTTCATAATTGTGACTTTCTCTCCTTGTCGCTCTTCTCCTCGACCACCAACTAACGGTCCAACATGTCCTGGCTATCTGCTCTAGGGAGGTCAATATCCCTCTTCACCCCCTTCACGTTGAGTACAGGAACCCGTCCATTCACCTCATCTCCCGCTCTAGAAAAGGCCTACAAGCTCAAGACGCATCGTACGTCCTCCTCACGCAGAAATGTGCTCCAAACCCGCTTACGCACTTATAGAAGGGGCCAAGAAACGCTGGAAAGCACTCCCGAATGGGAACTACAAGCACGCACGTCTTTCTTTCTAACATGTCACTCGTTGGTCGCTGACGATGACCTTTACCAGTGGCGCCCGGGCAAGACGCACGGGAACAGCCATCTTTCCCGTATACGACTGCATAACCTTGGGTTGGGGACGTACGCTACTCCAGGGCAGAGGAAACAGCTGAGGAGGCTGTTACCTTATGCCTAAGCTGGAGTGACAAAAATCCCTTGGATGGGTGCAAGGTGTACGATTATACGATTGCGAAAGTGAATGCAAGCCGCTAGAAACCCCACTCCTTCCTCAGCCCTTCATCCCCCAACTCCCCCACCATCCCCCGCACCATCTCCTCCTCCCCTGCACCGAGAAACAGCCTCATCGTCCCGAACCTCGCACATCGCGGTATTGCACGTAGGTACTCTGCCACCAGCGGACGGGGAGGAGTAACAGAAGAGAGGACATGGATCAGGCTGCTGAGGGTATCTGGTTCGAGTGCAGAGCCGAAGAATACTGGCAGGTTTGCGGGTGGGATCAGCTGGGTTAATGCATACGTTCGTCAATCGCTCCTCCTCTTTTGCGGTAGTAGACGCACCTGGAGGTAAGCCCACCTGGCGTGCTCGCCCAGCTCTCGTAAATTCAGCACAAACTCGCTCGCGCGCTTAGGCACAGACGGCAGCACCACCTTCTCCTCCGCTAGCACAGGCGGGCGTTCAACGACTTCTTTGACACTTTTCGGGCTTGACGTGCTCAGTTGCGGCTGCCCAGGGCCGGGAGAACCTATGATACGTCCTGTACCGTCCGCTTTGAACATCCCTCCTCCGACACGCCGTTCTCGCGTGGCCTTTGCAGCGGCAAAGCTTGGTGCTGGAGCGCTAGTAGCGCTGCTCGTCTCCCCCACTAAGGCCGAAGATCGCACAGGGGTATGCGTGAGCCGGGTAGTAGATACCGCGGTCAACAGATCTGTGGAAGCCGCGGGAGTGGCAACAGGAGCAGATGAAGACTTGAGCGCGGACTTGAGCGGTTTAGCCGCGCTTGACGGGGTGTCGACTAGCGTTATAGGTATACGTCGTCTCCTGGGGCTCGACGTGCTAGGAGCAGCGTGTTCCCCAGCATTAGATGGCGTTGCAGATGTCTTTTCCTATGTATCCCAGTGTTAGCACGCGAGTCATCATCTCAATCCCAGGAAACGCGTACTTTTGTTGGTTGAGTAAGAGAAGAAAGTAGGAGCTTGACAGCTTGATTCATGGGCTCAAGTAGGAGGGCCTCATCCAAATCTTCATTTCTCAGCCCAAAGTTCCCTCATTAACTGCAGGCGTACCTTCCCTAGCCCCGCGCTCGTCTCCAGCACCCAACCTGGCTTGCGCTCTTCGGAAGAGCGCCTTGACCTCCCTCTTCAGCCCGAGAGCGAGCGTACAGTCCCTTGCCGCATCCTCGTACCTATTTACATCAGCCCATGGCACTACCCATCTAGATCTAGAGAGCTAAAGCGCACTTTTCGAGTTTGAGATACGCAGCAGCGCGATTGAGGTAGAAGACGGGGTCGACAGGGACGTCGGAAGACTGGGAGAGGACAACAGCGCGCGTATAGTGCCCGACTGCGATGTCGTATTGACCTGCTTTGAAGGCTTTGTTTCCCTGTTCGACGTTAGCTTGTGTTGGGATTCATGAGGAGGAGAGCACATTTTCTTTGGCTTCGGACGGTGTGGACATGGTGAGAGTAACGGTGAGAAATGCAAGTGAGCGCTCAGCACAAGGGATCAACGCGTACTCAGCCCGTACGTAAACTGCACAGACGATTTATTATTTATTTAATAATATATTTCTCTATTGAGCATCAGTGGGATTGGGTATACCCAAAGTAATTTTAATTTATCACACAACAGGAAAGGACTGACTGCAAGTCGAGGAGTATGAGTCACATAAATATATATATTTCACTGATTGTTCATCCAACCTGATTTAGCGGGACGGCCACACCATATTCAGGCTTACAGCATTCCTCCTCCCATTCCTCAGCCACCTTCGTCCACATCCTCCCCACCGCCCTCACACTCTGTATTGCGATGTCCCCGATAGGCAGATGAGCCGGCAACTTTTCTCTCTGCATGACATCGTACATCAGTGCCACGGCTTTGACGGGATCGCCGGGCCGTTTGATGGAAGCCATCCGGGCGGCTTTGAAAGTTTCCCCGCCATACACTTCGGGGCAGGCAAAGGAACGTTCGGGTGGCAAGCGGAAGATGGGAGTGAGGAACCAGCCGGGCTCGACGAGCGTGATCTGGGCGTGGTCAGTTGTGGCATGCTAGGAAGGAGAGAGCGCACGTGGATGTTCCATTCAGGTTTGATTTCCCGCATCACGGTGGTCGTGATCCCCTCCACGGCTGAGGGGGTTAGTCAACGTTGCCGAAGGAGAATAGGAGCCGCATACCATGTTTCCTGCACTCATATTCAGTATTGTTCCCCGCACTAAGAGAAAGCACTCACGCCGCCGAATAATACCCCGCAAACGGCGCTCCGCTGATCCCCGAACTAGAGCTCATAACCAGCAGTTTCCCTCCCCTTCCCCCATTCTCCTCTCTAAAGAACCTCACCGAATCCCTCGTCACGCCCGTACTACCCCAGAAGTTGACGTCAAACAGCTTCCTCGCCGCTTCCTCCGGTACAGACTCGACGATCCCCGACAGCCCGATCCCGGCGTTGTTGAACACTATGTCTACATGGCCGAAATGGGCTTTGGCTGCTTGGAACGCTGCAAGCACCTCGGAGGGGCGGGTCACATCCAAGTGGAGGTTGAGTAGCTTGGGACCGTATTGAGTGCATAGGTCTTCCAGGGCTGAAGGGTCGAGAGATGTCGCCACGCAGCTGTCACCTTGAGCGAGTACGTGCTCGGTCATTATACGCCCAAAGCCAGAGAGAGCGCCCGTGACTGCGAGGATCAGCGGTCGTCAAAGAGCGGGGTAGGGGAGACGTACTGAGCCATACTTGGGGTTCTTTTGCTAGTTGTACCATGTTGAGGTCGATGAGAGTCCTTACACTGGGCTCGCAAGAGGTAGGGTCAACCAGGCCCTCAAACGCTGGAATGGCCTGAACTCCTATTATTCAGTACAGGTGCTTCAAGCGCTGAAAGTCACACTGAGAGAGCAGAGGGTACTGAGCGTACGGATTCCTAATACTACAAAATATAATATGTACCAGAAAAAAGTGTTCCACTTCTCTAGAGCAAGAAGCGTAATTGAAAGTAATGTATATATGACTACCTAATTGAGATCCATGGCCTCGTCCGAGTCCACCAACTCTAACACGGTCTCATTCGAGTCCAAGGGCGTGCTCTCCTCTTTTGCTGGTGCACATGGTGCTACCGGTGCATATGGCAAACTCTCCATGTTGTCATGTAACCAGCGACGGAACTGTGACATCTCTGCATCAGTCATGGACGTCTGGTCAACACCCCGCATGACTGCCATTATCTGGGCTAGCACCCACAACCCACAATCATGGCCATTCTGTTGTTCCAGGACCTAGATAATATTTAACAATATTCTCTGCCCCAGGGGGGTGAACACACATACCGAGGCCGTGTGTGCTTCCCAGCCTACCCATAAGCACCCAGGCTGGTCCTGGGAAGATTCCTCAGTGATTGCTGTCACCATACACTTTATCATCTGCATGTCTAATCAGTACTGGCTATGTGAGATAAACATGAGGACACACCATAACAGCCAACCTCCAATGGCAACACAGTGAGTCATATATAATGATCCAGCATTTGACAAAGTCCACACACCCCAGAACCCAGTGATTTGCCATGTGAAGGGGGAATAGCCACTCTGAATGTTCCCAGCATGCTTCCATATTGAACACATTTTGGTGGAGTTTCTTAGCAACATGCTTTTCCATCCACTTCATCCTCAAGTATGTGTCAAAGTCAGGCCATGCATAAGAGGAGAAGACTTTGCAACTAAAAGCCTCTCCATTCTTCTTGCTGGGGGGGGGCTTGGTGGGAACTATGGGGTTGGAAGCAGGCCAACCTTGTTGGAACAGTGCAACTGTGTTGCTGATGTTCCAGTTGTTCAACCAGCCAATGGCATCTCTGAATTGTTGGACATCCTTCGCTAACAGAGAAACCTGGCATGTTACTCCCTTGAATACCCATTCCTCCCTGTTACCATGACCATGATTGATGGTGAGGTCAATGATGCCAACAGGCAGATGCCAGTCATCTGAATGAAGCTACCATCTGCCGTGAGCTATTGGGTGGCACAATGAGGATACTGACTTACCAACACCAGTTTCTCATTGAAAACAACAAGGTCTTTGGATTTGTTGAGAGGTTTCTCAGGGGGGGCAGGCTTCTTGACAGGTTCTTTCACCTTGCTGAAACCAAGATGAGGGGGGAGAGGTTCTGGGTTCTGGATCCTCCCAGAACTCCAACAGATGAGGAGGAGGAGGAGGAGGCATAGGGAACTGGTAGCTATACCAGCCCCCCTCTTCGAAAATGAGAGGTCTCCAATCTTCCGGCACCAGCAGTGGTATGCAGTTCAGATTATCATCATTGCAAGTGCTGGTATCAGAGGGGCAGTAAGGCCAACCCCTATGAGGCAGAAGGCTTGCCATGGTGGCGGTGGTGGTGGAGATGGAGGGGGAGGTGGTGTTGGAGTGCAAGGCAATCTTGGAAGGATGGGGATGGGACTGGGAGTGCAGTACAAGCTGAGGGAGTCAATTGGTGACACTGGGTATCAAGTCAGGAATGCAGGAGTAGTGCTGATGGGAGGGGGGAGGGGAGGGGCAGCATTCCCAGACAGAGAGGTTCATTCTGGTTCCTTTTGCTCCATGATGGCAGCCACCAGAGGGGGAGATGGTGTTGGAGGGCAAGGCAATCTTGGAAGGATGGGGATGGGACTGGGAGTGCAGTACAAGCTGAGGGAGTCAATTGGTGACACTGGGCGTCAAGTCAGGAAAGCAGGAGTAGTGCTGATGGGAGGGGGGAGGGGAGGGGCAGCATTCCCAGACACAGAGGTTTGTTCTGGTCCCTCCTGCTCCATGACGGCAGCCACCTTGACATCCATGATGGTGTCCTGCTCCGGGGAGTCCTCTTGCTCCAGGAAGACATCCTCCTCCTCCCACAACTCCTTCTCCTGCTGTTCCTGTTCCTGCTCTTGCCACAGCTTCTCCTGCTGCAGCTGCAGGGATTCCTGCAGCTGTTGCCAGACCTGCTGGCTATCCTGCTCCTGCAGTTGCTGCTGCTGCTGCTCCTTCCACCTCTGTTGCACTTCCTCCAGCTCCTGTGTCACCTGTTCCAGCTCTGCCTTCATCTCCTCTGTCTCTGACACCACCTCCATGGGCTCATCCATCTCTCTGCTGAGGTCTTCATGTTGCAATATCATGCTCTTCCTGTCGGCATCAGAATGAGCATGATCAAGAGGCACTGCAGCTATGCACTCAGATACAACATGGTGAAGGGAAGGCAGTTGTGCTTTCATTGTGATGTTGTGAGCAGGAGAGGGGTAGCAGATATAGTGATGCCTTTGTGAGGGCAAAGCCAAACAACTTTGGGTATGGTCACACCTGTGATGGCTGTGGGGTGATGGCAAGGCTGAGTGGCTTCAGCTATGGTATCACCTTTGACAGCTGTAGGGAGAAGGTGACCTGGAGTATGGAGGATGATCTCTATGTCTGTGAGGAGCTGGTGATCTCTCCCTCCGATACTGGTTTGGAGGTGAATATCTCAACTGGTTTGATTGTCATGGAGACCAGTGATGGCAACCCACTGGGTGCATCTTCTTCTGCATCACAGAGCTTATGGGACTGTGAAGTTGAAGGGGAGGGTAGTTGAAGCTGTCTGGCAATGGGTAGGCTCTCTCCCATAGTTGCCCATGAGGCCACCAACCTTTATCCAGAACACAATTTGTGCTGAACTCAGATGTTCAGTAGTTCTTCGCAGGAGAGGTTGGGGAAAATGATGGCCAGGTAAATGGCTCAAGTTTGCATTTGGGAGAGGCAGAGGGGGCAGGTGCTCCGGGTCTGTTGTCCCAGTCAGTGTTAAGGACTTTTTGTTGCCAAAGCACCATGCCCAGCATGCCTTCCCATTTGCAAACAGCTACTGCCCATGGAGAGAATGACCAGCATACTTGTCATTTGGCTGCCATCTGTTCCAGAATAGGGAACACTGCTAGCAGGTCAGGCAGGGCAGACTTGGCTTCCACACAGCACTGGAAGGCATCATACATCATGGAGCATGCAGATGCTTGTCTCTCAGGCACCATGCAGGATTCGAGATAGGTTATGCCTGCAAAGAGGTTAGTAGTGTTTATGGTCAGAAGGTAGATGTATGCACACCTTTCTGGAAGATGAACTCCCTGTAGTACATCTGCCAACAGAGAAGGACCTCCTGTTGTTTGTACATGGTTAGGATATGGTCCTCCAATGCATTGTTGAAGTCCTCCTGCCTTTGTCTTCTGGCATATGATGGTGGGTGACACTTCTTGAAGGTTGTGTCAAGCAAAGGCTTAGTCAGGTCTGGTCATGGGATTAGGTCAATGTTGAGCCAGGTGAGCAAATAGTCGAGGCTCTCTGGGATGGCAAACCACATTATCAATGGTAGACATAGTCAAGGAAAGTTATCATAGGTTCTTGTAGAGAGGGAGGGGGAGCATGGTGAGTGAACACCGTAATGGGTAGTTCACTCAAGAGGGGTATGACACTCATTTTCTTCACACATGTACAACTACTTAGAGCGCCTGAGTAGTGCTTGCGGAGGACTCGGTTCAGGGAGGAGGTAAGGAAGAGTGTTGTCTTGCATGCTAGTCAAAAACCTCGAAGCCAAGACACCTGGTACTCCATGTGTGTCTAGCACCAGAGCTGTCCCTTGTGAAAGGTATGCACTCTGGGAGGGGGGGAAAGGGGGAGGGAAGGGGACGCGAAACAGCATTGACGTCATCAAGGGAGGAGATGATGAGGAGAGTAGATGATGAGGAGAGGAGAGGAGAGGAGAGAGAGGATGACAAGGAGGAGGAGGTGGTGGTTGTGGTGGTCATGGCAAGGAGGTGGTGGTGAGAAAATGGCAACTCATAGGCCACAGGAGCAAAGATCACATGATCACAAGAGCAAATTATTGTGTGCATGGGAGCAATAGATGCGGCTTTTAGGACCAAAAAGCCACATCATCTTTTGCTTCCATGTACACATGATTTTTGCTCCTGTGCGCCCTCATGAGCTTTGCTCCCATGGCCTGTGAGTCACCATTTTCTCACCACCACCACCTCATCCTTGCCACCACCACCTCCTCCTCCTCCTCATCATCGTCATTGTCATTGTCCTCTCCTCTCCTCTCCTCTCTTCATCATCTCCTCATTGTCTCCTCCCTCAATGACATCAAGGCTGTTTTGCTTCCCCCCCCCCCTTTCCCCCCCTCCCAGAGTGCATACCTTTCACAAGGGACAGCTCTGGTGCCAGACACACATGGAGTACTGGGTGTCTTGGCTTGGAGGTTTTTGACTAGCGTGCAAGATGATGCTCTTCCTTACCCTCCTCCCTGAACTGAGTCCTCTGCGAGCACTACTCAGGCGCTCTAAGTAGCCATACATGCATGAAGAAAATGAGTTTCATACCCCTCTTGAGTGAACTACCGATTATGGTGTTCACTCACCACCTTTCCCTCCGATATCCTCAACACCCTCGAGCTGCATCCAAGCCCTTGTCATTCTCTGCTATGGTATTTGTGACTGCAGCAAAGAGCTTCCACAATGCACCTACTTGTGCAGAAGATTCAAAGACATTGTCAAGAGTCAAGGAGTCACAAGATGATGGTAAGTGTGCCTTTGGCATATACATTCTCATCTTACTGACATCATGATATGATAGATATTGATGATAACTCTGTGATGCATGCCCTGCTGGGACCAATGGGTACAGACAGAACCTCAGTGAGTAATATTATGCTGCATGCACAGTATATATCCTGATCATTCTCAGTTCCACCATATTCCCCTTCCACCAAAACAGTTGATGAGCTCCTAGCAGCCCCACACAAGACACCTGTCAGCTTGGAACTGACCCTCATCAGCAGCTGTCAAGACAGATTTCGACTTTCCCTATTGTCGGTCAAACAGCTCTCCCTCCCAAAGTTCGACATCCCAGTCCTCACTCCTCAACAACAAAAAGATATGGAAAGGTGGTACACCAAACACCTTCTGGAGGGGAAAGGTGTCAAACCCCATGACCTGTGCTGGGACATCAACCAGCATGAACATGATTTGCAGACATGTCCATGGAGGACTGGACAGTTTATGCCATGGCATGGGACCTGAAACATCCCCACTGCCCTTATTGTGAAGGTCCACCTGCAGATCCCCTCAGTGCAAAAGTTCATTGGGTGATCCTGGTCTGTGAAGCTTTCTCAACAATGCCGTCAAAGACACACAAATCTGGAATTGTTCATCTGCAATGGGTCAAACATCTCAAGGCCATGCATACCTACTTGCAGCACCATCTTTTGGAGAACCTTGCTTCTGTACCAAACCATGAAGTCAAGGAACTCTACAAAAAATTTGTGGGTAGTTGGTGCTGTGCCATCAATTGGCAACTCTTCCAGATGCCAATGTCTTTGAAACGAGCTGAGAGAATTTGGCTCATTGCCCAGTGCAAAGTGCGTGACCTTCTTGGCATTGCAAACTTTGTGTCAGCACAGTACATAAGGAATTACACCATCACTCCCCTCAATTGGCCCTGGACATGTAATTTTGTTGGCATTCTGTACAACAATGTTCCTGAAGCACAGTGCAAGACACTGTTGCACAATGGCATGCTGATGCTCTGCTTTCACACTGTCAACACTGCTGATGAGTGTTTGATGGATGCCTGGGTCAAGCAACAACTGCAGATCCTGAAGCGAGCATCCTCTCCCTGCACACAAGCACAGTATGCTGTACATGAAGGCCAGATCTGTTGTCATGATGCACTCAATCTCAAACACTTGAAGAATGTGAACTGACCCAGCAAGCATCAACACAAACATGCTAAGAAGTGCAAAGAGGAGGAGACAGCTATGTCTGTGGACCTGCCAACTGCCTCTACTAGTAACTCTGTTGCTGCTACAGGCAACATCATGGACTGGGATGGTGCCAGTTGGGTCTGTCATGGCCTTTGAGATCAATTTGGTGCTCTGGGACCTAGCCAGGCCTTTCCCACCCTGTGGTCATCTGCAGCAGATGCCAACAAGCAAGATGCTGCAGATGGTGGCACTATCCTGGGTACTACCCCAGAGCTGCTGCTTTGTCCATCCCCATCAAGCTGGGTGGTGGGACAACATTGGAGTCTATGGGGGCAAGACCAGTGCCTGGAACTCCCAAGAAGGCACCAAACCTGCTTGCCAATCCCTCCTGGACCAAGAACATAGCTGAGCCCTTCCACAATCATGTTCTCGGCCATGTGCATGGAGAACCTGCTTTTCCCCCACCCCCCATGCCTCACACATGCATGCAAGAGAGACTAATAGGAGCACTGCTGCCCCTCACTCCTCCTCCAGTGTTCTGTGCCCCCCCCCCAGCCCCTTAGAGCCACCAATAAGGAATGTGCCTTGCATCCAGAGGTTCAACTGTCAATGCCATCAGGATCCAGCTCCTGCTCACCTCCTCCACTAAAGGAGAGCATTCCCCAATCTTTTGTGGACAGTGGTGGGGAAAGAAGCATATTGCCCATCTCCAAGGACATCCAACAGCCCACCCGTGGCACAGAGATGGTGGCTGTGCAGTTATCTCTCTCAAGTGTAGCAGCTGCAGTGGTGCCACCAAAGCAGACTATCTCATTGAAGCAGTGGTCTGCCAAGCAAAAGGCCAGAAGGCAAGCAAACCATCTGGAGAAAGAGCAAGAGCTTGAGGATTGTGATATTCTCCCCCACAAGTAATGTAACTGGCCAATATTTATGTATCATTCTCTGCATTGCCCTGTGGACTGATACATATGATATGTAATACTATCCCATCCCTCAACACATCCCTGCCCCACTTCCCCCACCCCTCACCTCAAATCCTACCTGCTTCCCCATGCAATTGAGCTCAAAGGCCTTACTCTGTTTCTGCAAAAGGTGGCTTGCAATCTATGATACACCAGCAACCTTGGTTATCCTGTACATGACCCACCACAGCTTTGATGGCCGAGACATCAAGCACTTGCATTGCCATCAACCTTGTGAACACCAGAGCTGTGCCATATGGTGGGGCTTCAGTATCTGCCTTGCAGAACTTGATGAATGCAAGCTCAAGAAGGACACTTTGAATCAGCAAATCAATCAGATGCTGAAGTTGGCCATACAGGATGAACAAGTGATGGATGTTTGGGTTATTTGTACTCAAACTAGACAGGTCAGTCATATGTCATTCTATTCTACAAAATGGTACTCACCTGTATGTAGGTCATGTCTCTGTTATGGCATGTGCACAGTCCCTGAGCAGCATGCACAGTATCTCCCTTGCAGGAGAGTCACAACTTGCCCCATTGTGTGACACGTTTTGGAAGCGCATCCTTTGCCTCTGTTTTTCTGACATGAAGCACAGCAGAGAGGTATGTGACCAGCTTCTCTTCCAGGGCCTTGCTGAGTTCCAGCTCAGACTTTGGTGCCATTGTATGATGCAATTCCTCTACCTCCCTCCTAGGATCATATTCGATTCCATGCAGCTTGTACTTCAGCTTCAGTATGTCCCACTGGCAGAGTTGGAGGATGTGTCAGTCAATTCCAGGGTAAGGATTCAAACATCCTGTCACTGCACATTGTAGCTGACTGCAAAATCACTCCATAGGAAATGCCCATGTTGTCCAAAGTGGACCAGTCCATTCCATGCAATCTGCTAAGTGCAGCAGTGAATGAACTGTGACTGGACACAGGCCGACACGATCTGTACTGCCCTGATAGTACAGTCACTCATATTGAAGAACCCACTCAGCCAAATGCTTGCAGAGCATGGTCATGAAGCCAGCATGATAGGAAAAACCAAGGCAGTCATTGATGAAATGAGACAATTCAACCAAGTGGTGGTAATATGCTTCATTGGTGAACTGCCGCAAGAGGACAACAGGTGCCAATTGGGTAATCCATAGCATAAATTCTTCTGCCATGAACTCATGCCATTTGTTCAGGAGATGTGGGACATGTCAGCCAAAGGCACTAGGAATGGTGTTCCTACTTTTGGCAACTTGCTTGGCAATGTCAGTCTGAATTGCATGCAGTAAGGTGAATGTGTCCCCCTCAACACAGTGTTTGCTCACACCAAGCCAAAGATCAAGGAGGAGGGATACAACATTCTCAAAAACAAGGTGCATGAAGTCGAGAGGGAATGAGGTTGGCCAGATGATGCTCCTGAAGTGTCACCAGATGCTGATTCCATTGATTCCAGATGCCTTTGCATGACGCTCTGCTTCAGCATGGCTCTCAGCCTGCATGACTGATTCAGCCTTGCAGAGAATTGAGTTCTGCAAGGAAAGAGGGAGATTCAGTGGATCATACTGGGCCGGAGCTGTAGATGAAGAGGAACAAAAGGATTGTCAGTCAAGAGGTACGCCTTTGTGCCCATTTGCACAGACTGAACTGATATTGCAAAATCTGCATGGCTGGTTTCCAGCATGTCCCTTCATATGCATCAGCTTGGCGACTGCTGGCATATCCCTGAAGAGCATGATCAGGTGTGCTTGCAAGGTAAAGAACTCATGCTTCAAGGCATCATAGGTCCTCATGCCTTTGGCCAGGAGAACAAGCTCTTCTGCCAAGGGGAAGTAGAATGAATCGAGATCTTTGACCATCTTGGGTCCTGGGATGCAACCAATTCGAAGCAAGTTCTTTGTGTGTGTCCTGTCTTGTGGTGGCAGGTTGTAGTTGATCAAGATTGTTGGCCATGCAGTTGTTCTTGGGCCTTTGAAAGGGGCAAAACCATCAGTTGACAAACCTAAGGCTATGTCTCATGGTGCATCAAAATATTTCATCTTCAAGGTCTTCCCATTGACAAAAATATAGTGTTTGATGATATGTCCTTCCCTGGAAGATGTCTGTCATCTTGAGTGAGTGGGGATTTTGCTGGGCTCAATATGAAGAAAGGGTAGTTGCTCTTTCCACATTAGCATATTGAGCTTGAAGCTGAGGAATGATCAGTAGATAATGATATGGCTGTGCAGGCTTGCCATTCATCTTGAACCTCGGTTCACTGCAGTGTGGACAACACTTGAGTTTGGCAAGGGCACCTATGTATGCCACACAGGAATTGATGCAGCAATCATAAGTGATGGGCTTCATTCCAGAGACATGTTGAATGCATCGTTCAATATAGGGGAGATCATAGAAGACATCAGGATAGGTGAAGTTGAGGGTGTTGTACTGCACATTTGTGAACTGTCCATTCATCTTCATGTAGAATGTGGTGAATATCTTCTCATCCTCTGCCGACAGGTTATCTGGATTGTGTGAGCAGCACCTGAGCTGTTTGGAACAGATTACATACCAGGTATCATTCTTGACTCAAGATCAATCTCCTTGTCCAACTCCTCAATGCCAGAGGTCTCCCCCTCCATCTCCCCCTCCCCCTCCCCCTCACTGTCATGCATCTGCCATTCTCACTCCCAATCCTCCTGCTCCTCCTGCTCCTCTTCCTCTTCCTTCTCCTCCTCTTCCTTCTCCTCCTCTTCCTTCTCCTCCTCCTCCTCCTCCTCCTCCTCCTCCTCCTGCAGCTCTGGCTCTGGCTCCAGCTCTGGCTCCTCCTGCCCTGATCTGGGTTCTTCTGCTGGCAGAGACATCTGGGACCTGACCCCTTCTCTTTCACTGCTGAACAGCTCATTCCACAGATCCTTCAGATCCTTTGCAGGTGGTATTTCATGCCCCAGTTGAGTCATCTCTTCCTTCAATTGTTCCTGCCGGGTGATGATGACCTTCTTTAGGGCTAGTGCTTCAGCCAACTGATGATGCTGCCATCTCTGGGTGCAGGACAACATTTTGCCACAGTGAGAGCAAGGACATTTTTGATGTTTCTGACAGACCTCTGCCTTTGCCTTTACCATGGTGAGAGGTAAACAAAACGGCAGGCCCCACTCTCCAGGACCAAAAAAAGTTGGTGATCCATCAATTCGGAATTTCCATATTGGGTTTATTTTTGCCCTTGTTTGTGGTAACCATCTCTTGGTGTGTAATGTGATCTGTGTTTGTGACTGATTTTGCTATCACAGCTTTCTGCTTGAGGGGTATATAATGGGACTGACTCCCTCGCATCCCTTTCTCCCCATCCTATGCCCAGGATCTCAGACCTCACTGACACCCCTTCCCTCAGCATCTTCCTCAAACAGGCCCCCTCACCTGAGAGCTCTGACAGCCCTCCCAGTGACTCCCTCTTCCTCAACTTCTTCAACAGCTGCTTTCCACCACTGTGCTCCCACCCCCTCCACACCTCTCCAAGGATGGCTGGTGTGCATCATACACACAACCACAACAAGTCCAATGCCATGATTACAGATGTTCTACTCCCAACAAACACTTCGTCAAAGAAGGGGAAAGGGAACAAGGAGAACCTGCCTGCCCTATTTCATGATGCCACCTCTGTTGTGCTTGCCCTCTCCACTGAGGATGACCTCAATGAAGACCCCATTGAAACCCTGGTAGAGCCCAAGAAGCATGCCCTGTCAGTATCTGATATTGAAGAAGACAAGCCCCCACCCAAGCACACCAAGAAGCAGCCTCTCAAGCAGCTCAACAATGGCCTTGACTTGCAGAAGTTCCTCTCCAAGAAGAAGTCAAAGAAGGAAGAACTTATTGAGGCAAATGTGAGGATTGTAGAGTTTGGGGCAATCATTATGTCTATGAAAGATATGTCTTGAACACTGCACATGTACATACATATCTGACGTTATTGAAGCAGATAAGGAGAAACTTTGAAAGGCACTCATAGCTGAGCTGGCAAAGCACAAGGCACCTCCACCTCCAAAGGTCATCCCTAAGCCCTTGGGGCAACCTGGTTGTAAGGGGCCAGGTGGATATTGCCTGCAGGAAGAGATGGGGCTCTCTGGGAATGAGAGCAAGTACAATTCTATTTGAGTAAGCCACTCTTACCTGCTATTATAGCTACCTACTAACCCAAGCTCTTCTACAGCAACAAGTCCAACAGATCAGCAACAAGTACAATGTCTGTGGAGAGAAAACCATCACCAAACTCCACCCAAAGGTGATGGTGAAGATATACAAGGAAGTGAGTACTGTCCTCCATGCTAAATGACAACATGTATCTACCTTGAAGAAGGCTTGACACAAGATTCCATACCTGGCATGGTTTGAGAATGATTGGGCCACCAGGGCCATTGTCAAGTCATACATGAGGAATGCCAAGCAATTCTTGGTCTCAAAAAAAGCTTATGATGAACATTGCCTGTCTGGGTCAGGAACCCCAGGCCCAGCTGTAGCCCCTCAGCCTTTGGTGACAAAGGCTGAGAAGCATTCTGTCCAATAAAGCAATGGAGCGAGCTGCAGTACAGCCCGATGATGACAATGATGTCAACAGTGACAAGGAGCTTGTGGATCTTTTGGCTGAGAAGCATTCTGTCCAATAAAGCAATGGAGCGAGCTGCAGTACAGCCTGATGATGACAATGATGTCAACAGTGACAAGGAGCTTGTGGATCTTTTGGCTGAAAGTGGATCTGACAATGAGGATTACGATTAAGTAAGTACCTGATTGTAGATTTGCGTCATGTACATATTAACATGATTTTCAGTCTCTTGTAAGATATTTCGAGTCTGCTTGGCCTGGCTTTTGTTGTCATGGGGACTAGATACCACTGCTTTATCCGTGCTTCAAGCACCACATTCCAGCTCTTGTATGATTTTCAGCGAAGAATGACATTTGATTGCTTTTGGTAAGGAATTACATGCAGGTACTGTGACAGTTCGGTTCGGGGCTTGTAAATAAGTTAATAAAATAGATACGGTTTTCAGCTCCACACAAGGTAATTCACTGCCCTAGGTCATGATTGGCATGACCCGAGGGACTCCTGAAGGGACTTAACTTCAGTGCCAATGCACAGTGCAGTGTTAGATGGTCATCCTTGAGTGTTGGTTGGGATTATAACCAGATTGCGATGTGTTCTTCTTCCTTGTGTTCGTCACCGACGGCATGTACATGCGTTGACGGCAGAACCAGGCAACATACATGCTCAGCAAGAACAGACACATGGATAGTCATCGTTCGGTAGCCAAAGGTGTAGGCAAGGCGGTGATAAATGATACGCCCATTCCCATCGTCATGTGGAAGTGTATAGAAGGAAGCGTCGCCAACAGTTCGTCGTGGGAAGATACATGACAATGGTACAGTATCCTTGTTGTCAGGGGAATCTTGCTTCTCCGAAGTGACTGCCTCATTCCTGATGTCTCCCTGCATTCAGATATGAGCGACAAAGCCTTGATGGATGAGAGTTTCTGATTATCATCACATTATACGTGTTCAGGTTCTCTGATTATCAAGGAAATTACATACAATGCAGTTGTGCTTCTTAGCAGGTTGATGCACTTTCCATGTGACTCCATTTGGGTGGATCCCGTTCAGCATGGTTGTGGTACTCAAATCAGATAGAGAAAGTTGTCATTTGAAGCGCATTAAGTGATTTACTATACCGATATCTCCGACTTGGGAAACACAAAGGTATGTTCGTAACTTCACGGGGGGACCGGAATGTTGTTGACTTGGTGGTACAGCTTCATGTTCCGAATGTCACTGTCTGCATTAGATCTTCAGTAAGATAGGAGCACATCACATTCCTAGCACGATCGAAACTCTACCGTATGTTCCCCCTCATCTCCACGCCCCAACTCTCCACTCATACATCCGTATCCCCTCCCCAACCTCCGGCCTCGAGCTCTCCACCTCCCACTCGTCCGCAACCTTCGTCCACATCCCCGCCAACGCCCTCGCAGTCTTGACAGTAACGTCCCCAATCGGGAGATGCGCCGGCAGTTTCTCACGCTGCGCGATACGGTAAAGGAACTCCATCGCCTTCTGCGGATCTCCAGGCCTACGGATCGTCGCGGCAAACCAGGCGTCGATGAACGCTTCCCCGCCGTAGATCTCCGGGCAGGCAAAGGCGGTCTCTGCACTTGGACGGAAGAACATGGGCGTGCGGAACCATCCGGGCTCGACGAGCATGACCTGTGCCTGGTCAGCCTTGGGAAGGTGCTGGGGGAGGTAACGGACTTGGATATTCCACTCGGGTTTGAGCTCACATACTACGGCAGTGGTGATCGCCTCGATGGCTGAAGCAGGAGGGTCAGTCATGCATTTTTGCAGCATACATGTGGGCCTACCGTGTTTACTACATTCCAATAGTCAGTCATCACTTTGGGATCCGACAGTCTCACGCACCTCGCTGAATAATATCCCAGGAATTCAGTGACCCCTAGCCCCGTGGTCGAGCTCATCACCAGCAACTTCCCTCCCCTGCCTTTCGGGTTCTCCTCTCTGAAGAACCTTACCGCCTCCTTCGTCACGCCCACGCATCCCCAGAAGTTGACATCGAACACCTTGCGCGCGACTGCTTCGGGTACGACCTCAACGATGCCGAACATCCCTAGTCCAGCGTTGTTCAGTACGAAGTCGACATGTCCGAACTGCTCCCAGAGACGATCTCTTCGGGCTTGGTGACGTCCACTTGGAGGTTCAGCAGTCGAGATGGACCGTACTGTTTCTCCAAGTCCTTGGGCGAAGACGGGTCGATGGATGTGGCTACACAGCTGTCCCCTTGGGCAAGTGCATGCTCGGCCATCACCCGACCGAAGCCGGACAAGGCACCTGTAACTGTGGGTGCGTCAGCATCAGTCCAAGGAGCACCGAAAGTACACTTACTGAACTAGACTTTAGGCTCCTTCTCTTGAGGCATATCGACCTAACAGGAAAGTAGAATGTTCAGAAACATGCTGAAAGCCTCTCCCGAGGGATGTTGGTATTTGTGTTCTCAACGCCTGCGCATCGGCACCCCGAGACGGAAGTCGGATCCGTCCCCCCTGCCCGACGCGCAGCTCTTCCCACACCAGATGAACGTAACGAGCATGAAGGTCAAACCAAAGACGTGTATGCACGAACGTAGCCAAGGTCGTCCCGAGGGTAGTAGCTGGGGGATTCGCAAATCCGTCACGCGAGAGGTAGAAGAAGTGCCATTCGCACGTAGTATGTTGTGTGCTTCGACACCGATGATCGCTTGGGGGCGACAGCAATCCCATTGCAATCGTATTTTTTTTTCCCAGCTCGGAAGACTGTCGTTTAAACTCGCCGTTTGTACAGGATCTCCAATGCATACGGTCATCATACATCGAGGCCGCAGAGTGTAACAATCCACCGAGCGCGGTTGAATCGGGAAGTATTCTATCGATTGCCAATACGACCAAGCATCATATATTCCTGCGAAGGGGTTGTCATCAAACTCCTGCACCTATGAATGTAAGGGACTGCAACAAGATGATCATGGAAATTACTACGCACAGTAGTGCTTATCATCCTCCCACCGATTGAACATCATTACTCAGCCCCTTCCCTCCCCAGCGCCATCACTCCTACAGCGGTGCTGTCTAACCAAACTCGGGCTTCGAGCTCTTCTCTTCCCACTCGTCCGCAACCTTCGTCCACATCTCCGCGAGTCTCCTTGCTGTCTTGATAGTGACGCCTCCTATCGGCAGGTGAGCAGGCAGCTTCTCCCTCTGCGTGACCTGGTAGATGAACTCCATCGCCTTCTGCGGATCTCCGGGCGTCCCCCTGTAAGCAGTATTCCAGGCGCCCACGAACGTGTTTCCGCCGTAGACGTCTGGGCAAGCAAACAGGCTGTCGGGGTTCTGACGGAGGAACATAGGGGTAAGGAAGTATCCAGGCTCGATGAGCATGATCTGTACCTGGTCAGCATGGAAAATGAGAACCAGTGAGGTCTGGTACTTGGATGTTCCACTCGGGTTTGATCTCGCACGCCACGGCAGTGGTGATCGCCTCGATGGCTGGGGGAGAAACATGTCAGTGATGCAGGGGTCTATGCACAGGAGGCAGGATTCACCATGTTTACTACGTGAAACGGTTAGTTATCCGATATCACAAATGTGTAGTCTTGCGCGCCTGGCCGAATAATATCCCAGGAACTCAGTGACTCCCAGCCCCGTAGCTGAGCTCATCACCAGCAACTTCCCTCCCCTGCCTTTCGGGTTCTCCTCTCTGAAGAACCTTACCGCCTCCTTCGTCACGCCCACGCATCCCCAGAAGTTGACATCGAACACCTTGCGCGCCATTGCTTCGGGTACGACTTCGACTATTCCGAACATTCCCAGGCCGGCGTTGTTCAGTACGATGTCGACATGTCCGAAGTGCTCTTTGGCGGCTTTGAATGCAGAGATGATCTCTTCGGGCTTGGTGACGTCCAGCTGGAGGTTCAGCAGTCGAGATGGACCGTACTGTTTCTCCAAGTCCTCGAGCGAAGACGGGTCGATGGATGTAGCTACACAGTTGTCCCCTTGGGCAAGTGCATGCTCAGTCATCACCCGACCGAAGCCGGACAAAGCGCCTGTAACTTTAGGGCATCACCATCAACCCGAGAACATCGAGGTAGGACACTCACTGAACCAGACCTTAGGCTCCTTCGTTTCTTGACCCATGTCGACTTATCAGGAAGGTAGAGCGTTCAGATACAGGTCAAAGCATCCCTGGGATGTGCATGTCATATTTGTATGTTATTCAGCTGGACGGATCCCGGCCGGCAGGTTCATTCAAATCATATGTAAGCGTTCGATCAATACCCGCTAGGCAGCATTTGGGCACAGCAACAGCCCAGAAAATCACAGAGCGATGATGAATAAGAAGCATGCTGCTGGTTTTCGACCCGACAAGGTCTGCCTGTCAACGGCCCGGGGTTGTGGTCGAACATCAGAGAGAAGAGCGAAGGGGCTTCAGGTCTCGTCACGCACATAAACTTGACAACATGCACACGAACAGTCCACAACTCCTCAGACCTGAAATAATTGCAGGTATACGCAGTCCAAGGACATATTATAAAATAGCAACAACTAGAGTATAACAGCGTTTCGTCGTAAACACATTGATCGTGAGCAGTGAATCCCAACAGAAATCAGGCGTCCAGCATCCATTCCACATAATACACAATCCAGCAGGAACCGTGACCATCTCAGCGATATCGTGAATCCAGGCAACAAGCATAGGACAAGCCTGCAAGACGCTACAAGAGCCTCACCTCCAGTTGATCTCCATCCTCGAGGTCGTAATCCCCGACCACGCCTTCCGGATCAAGATCCTCTCCCTCGAAGCTGAGCCTCGCCTCGCGGTTCTCGATGCTATACTTGCTCAAGAACCCTCTGACGAGCCTGGCTACAGCAGTAGTGGGTCTGCAGGCTATGCGAAGACCTTTTTCTGCTCCGGCGGCGAGCAGGTTCAGGTGGATGGTCTGGACTGAGGGAGAGGGGTCGTCCCCCGAGGCATCGGGTTGGGGGTCGAGGGCTTCGGTGGAGGGCTCGAGTGACCCACGGTGGGCAAGACGCTGTGCTTCGACGCGCTCGTGCACGGTCCTTGAGTACGCCTCTGCGTTCCTGTCAGTATCCCGCTTCCCAGGAGGGGTAAAGGACGTACCTAGCGTAGCCTCGTCCCATATGCCGAGTGAATGCGGGGTCGCGCTCGCCCACACCTGCTTATGCTCATGCGTCACGATCAGCTGAGGCATAAGCATCTCACTTCTCTCGCAAATGAGCTCGAACGCCTGTCTAAACGGCGCGTTCTACTCCTCCGATCAGCACCCTCTTTCCAGCCAGGGAGAAGGACGTACACGCTTGACCTTGAACCGCAGCGCGTGGCACTTGCCGTCATCCGCCTCCCCGGCCCAGTCAAGCGGGTATATGCGCACATTTAGAGCGACGCTATCCGGTCCTTGTAAGACGCTCCCACCCCTGCTCTCACTGGCCTGCGACTCCCCGCCGTCCTGGGACTGAGAGAGCCGACCCATCCGCCTGCTGCGAGAGTTCTCCCTTGCGCGCTTGGCGATCGCCGCTAGCTCCGGGTCGAGATCCTCCAGCCCTGGGGGGTGGACGATGGTCACTTCATCCTCCCTCTCACCCGGGTGTACACGTGAGCTAGCGGCGATGATATCCCTCGCAGCTTGGCGGACGCGTGCGAGCTGGTCGGGCGCGATTTGAGGGGGTGGGGTGAGGGTTTTGGCGCGTGCTGGGGGCCGAGGGGTAGATGGGCCACCGACGACGCGGATCTCCGCATCGGAGGAGTCGTTATCGGACGAAGATATGGTTAGTACAGGTGTGTTCTCGGACCTGTTTTAGGTCAGCATATATCTGGGAAATATGGTGAGGAGGCGCACCTCTCGGGGTCGACGCGCTTTCCTCCCTGCGTCCACTTGGGGAGATGTAAGTCCGATTTGGCACCGCCGCGCTTGCGTTTCTTCTCTCCACTACTGGGAGGGCTCTCGGGAGGCACGACATCTCCGAGTGACTCTAGATGGTCTTCAGTCAGCCCATTGTCGCCACATGAACGCGACACAGAAGGTGCACACCTGGGGTTTGGGCAGCGCGCTTAGTCAACGCCTGAAGCTTGCGGGTATTAGATCGATCAAAAAAGTCGTCTTCATCATCATCCTGTGCCAGAGACTGGAAGCTGGTCGCTCTTGCAGCCGCGGGGCTCTTGGATGGGGAGAACGAAGGAGCGTCTATTTCTACGACGTCGGAGTCTTCTGTCGCTGCGCGGGTTGGTTTGGTCGGTGATGGTATATGTGCTACACGGCGTGGACGTGGACGTGGTGGCATGTGGAAGAGAAGTAGAGTACAAAAGTGTACAACTTTTGTTGTTGAAAAGACTAGTAAATACTGATACAATGGGTGAGGCAATGTTGAACAGTGAACGCGTCAGTCGTTGACATTCCAAGCGGGTGCATTCGACACGGAATTGAGGACATTAATCCGGGCATCTGTACTTGACAAAGTACATAGACTATGTATCCTCTGAACTTAATGCACTTCATCTCATATGAAATCACGACTACATGGTGTAAAATCAATCAAGCACACCTATCCTTACCAAAGTTTGTCACTTCGAAGGTGTTGCTCATCTTCTCACATTCCGTACACCTCCGACCGGAGCCTTCAACAGGAAACGCAATCCACGTCTACGAGCACTGGAGTGATCTTGAAAACTGGAGAGATTACCGGTTTCCGGACAGGGAGAAACTCCCAGAATGTCTGTTGAAGGCTGCGTCATCAGCTAGGTCGTCGGCAGAGAATATGGACAAATGTGGCGGCGTGTCCAGGGTACTTTTTTCCGATGGAACGGAGTACGGCGAGGGTTGTACAGTTTTACGATTCCTGATTCATATGTGATTAATCATGTCATCTGGCAAAGGGTTATGTCACCATTAACAATATCATTGTTTATACAATTACCCTAAGGAGAAGGCGGCATTGTTACTCATACCGCTTGTATTCACATGAGGGAATTTCTACATTCGAGGGTATTATTCCTCACGGACCATCCAATTAATACCCCCGAAGGGTCTGAGAGGAAGTCTACCTACATGATCACGTCATCATTGCTTCCGCTTTGATTATCACGTGTATGAAGGATGATCCACTTGGTCCGCGCTTGCTTTTGTTAATGTACAGAACCATCACCTTTACCACCACCAACACGGCGTCCTCGGTCATGGACGTCTAGTATCCCCAGTGGATTGAGATATTCCTCACCGACATGGTCCTCGTTCAACAGTATTATTCGGAAACAAAACGCATATACCTCCCGGGTATCCTCTAAACCGGGTTCATCACGCGCACACCTGACTAGGGGGAGCAGACATGGGAACCGACTAGGCTTCCGCTGGCTGCTGGTTCCAGAGATCCGTGTGCGTTTCTCACGTCCGGCTGGGTATAAATAGACCACACGCCAGCGAATCTCCCATCGTCAAGCTTTTGATTGTGAGACATCTCAGCCGTTATCATGAGTCCTCAAGTGTGGTTAAGTGAGGCACCTTCCAATCGTCGGTACTGTTGATGCATGCTAACGGAGTTACACAGTCACCGGTGCCTCCTCCGGCTTTGGTAAGATCGTCACCGAACTCGTTCTCTCCCATGGGGGGAACGTCGTTGGCGCCTCGATCGGTTCATCCGCTATCTCCGATCTAGTGGAGAAATACACCGCCGTTCGACTGATCAACCTCGAGATCGACGTGACCAAGCCTGAACAAGTCGCCTCTGCGTTCTCATCCGCACACGAGAAGTTCGGCCAAGTCGATGTTGTGTTCAACAATGCCGGCGTCGGCTTCTTGTGCGAAGCAGAGGGTATGCCCGAGGCACTGGCGAGGAAGACGTTCGAGGTAAACTTCTGGGGAAGCACGTACGTTGCTAGGGAGGCAGTGAGGGTGTTCAGGGAGGTCAACGGACCTAAGAAAGGAGGCAAGCTGTTGCAGATGGCGTCCATGCTTGGCGTGGGCCGTTGGGCGGGACTGGCGTATTACACCGCGAGGTATGTTAGATGTTGATCTGAGAGCGCATGACTGACGTGTGTATAGTAAACATGGTGCATATATCATCATCCGTGATACTGCATATAGCTGACCCACATCGTGTTCAAAGCCGTCGAAGGATTTACCAAGGTACTCATCTCAGAGCTGAACCCCGAATGGAACATCCAGGTGTGTTGTATCCACTGATCGTCAAACTACTAATACCGAATCTCTCTAGGTCATGCTCATCGAGCCCGATTTCTTCCGCACTCCCATGGTCGCGTCCGACTTGGCCGTCATCCAGCCTATGCCGGCATACGTCGGTGGTGCCGCAGACCAATCCCGGCACATGACAACGGCGGAAAATATCAAGGGCGATCCGCAGAAGGCGATGGAGATGATGTACAACGCCGCACAGCTGGACAAGCTCCCTCTGCACCTACCGATCGGACCCGGCGCGATTGGCATGTTCAACCGGACGGAGCAAGAGCTGAAGACGGCCGTTGACGAATGGGCGACGCTCGCGAACCAGACAGACTTCGACTGAAACGAGAAATTGACGAGCGTTATGCCCCCGTCCGTGAACGCAGCCATAGGCAGGCGAGGGTCCAAGGCGAAAGTGACGTGTACCAGTTCATACTCCTTCCTTAGTGGGAATGGAATGGATTGATAATCTTCGCCGACTATTCGTGCCATGTGCCAAGAATTCCAGCGCTCACAATTGCGTGCACATGCGGCTGTGCACACAGAAGACTAGCTGCTGAATTTGGTTAGTGCCTCAGTCCCTGCCACCAGAAGTCCACAGCGGTTATGCGAGCGAACCCCCCGGCTATGGCTGGGAGATACAGTATATAAAGTCTGGTCTGTGTGCTGGCAGCTTCAGCATCCAGTTGAACTCTCCAAACCTGAAAGATGGCACCGAAAGTCTGGCTGAGTGAGTCCTTCGACGATGGTGCTGTGTTGCCCCAGCTAACCCGAAGGATAAAAGTTACCGGTTCTTCCTCCGGCTTCGGACGTATCATGACAGAGCTCGTGCTGGAGAATGGCGACATATGCGTCGCGACCTCTATCGAGCCCACAGCGCTGTCCGACCTGTTCCCAAAGTATGGCAAGGAGCGCCTTCGGCTGGTGAACACGGACGTCACTCAGGTAGACGAGGTCGCACTGGCATTCAGCGTCGCAGAACAGGCGTTCGGACACGTAGATGTGGTATTCAACAACGCTGGTGTGCTCCTTGCTGCTGAAGTCGAAGGGACACCTGAGGACAGGGCTAAGGACTTGTTCGACGTCAACTTCTGGGGCAACGCGAACGTGCTCAGAGAGGCGGTCAGGTTCTTCCGTGAGGTCAATGGGCCCGAACGGGGTGGAAAGTTGATCCAGGTCACGTCGTGTGCGGGTATATCCACTTGGCCGACATTGGGTTATTATGCCGCGAGGTATGTGAATTTAATACGACGTGGAATAAGAGTTTGACATCCAAACAGTAAACATGGTAACTATATGCTCTTTATCATCCGGATTCCTTGATGCTGATGCTTTGCGAAGCGATGGAGGCTCTCGCCAGGACCATCGTCCTTGAAGTTCAACCTGAATGGAACATCCAGGTCTGCCGTCCGCGTTATTTAGGTTGCATCTAGTGATAACCTCTGTTGTTAGATAATGCTCGTTGAGCCAGGATTCATGCGCACTCCGATGCTCAACTTTGAATTTCACAACAAGCTTGCACCTATCCCGGCCTACGCCACCCCGGCAGCAGAACAAACCCGCGCCGACATGGTTGGGGAGCGCATCAAAGGCGATCCACAAAAGGCCATGGAACTAGTGCACAAAGTTGCCCAACGGGAAAAACTTCCCCTTCACCTGCCTATTGGGGCCGACGCTGTTGACTTGATTCAAGAACAGGTTGCTGAGTTGACGCGAGCACTTGATGAATGGGGGTCGATTGTGAAAGACGTGGTGTTCGCGGAATGAGAATAAGCTCTTTTTCGATGTCACGTGCCTTGTTCATCATTCCACAACGCGGTGCTGACCAGAAGGAGCGGAGCGGTGGTTGAAATGAATTGGATTGATCAAAGTGTCTCTCGTCATCCTGTGCCTTTCTCACGGTTGATATCCAGGGAAAGCCGCTGCGAACGGGTATCGGGAACTGCTGTTGTTAATATCAGTCAAGTGATGCCGAAAGGGCCGGGGCCAGAGAAACAGACCCTAAGACGCATTCCCGATGAGCCCCGCCTGAACCTTCACGATGACTTCCCGCTGAGAACAAAGGTGGCCAAGGGTCCATTCTGTCTCATGCCTCCAATCTGCCACGATAAACAACGGGTCACCGGTCTGTCCAGACCTGGAATGCCCCTACATGCCGAGAGGATGGCGGGTGCGATGGCGGGTACCGCTCTGGACCGCCGTGTCGGAGTCAACTGCATCCACGAATATGAGCATTGGTAGGATTGCGCAGTATTACCCCGTGGGCGGCTTACTTGTTCGGGTGGAGTTTCCAGCCCCATGGAGCGAGAGAGGCATCAGCGCCGTCTATAAAGTCGGGCGGAGCAAACCTGGATGAGCGACAGTGAACTCTTACGAACTCTTGTGAACTCGGATCTGCAAACAATGGCCGCATCGAAGGTCTGGTTTAGTGAGTCCTGACAACGCCTTCCCAATCACTATCTGACTTCGAGAACAGTTACGGGCGCTTTCTCCGGCTTCGGCCGCATTATGACGAACCTCGTCCTTGAGAGCGGCAACAAGTGTGTGGCCACCTCGATCGACCCCGCCGCTCTTGATCCACTGGTCAAGCAATACGGCCCCTCGAAGATCCTTTCCCTCTATGTAGATGTTACCAAACCGGCACAGGTCCAAGAAGCATTCCGCAAGGCTAAGGAAACTTTTGGTGGTGTCGATGTTGTTTTCAGCAACGCTGGTATCTGCTTCGCGGACGAGGTAGAAGATACGGCAGACGAGACGGCAAGGAAGATCTTCGAGGTCAACTTCTGGGGCGTCTCGAATGTTATGAAAGAGACTGTGAAGATGTTCCGTGATGGAAATCCACCCGGTCGTGGGGGGAAGCTCATGCAAATGGCGTCCATCGCCGGTGTGATTGGTTGGCCCTCCCTGGGTTACTACTGTGCTAGGTGTGTTCATCCCATGTCCATATCCAGGATCTAACTGACTCGTTGCTTACAGCAAACACGGTGCCTACTCCATCTGTTGCCTTCATTCCTTGTTGCTGATTCCTTCGGCCTGCAGCTGTTGAGGGACTCACGAAGACGCTGGTACAAGAGCTCAAGACAGAATGGAATATCCAGGTGCGTCAACAATTCCTCATCCAGAGTATTGATCCTGATCATGAGCAACGCAATGTAGGTCACCCTGGTCGAGCCCGGATTCTTCGCAACACCGATCATTACCAACATCAACCAAAACAAAGTTGAAGCAAAGGCTACGTACGCCGGAGGTGCTGCGGACACAAACAGGACTGCCATGGAAGATCCAAGCATCGCCGGTGATCCGACCAAAGCGATGCAACTTGTCAAGAAGGTTGCAGAGATGGAGAAATTGCCGCTTCATCTCCCAATTGGAGCAGATGCAATCCCTGTCTTCAGGGGTACATCAGAGGAACTGACGAAAGCCGCCAACGACTGGGAAGTCGAAGCCACCGCTACACGGTTCGACAGTTAAACAACGAGGGACTAAAAGCATCTCCATGCTCATGCGAATTGATTAAACCACATTGTGTACAAGTAAACTGGTTGATACAATGATGTAATTCATGGTTTACGTCTTTATTAGGGCGAGGACTGAGTTTTATGAGCTGACAAAATCCCCCCAAGATATTGGAGCTTTCTTATTCATACGCTTGATGAAGTCTGGTAAACTGAGAAGATGCCTCATAGTCGGTCTGCCGTGGGGACAGTTCTGGTCGCAACTGTTAGTATATGGCGACATGCCAAGCAATGGCACTGACCCAAGGTTGCTCCATCGTACCCATATGGCGGACAACCTACAAGGGACATTCAACCTCTGGCAGGCCTAACAAACAGCGTGCTCACGTTTGTCATTTGTTGTCTGGTGAGCGCCATGCCAATCATAACACTCCGCCGGCAAGCCCGTGTCGCAAACATCGTTCGTGCTTTAGAACAGCGCACCATTTGTCCCTTTGGGGCGTCCTGCATGAGGTGAAGAAGCTCCTCTAGGTCTTTCATATCGAACACAGTATTCTTGCTAATGGGCTGTGCCGTGAGGCGTAATCGACTCTGCCGTGCGGCGATTGATTCGTCGTCTGCTGCTGCCATCTCGACTTCTTCGACATCAAACCCGTTTTCGCGTAGAATGGCCAAATTTTCAAGTGCAACCAATTCATCCGCAGGAGTTAATTCCAGCGGTCGGGGCCTGTAAATATTGATGAGTTGGATGGTATTGTTACCCAAATATCGTAATTTACCTGAACAGAGCTTGTGATTGAATTCGGGTCGTTTGTTGCAGAGATTCGAAGTTGAATTTCTCATCCGCGGCATGCTGATCCACGATGAAGAGTTCATCATATTCCTTCTTCCCATCTTCACTTTCTTTCCTCAATCGAACAATGACAAACCCGAGATTGAATTGTCCAAGAATTACCATACGTCCAAAATCGGCCTTAGTGATAACACGAGAGAGGGTAGCCTCTGCCTGTTCTGCGCTGTCCACTTTAAGTCCAGCAGCTTCCATTGAATCACTGGACTGCGAGATCGTGCGCTGATGTGCCAGATTGGAGCGTTCAGCAAGAGCAGCCCACTTCGAACGTATGCGGCTCATATCGACTGACAACACCCCTTTGCTAGTCACTCGATCTCGAAGGATTTCCACCGTTGTCGGCGCTGCGCCAGACATGTTCTCGCGATTTTGTGTGGCGACACTCATGGCAATCTTATCTGCCACGATCGGGACGTCTTCCATCTCTACATCCTCCGCAGTGAGATCGACGACATCCGCGGTTTCTTCATCGATGGTGCTGACTTCGGTGCTGGGTTCTTGCGACACAGACACCGGGATGGACGATTGTATAACTTCAACATCGTGGTTGTCTACCTCCGAAAGATTGTCATCTGAAGGCGGTATTCGATCATATTCTGCGGTGCCAGTTGCATCTGGCGCCACGTTGCCACTGGCAAAGCGCAGTAAACCCTTTTGAAACTGTCCAATTGATAGCTGACTGGGGGTACCCAGCTTGGTCCTGCGACGTTTTGAGAGTGGCTCTTTAGATGGGGAGGGCGGTTCTCGGATAGGCAAGGTCTTGGTACTTTCTCTAGTCTCGCTACGTGCGTCTGCTTGAGATTCGGACTTGATCTGGGTGATTGGCGGTGGGATTGGGAAGGATGCTGCGGGTTGTATAGGTCCTTCAGCCGTCGGCTGAACGGCGATCTCTTCCTCGAGCGACAATCCAGCATCGTACCGGTTTCCAGCGAGTTCTGGTCGCGGCTCAAGCGACTGTTCGATGGATGTTTCCGCAGCAAGAAGATTATCCAATACTTGTTCCAGCTTGTCCGGAACAGAGGAGACGGACAGGTCGGCTTCGAGGACATCCGCTGACATGCTTGATGAAGCGAAATGAGTCTCGCTTCTGTGTGCAGCATCTGTAGGCTGACTGGAAACGAGCCTCTCATCGCTGGCCCGACGGTTGGATTTCACTACTGTCGGAATCGTTGGCCAAGTGGCAGCTCGCTCTTCTGTCTTCTTTGACTGATACTTTGGTCGCCCACCGCCGGGGGCTGATTTCTTGCTCGGCACAGGTCGCTCACTCGGCGCAGTGTCATCTTCTAGCTCATCAACTTCAGCATCGTCCTCGGCTGCACCACCAGACGTTGAGTGGCCTCCAGAGTTTGAGCGGGAAGCACCGCCGTTGACTGCAAATGTCGATCTTGTTGGCTGCCATAGTTCTTCTAGTGCAGCCTAACGATGGGATATCAGAAGAAGCTGGAATACGTCAAAGGGGGAGACGGACCTTGAGCGATGTGATCATATTCTCTTCATTGTGCAACAAGATAGAGCGCTTGTCCGGACTGACGTTCACGTCGTACGCATCTGCCAGGGATTCAGCTATTGTATCTTTCACGTGCCGGAGGCAGGCTGCATACCAGTTGGCAACGTAATGTCAAGCACCCACATTCCTTGACCCTGAACGCAGAAAGAATGCCAGACATCTGCGATCGCTTTGGTGACCTTGGGCAAGTTACACGGCCTCGAGTTCAAGAACAGATACTGTCGGTCTGCGGCGGTCCGGGAAGAAGCAAAAGTGGGAAGGCTCATGACGCCGCGGCACTGAATCGTGGCTGAGGAAGGTGTGTGCCCGGTGCGTTTGAGCATAGACTTATCGGCATCCACCTCAAGGGTCAAGTCGACGTCTGCCAGATGTTCAAGTACTTTCCGGCCCCACAAGTTGGCGATGTTATTGCGGAGATTCGGTGTGCCGTCCGTCCGGAGCTGGACGGTCTTCTTCCTGCAAGAATAAGAACTTAGTAGAACTTAGTTATGACGTGACTTACCCGCCTTCGGGTTGGTTAGATACTGTTAACCGTACTCCAGGAGGCTTGGAGCATGGGACCATAGCGTATGCTGTAAGCAGTGCGACGGCCTTAGAGTGTTCGCGCTTGATATTCCGAGAAAGCTCTGCTCTGCGCACGGGAAGAGGGGCGAACAGGTTGGTAATTGTGACCGTCGTGCCTCTCTACACATTCCGTCAGAGCGGCAAACTAATCAGACAGAAGATAAAACGTACTTGCCTAGCCATCTTCGTAGTCGAGCTCACTAGCTTGCCCATCCTATCAAACTCCAACACACTCCCCATAGGCGCCTCCTCCTCCGTCGCCGTAGTCATGGTCACGCTCTCCGCCAAAGCGCAGAGGGACGACACGGCCTCACCCCTAAACCCAAAGCTGGTCACCGACTCGAGGTCGGCGAAAGATGTTAGCTTGGAAGTATGATGTTTCAGTCCTGGGCGTTGTTAACCTCGCAAGGGTTGGAAGAGGCAGGGAACGAACCGACGGAGTCGTAGTCGGCTGATTTTATCCCAGAGCCATTATCGAGCACCTCGATAGCCTTCAATCCATAGTCCTTGAACCGCACCTCTAACCCGTGTCAGTAGCTGCATCATTGATCCGAGAAGAAAGAACAGACCGATGCTCGTCGCGCCCGCATCCAGGCTGTTCTCTACAAGCTCTTTGACCGCTGTCTGGAGGTCGACGACCACTTGCCCTGAGGTGATCTTGTGCACCGAGTGCTGGGGTATCGCTTTTATTTCGGATGTCATGGAGGATGTCGTTGTTAGGTCATGATGTGGTGAGATGGGATGGACGTCGCGAAGAGAGATGAGTCGGTCACGACGCAGACGCGTCGCTGTTCATGTCACGCGCGAGTGCGATTGAATGCGCTTCCGGACATGATCCAGAATTACCACTGCTATACCAGCCATTTTTGCGATACATTTTAATCCATTTGTATCGATAAGAAAGCATCTCACAGAAAGACGAACTAGTATATACATAAAACGTAGCATTCCCATCGACAGAGCGTTGAACAAGCGACGTCACTAAGTGAGGCAACCGGCAGGAGGAGACTGGAGGGTTCAGTGGAGAGGCTCAGGTGGTATACATGCCGATCCGCAGGTCCGATAAACAAAACCGACGTGGTATGATCGGCATAGACACGGGGGAAGGTGGGAGGGCGGACAAGGAGATACATGATAATAGTAAGAAGAGTGAAACTAACCTGATCATCAGAGCGCGACATTCAAAAAAAAAGATAGGTCGTGATGAACACTCCCAGGGCGATCATGATCACCACAAGGGGCGGGACACCCTCTGGCTGACTCTCGACGAACTTGGTCTCTTCGCTTGGGCGTGGCTCCTCTTCCTCCGGAGGAGAACGCTGCCCACGCCTCCGCAGACCGACATTTGGGAGGGCAGGGTCGGTGTACGAAGCCAGCATAGCCCGTAGGCGCTCGATCTCTGCTTGCGCATCGGCGTACTTGGCTAAGAGACCGCTGTCGGGCGCCTCCACCGGAGGTGGGGGATGAACGACAGGCGCTTGGACCGGGACTATTGGCTCAGGAAGGCAGGATGTTGACGGCGCACGGAACTCCAAGGGCCCAGGCTCCGAGGTAGGCGGAGGAGCCTGAATATAGATGGGGCCAGGCGCTATCGGCACGGGGATCAACTCAGGCTCGGGCTGGGGTGCGTAAACCTCTACAGGCACGGGCGGAGGCTCGTAAACAGGCTGGGGCACGTATACGGGCTGTGGCTCTGGCTCGTATACGGGCTCAGGCGGAGGCGGGATAATAGACGCCTGGGTCACTTCTTCCCTCGCTTGGTTGAACGTCTCGTCACCGGGCTCTTCGTGCGGGGCCGATATGACCGGGATGGGGTAAGCCTCCGGCTCAACAGCGGCGACCTGGCCGTTGGTAAATGGTGGCTCGTGTACGGTTTCATACGTAGCACCCATCTGAACAAGGGTCAACAATCGTCGACAGAACTGTGTAAACAGACGCACCGAATCCAGACCGTTCAAGTGACCTGGGTGCTCTGTCTCTTCCGGAATACCATCGCCTTCCGGAGGGAGGTATGCAACCCTAATCTTTTGTTGGTGAATGCCGCTCTCACCGCTAGTCTTCTCCGCGACGGCCCACTGGTGGTAGTTAGTAGACGAACTGAACTTGTTGACCGATACTTACTAATTCGCCGATGCTGCCTTGCTCACGCTCCGGGGTGATAAAGGTGGTCTGAACAAGGAACTTGTCCTTGCACTTGGTGTTGAGAGGTGGGTCCTCCTTCATGGGTTGGAGGAGAACTGCGGAGACGTGTAAGAGTGGAACTCAGGAACGCGAAGCGTGACGTACCAGCAACCTCACACATATCTCCGGCTTCTATCCTTCCAGAATTAGGTCGGACGCAATACAACTAACAAATGTAAGCAGTACATCACATATATGCGCAAAGTTAACATACCTTCGGCGCTGTGGTCTTAACCTTGAACGCCACAGGCTGTGTGTTGTTATTTGTGACATATAGAGTACGTTTGACGATCTGGTTGAAGGGCCCTGTATGCGATGTTGAACTGGAAAATTCCCTTTACTTTTTAGATGACAACATACTATTAAAGCCCAGTTGGGCACTAGGACTCAATTCGACAGACATTGTTAACCGTAGACCGTTAAAGGCAGAGAACAGATGAAGGTAAGCCTGACGGTGTTGACCAGATTGTGCCTCCAAAGTGGAAGGTCAGGCTGAAATGACGGAGGCTAAGGCGTGACATCACGGAGGCATTTGACACGTAACTCCGATACCACGCGTCACTGCCACGAGGCACCATTGTTCACTCCAGCGGATCATCAAGGTGACAAGTTGGGTTGTGCCTATCTCATTAACAACCACTTGCTCATCAATAAGCTGGTCAGAAAGAAACGGTACATATATTTAGACAATCTTGATACAATGGAAGCTGATTGTTCCTAGACAGGACATTGGACTACCACCTCATCTGCGCCTATTCTCCGCTCCTCTTCGAGCCATACAATAGCCGGATACTGCCGACAGGTGGCACTGCATCATCGGGCTTTGAAGTCGGTCTTCTAGCGCCTTGCAATAGACCCAGGAACTGTCGAAAGAAAGACTCTCCGAACCAACGTTCTTTTTGAGGAAGATAGGTTACCCCAAGTCTCTGAGAACGGAAATCATATTTCAAAGGCGCTTGCTTGGCGCCCGCCCACTGCATACACTCCATCAGTCGCCGATCTCTCCGTTAGGAATCTCCTAGAAACGACGCACGAGCTCGCTGAGCAAGTCGCCCTCGTCCGCAGGTCGGATCATGACCGATTCGATCAGGAACTTGTCCTTGCAAATTATCCCTGCCGGCGGATCTTGCTCGTACGCCCGCATCGAGACTACAATCCCGTAGGCATGCGTGGAGCAGTCAAGCCGCAGCGCTCACTGATGACTTCGCGCGACCGTCTAGGTTCAATCCTGCCCTGGTTTGGACGCACAGCATATCGCTGAAACTCCGCGATTAACGCCCGGAAATGAAAACGGAATAGTTCGAGCCCACTTTCAGCGCATTCGTCTTGACCTTGAACGCCAGCGGAGTGTTACCGGTGTTGGTGAGACGCAGTTTGCAGTCAAGAGGGCGCGTTAAGGGATCTAGGAAGACATTAGAATGTGAGCACATCACCCCCTGACCCCGCTCACGATGGAAACTCAGAATCTCCGGTTCTAGTTCAAGAGCCATCGCGGATGAGATATGGAGAATGAACGATCAGAGGCCTTATCCAATGGCGCTGAATGTAACGTATCGCTGCCCGCGTGGTGCGGAATCCGGACGATCTCCAGGGAACATGTGCCGACGTGGCGATGCAATGCGTCAGGAGCACGTTCCGCTGGCAACAGGGTTGCCTATTTCTCTCTGCCTGTGTTTGGTGTTCTTATCGTCACACGAGCGAATGGCACGAATATTTGAGATAAGAGCCTGCGGGGTTTTTCCTCAACCACAGTGCCCACCATGGCTACCCCTCTCACAGAAAAGCCCTCCAACGGTGAATCCAAGGACGTCGAAACTGGTAAACACTACAACGAGAAGACTTTCGCTGCTCTTACGTCCAATATCGTTGTACAAGATGGAGAAGGCGAAGATTTTCAAGAGACGAAGGTGCTCAAACAGGGGCTCAAGCAACGCCATATACAGATGATTGCGCTGGCTGGCACTATAGGCACGGTAGGAATTTCTTACCCCTCGTTGTCTGCATTTTTTGACCATGGACAGGGCCTCTTCCTCGGTTCTGGGGGGGCTATCACCTCCGGTGGCCCAGCTGGGGCCTTCATGGGCTACTTGTTTGTCGGTATTCTCGTCTCTGGGGTCGTTATCTCCATTGCAGAGCTCAGCGCCTTCGTGCCCCTGTCGGGTGGCATTATCCGCCACTCCAATTATTTCTTCGACCCCGCTTTGTCCTTCGCTATAGGATGGAACACCGTCTACTCCACTCTGATCTCTCTGCCTGCTGGTGAGCTTATCTGACTTCAGAAATCCCTTATTGTCAACTAATATGTGCATCAGAAATCACCGCTGCGGCCGTCATCATCGATTTCTGGACTACCAACGTCAGTAACGCAGTATGGATAACTATCCTTGGCGCACTGTTGTTTATCACCAATCTGCTCTTCGTGCGCGTCTATGGGGAGCTCGAGTTCACTTTCGCGACACTGAAAATTATGCTCATCCTTGGTCTTATCATTATGGTGCGTTCTCATTGTTTGTCTCTCCGTTGCCGCGCTCAACCTCCATGTCTCAGGGTCTCGTTGTTGATCTTGGCGGAGGGCCCGACCACACTCGTATCGGACTCTACTACTGGCAGAACCCCGGCCCCTTCGTGCAGTACCTCAACATTCCTGGCTCACTTGGTCAGTTCCTAGGGTTCTGGGCCACCTTCTCGAACGCTGCCTATGCCTACTCTGGTATTGAGGGTATCTCAGTGGCCGCCGCTGAGACCCGCAACCCCCGTCAGGCGATCCCCAAGGCCGCAAAGCGCATCTTCTTCCGTGTCCTCCTATTCTACGTCATCTCCATCCTGATCGTCTCCATGATCGTGCCCTCGAACGACCCCGACCTGCTGAATGCCCAAGGCCCCGGTGCCGCCGCTTCGCCATTCGTCATCGCCGCAAACCGTGCCGGTATCAAAGTCCTTCCAAGTATCATCAACGCAGTAGTCTTGACCTCCGCGTGGTCCTCTGGTAATTCAGGCATGCTCACCGGCTCTCGCGCACTTTATGGTCTTGCACTCGAAGGCCATGCCCCCCGCATCTTCAAAATGGTGAACCGATTCAGCGTCCCATGGGTCGCTGTCGTCAGCATTGGTGTCTTCCTTTGCCTCGCATACATGTCCGTTTCCAGTGGTGCCGCAACCGTCTTCGGCTGGTTCCAGGATCTGGTCGGCTCTGCTGCCCTCGTCCTTTGGATAGTCATCACCATGGTCTACCTCCGCTTCTACTATGGCTGCAAGGCACAAGGTATCGATCGGCACACTGAACTTCCATGGGCTGGTCCGTTCCAGCCCTATGCGGCCTGGATCTCCTGCATCATGTTTTCGATTATCCTTCTTACTGGTGGCTTCGCAGTGTTTATCAAGGGCAATTGGGATCCTCAGGGATTCGTTGGGGCCTACTTCAACATTCCCTTGATATTTGTAAGTTGTTTGCTACGAACGTTCTATCTTGGCGCTTAATCTTTCCAGATCTTATACTTCGCCTACAAGTTCGCAAGGCGCACAAAAATAGTACCTCTGGACGAGATGCCCATCAGGGAGTTCATCCAAATCTACAAAGATAATCCGGAAGAGCGTGATCCTCCTCTCAGAGGCTGGGCCCGTCTTGGGTTCCTTTGGACTTGATCATCTAAGAGTGCGGAAGGTTTGGGAACGTAGGGAGCCCCGATGCAGTTAAAACTGACCTTCGGGTCTATTCGTTACGTGTACCGTTATTCAATGGGACTATGCTTCCCGTGCCACGTCAATAATCCAGGGACGAATGGTTTGGAACATTCCGGGCTCCAGACACATAATGCGGAGATCAAGGGGTAACACACAAATAAGGAAGGTCCCGTGATAAATGTGATAAAGAGAAAAGCGGTTGTGTTACAGCATCGGGCACGATATGTATAGTACATGTACATCACCGTCTCACTGTACAATCTCACCTTGATCCACCTAGCTCTGTTACAAACTTCCTAATAATATCTCTCGCTTCAACTCCAGAGGAAACCAAGACGCCTCCAGCCCTTCATGGGAGGATCGGGGTGCTCCGGATTGTCTTTGGCAATCTGGATGAAATCTTTGATCGGCATTTCATCTAGCCTCACGAGCTTCGTCTTCTTCGCAAATTTATACCCAAAGTAGAGGATCTGAATTCTTGTAAGGTACCGCAGTGATCTGAATGTACGGCAAACTCACGAAGATGAGAGGAATATTGAAATAGGCGCCGACGAAGCCCTGTGCGTCCCAGTTTCCCGTTATGAACACAGAAAAGCCACCGGTGAGGAGGATGATGGAGAACATGACGGCTGAGATCCAGGCTGCATATGGCTGGAAGGGAGCAGCCCACGGAAGCTCAGCGTGGCGGTCGATACCTTGTGCCTTGCAGCCATAGTAGAAACGAAGATACACGGTGCAAATGACAATCCAAAGAACAAGGGCAGCGGAGCCGACAAGATCCTGGAACCAGCTAAATACTGTGGAGGCGTTGTCGGACACGGTCATATATCCTAGGGCAAGGAAAGCGCCAATGCTGCACACTGCAATATATGGAACACCAAAGCGATTCACTCTTTTGAAGAAAGCAGGTGCGTGGCCTTCAACAGCCAGGCCGTAAAGAGCACGAGAGCCACCGAGCATGCCGGAATTGCCGGAGGACCAAGCCGAGGTCAATACGACCGCGTTGATGATATGTGGAAGGACCTTGATACCGGCGCGGTTCGCGGCAATGACGAACGGGGAACGCGCCGCACCAGCACCGCCCTTGAGAAGGTTGGGATCGTTCGACGGAACAATCATCGAGACGATAAGGAGCGAGAAGACATAGAACAGAAGCACACGGAAAAAGATGCGCTTCGCGGCCCTGGGAATAGCATGACGAGGATTGCGAGTCTCGGCTGCGGCGACGGAGATACCCTCGACACCGGCATAGGCATAAGCCGCATTGGAGAAAGTCGTCCAGAATCCAAGGAACTGGCCCAAAGAGCCCGGTATGCCGAGGTATTGGACGAGTGGACCGGGGTTCTGCCAGTAGTAGAAGCCAATGCGGACATGGTCCGGCCCTCCACCAAGGTCGACGACGAGTCCCTATCACAATCGGGCGTGAGATGCTGCTCGATAGAAAGACATCGTACATACCATGATAGTCAGACCAATGATAAGCATGATCTTCAGTATCGCAAAGGTGAATTCGAGCTCGCCATAGACACGCACGAAGAACAGATTGGAGATGAATAAGAGCGCACCAAGAATGGTGATCCAGACGGCGTTGTTGACCGCAGTTGTCCAGAAAGTGATGATGACAGCGGCCGCGGTAATCTCTGGGGAGCAGTCTCAGAATACGGGGTAGACGGATTGTGGCAATTGATTCGACTTACCGGCGGGAAGACTAATCAGAGTAGAATATACGGTATTCCAGCCTTGGGCAAACGAGAGGGCGGGATCGAAGAAGTAATGCGCATGGCGGACGATACCACCAGAGAGAGGCACAAGGGCACTCATCTCAGCGATAGACAGAACGACGCCAGCAACTAGAATGCCAACGAACAGGTAGCCCATGAAGGCACCCGCCGGGCCACCTTGCACGATAGCACTTCCAGAACCGAGGAACAGACCCTGGTTGGCGGGTCAGTGCTGAGTTCTAATGAACCACGAGACTTCTCACAGTTCCGATTGTGCCAGCAAGGGCAATCATCTGGATGTGGCGCTGCTTGAGACCACGCTTCAGGTCCTTCTTCTCCTCGAACTCGACGATATCGCCTTCGTCTGCAACTTCGAAGGCCATATGCATGGAGATAGGGGCCTTGGCCAGGCCCTTCTCATCAGCAAGCTCGCCTTCGACATCATTCTCATTCGGTGGCTTCTCGATGGGATAGGAAGACATGAGGGGAGAGCAACAGCAATAGCCTACACCATAGAAGTCCTTTACTCGACGTTTTAAGTCTCCCGCGACCACGAACCAGGGAAGTTCGGCTTGTCAGCGGCATGACTGTTGATGATACAGATGTACATCATATCGCGTCAGTGCCTTGAAGAAGCATGGCGATCGACTTGTTCCATGTGGTGCAGTTATTGCTCCTACCTGTAATTGGAGATAACACGAACCAAGACGAACAAGGGGATAACAATAGAAGAAGCCGGGAAATAAATGACACCGCAGACGTCGTCGATAGCCCCGAGTTTTGATGAGCGAGGCTGGTCTGAGTGGCATTTTCGCCACAAATAGCGTGGGATATCATCCCGGGAAAGAATATAAGACCTCAGAAGAAGAATGATGTTGTACGTGGTCTGAGAACAGACATATTAATGCCATCACGATTTTAAATTGAATATGCACCTACCAGCATCTACGACTGCTCCCGACTTATCAGGGTTGTTCCCGCGGCGTCCCGCTCCATTCTTGACGAAGGTCGTACTCCTTGGCAGTGCATGGCAATTCAGTGTTGTCTTCTCCGGTTATCATCTAAAGGGCACGTTATCATTCGCTTATATCGCGAGTCCCCTGGTATAGCCACTGCGTAGTCCGTGAAACCGACCGCCGAGTCGGGAACATTGAGCTGGGTTGGCCATAGGATTGCACGGGGTACAAGGATAGCAATTATTCACCATGTTCTTCATCAAAGTCACTTGAATTTTCGTTGATAAGCTTAATCAACAGAACATTGCGCGCTGCAGACGATGCGGTGAACAGATGCTTGTTTGTTTGCATTACCAGCACAGCCTAGAGGGAAAGAAACACCAAGTCAACGAGGGTTATCAGAGGTACATTGGACATTGGAGCACAGGACCAATACGATGATAGGCGTGCCGATATTTCCTTCCTCCTGGGTTTCAGAGTGAGTATCGTGTAAACCTTCTTGGAAACCCCACAGTTGTTATTGAGGGGCAAGTCAACGTAATTCAATTTTAGCCATGTCGCCGTTGACCGCCAGCATAATTCGACACAGTCAACAGAGATGCCGTGAGATACCCCGACCCGGGAGTAGGACGACGTCGCACGAGGAGATAAGGACTGTGGAGAGTCTAATCGATAACTCCTGGCCTTCGTGGGACCGGCGTTGCGATAGCCAGATGAGACCCTGACATCGGTCTCAATTGATGACGTCATCTTCCGTTTCACGCGGTTCTGACCCTTGAGATCGTCTGAGTCGAAATGCTGGCATCTTTGATAGAGGAAGATAGAAATATTGATCAATTACCCCCGGCCCGAGTGCACAGCAGAGTGTACCACAAATTACAGCATGCGTAAACAGCGGTAGAGGCATTCCGTTCTTGCAGTCCAGTCATGATCGAGCACCAACAGATGAGACACCAAGACATCCGACACGATCGCCTAGTCACGTGTAGGTGCATTGGTGTCTCGTAGGTTTGATCAGTAGGGAGTCAAAGCTGCTTGAGACAGGTCTGCTGGATGATATAAAGAGCATGGATCGTCAAGATTTGTCATGTTAGCAATCCTCTGTAGCACTGTTCGCGGCGGGCGCAGGATCCGGGCAGAGGGGACAGGATGGAGGTCCAACGAGGAGAGATGTAAATGCAATACATCTTTGAGAGCGTCCACGACACGAGGAGATGGACAACAAGAGAGAGATGAACAATGACTTGCCGCGTTTGAGACGGATACCTGCAGCATCAAAGTCCGTCCGATGAACGTGCCCGCGCCTCGACCGCAAGGGTAAAGAGCACTCGACATTAACGCTTTTTCAATCAAGCGTACGTCCATCCCATGTCTAAGGCACCGACACAGAGAGGGTAACATCTGTACGCAGACCATATGCGGACATTATGCCCAGCACATATATCTGCCCAATCGAACACGTCTCCCCTTCCGTTATGTCTCAAGTAAATGGTGGCAAGGTTGGGATAAAGGGTGCTTTTGTCTCCCAGCAGTGCTCTCACAACAGCCTCCCCAAGGTTTTCCTCCACTTTCCACCTATCCTCCACGAGAATGAGCTCCGATAAGAGTTCATGTGAGGCGGCGCCTATCGGAAAGACGGGAAGTTTGGTGGATAAAGGGACGCTGAGTGTGGTAAGATGGGGGAGTAGCTTCAGGATAGTCGTCATTCGGATGGGGGTGCCTGGGGGAGAAGCAGTTTTTCCAGTGATGTTTCGGCAATTTCGGCCGTGGGGTAGGCGGCTACAGGAAGTGTGATAGATAGCTCGCGGAGGCACAGTATCACCCATCCATTCAGATGGGCAGCCGGCAGATATTGGAGGCGAGCATTGTCAATAGACATGTTTTCCGCATCCAGCTGGTTGCCGTCGACGTATTGATCATACCAACCGCATTCTTCATCAAATTCGTCGTCATCCCCCATGGGATAGTGCAGGAGAGCAAGCGCTCGCAATCGTGGCATTGTCACGGCGCAGTCTCGGTCGGACTGTACCACCAAGTCTGCCATGGACATTTTCTCTCCCTCGGATCGAAAAGGTTGACCGACCCCAGTAAGGACGCATGCTTCCAATGCGCTCAGCCGCGTGAGGAATAGAGCTAGGTCGTCTGGGTGTATCTGGAGCGTCGTCAGGAGATCGAGTCGTTTCAGCGTAGCACCCCAGACGGTCACAATTTTTTGCAGTAGTCGTGCAGATATCGAATAGCTCGTTGGTATTAGACCTGGCCGGTGTGAGGCAGGGCGGCGGCCATGTTGCAGCACGAAATATCTCGAGCAGAACCTCGTTAGGGAGAGTGTCCCAAGGACGAAACTGTAAGAACATATGTCAGAGAATTGTAGGTGAATATGGACGCTTCAGGCATACCGATGGAGCACTTCCTCTGGTAGCCATGGGCCAAGTGGACGTCCCTGGACAACGTAGTTGGACCCCCCCGTTGAGTCGTTGCTTCCGTTTTGACGAAAGCGGTAATTTCGTCCATTTCGCACTTCGGGTCAGGTGATTCTCCTCTGCTCCTTCTCGGCAACCTGTGCGTGCCGTTTTCCTGCGCTTTTCTCTTGGTGTGTGTCTTTTCGTTGAAAATGGCTTATACATCCTTCTACTGCAGCTCGTTATGGATCAACTCGTTTGTGGATCAATCACCAATATGTCTGGCACTGGGGCGCTTGACCGCATTGCCTCTCTCTACGGAACTCTCGCTATGTACGGTCTTCATTGCCCCGGCGGTGCTGGGCCCACCGACAACGACGATGACAACGTGACGAAGAACTCTACAATTAATCGCTCGTCTCTTACGCTCTTTTCACCATCACTCATTGTTCAACGTTCTCTTTACTTTGCTACTCACAATACACGGCCATACTACGCTTCGCACAATTGACATTTGTAACGATAACATTACATACGTAGCATTATGTACTAGCTCTAACAATGAAAAGTCATGATCGTGACCCCTCTCCCCGTTGCCCAGGCTGCGCGGAGCGGTTCTCTATTGTGCACAGAGGACACGTGCACGTGAAATCTGCCCGATAAACGTGCGCGCGCGCCTCGACCCTGTTCGTGAACAGTCTTTTGACGCGTCACTATGTGCTGTGCCTCCTATAGGCGTTCTCACCTTTCTTTCTCTCTGAAGGAGGGCGACCTGCTTGTATTATTGGGAGGCTAGAGCGTCGCTATTGGAAGCCCTGCTTTCTGAATTCCTTTTGTGAAGAAGAAAAGCAGCTGTCAACGCTACTCGTGCCGAATCGCGTCTTGTGTTGTTCGGCATAAGATGCGACCAGCCCTATTCGGCATTTTGGCCTTTGCAGCTCCTCTAGGACTTGCACTTGATCTTCGAAGTCAAGATCAAACCCCGTTTGTTTTGCCTCAAAGCGGCTATGTGCATGTAAGCAAGTTCTAAGTCAAAGACTCGAACCAAGAGCATACTGAACCTCTGATCAGGCGCCTATGAACCATGGCCCGGAATTAGATATCAACGCCCCTAACCGGGGTCCTCTAGATCCGCCGAAGATTTCTTGTCTGGATTGCAAGCTGATCCTTCAAACTCTCAAGGTGGGTAAAGACCATAAACTATCAAGGTACCCTAACATCTGGGTCGCTTATCTAGACAGCAAACGCCATCTCACCTGCAGCGGCGAGAGCCGTCGCTAGGACTATATGCCCTCGATATGGAATCGAAAAGGACGTTTGTGAAGGCACAATCGATTTGTATGGACCACATATTGCAGAGATCCTGCCGCAGATCGAACCGTTCGGCTACTCCGGTACTCTTGGGTGCGCCACTATCGTCCATGCTTGCCCATACCCCGAGTCGAAGTCCACTGAGGAGATCACCCTTCCTCCGCTGCCGGAGAAGTCCCCCTCGCCGAAGGAGAGGAATTCGACCCTCGAGCCGCTGACCATCGTCCACCTCTCCGACTGGCATGTCGACCCCAAGTACATCCCCGGCTCTGAAGTGCATTGTACGAAGCCCCTTTGTTGCCGCGGATGGAACGAGACCTCCAACGGAGAGCGCATCGAAGCTTCTGTTCCCGCTCCCAGCTGGGGCGCGTATACGTGCGATGCGCCGCAGAAGCTGCTGGTTCACATGCTCGAGCAGGTCGAGCGGCTGCTTGGCAAGAAACCTGACTTCGCTATCTTTACCGGGGATGTACCTCCGCACGATGTTTGGGAGACTACGCAGTACAACACGACCGTCACAGAGACGGTTGCCTTCAATACCATGCGGCAGATTCTGGGAGTGCCGATATTCCCCACGATCGGCAACCACGAGACGAGCCCGAGCGACCTCTTCCAGCCTGCGAGTATCGTGGACCCACCTGACAACCAGTGGCTGTTCGATAACCTAACGGCGAAGAGCTGGTTCGGCTGGCTCGGGAACGAGGAGCTCGAGTATGCCAGGACCCATCGAGGGCGGTATACCACTAGGCCTATGGAAGGCCTGAAGATCATCAGTGTCAATACGTGCGTTCTGAACACGCTGGTGCCGCATCCCGATGTTGACAAACTATGTAGGAACGACTGCTACGCGCAGAACTACTGGCTCTTCGCCGACACCTCGAAGCTCGATCCTAACGGGCAGCTCGCATGGCTCGCCGAAGAACTGGCCGACTCGGAAGAACAAGGCGAGCGCGTGTGGATCATCACGCATATCCCGCCAGGCGTGCCGGACTGTTTCCGTAGCTGGAGCGAAGTGCATCATCAGATTGTACAACGGTACTGGCGGACCATCGTCGGCGTGTTCTCTGGTCACACGCATAGGTGGGCTACAACGCGTCACTTCTTCACATGATCTCATTCATCTCGACACAGGGACGAGATCAAGCTCTTCTACGCAAACGATACCAAGACCATCTCCTCCGCCATCGGCGTAAACTGGATCGGCCCCTCCGTCACCCCATTCACGCAACTCAACCCCGGCTGGCGAGCATACACCGTCGACCCGCAAACATTCGAGATCCTCGACTCGCGCACGTTCGTCACTGACCTCTCGCTCGCTTCGGAGCTGGACGAGAAGGGCACTGAACCGGTTTGGGAAGAGGCGTATGGGGCTCGCGAGTATTTCCCCGACTGGCCGGGAGATTCTCCCCTGAACGCGACATTCTGGGCTGAAGTAGTGGCCAGGATGGAGCGGGAGGAGGCAGTCTTCAGGAAGTACTTTTCCCGCCGAGGAAAAGGAGGCCCGAGCGGACAGGTAGAGTGCGACGAGCAGTGTAAGCAGCAGATTATCGCTGGTATCAGGGCAGGGAAGAGCGGGGATGTGAGTGTCAAACTTGGCAGGGAGGAGGTATGGGCAAGGGATTTGTGTGGTGTGCATTCGCATCACTGACTGAGATAATTGGAAGGATGGGTTGAAGGGTTGAGACTGTACTTATAGGCGCTTATGCTGTCATGCATTAATATTGTTCATTGTCGTCATATCCTCACGTGAAAGCATGCTTCATCACACGAGCTGAACGTGATCATCCAGGGACCAAGATATAGGAAACATCATGCCCATACAGATTATTCATTTTCTATCCATACAGGGGGCCCAAACACAAATCTTCCTTCATTCATATTCAGTTACACGTCTCATATCTTCTCCGGGGCGGGGGCGCCAATGGGCTCAGCAGCAGGGACAGGAGCAGTAGGCGGGGTCTGGGAAGCCTTGTGCGTCTCGGAGATCCGCTTTGCCTCTTCGTGGATATCGAGAACTTGCTTGGAGGTGGTGGTGTAGAACTCGTGCACCTTCTTCCCCCACGGGCTGCTGATTGCCTTGGTGTAGTAGTCGGTCGCCTGCCTAGTCAGGGCGTGCTTCTCGTCCACTTCCCGAGCCCTGGCAGCGCCCGCATCGACATAGGACTGCACGTGGCCGGAAATGGTCTTCTCGTGTCCGACAAGGCGCTCGCCGAGGTTGTGGTCGAGGGAGTTGAGATAGGCAATGAAGTGGTGGGAGATACCTTGCTTGGCTGTTACAACCTGTTAGACACGTTATTCGTTTCATGAAGAAGGGCAAAAACTGACCATCAATGTCGATCGCGCGCTGGAGGATCTGGTCGCTAAGGATGTACCCCTTTGCCAAGTACTCGGCCGCGATACCCGCGCGAGGCTTGTCTTCCTGTTGGGGCGTGTGTATCTCAACGGGCGCAGTGGGGTGCTCGACAGGATCCTCGTGCACCTGGTCGGACTGGACAGAGATGTGCTCCCCGTCCAGCGTCCCGCCGTTAAGCATCAACGCGGTCTTGGCAGCGGAGACCTTCTCGAAGGAGATCTTGGCCGTCTTCTCCTCCTTCTCGATGGCGGTGATTCTGAGGGAGAAGGGTCAGGGCGGCTCATCGCTGTGATAGGATGGGGTACGTACTTGCCACAGAAGGAGAAGAAATCGTGCAGCGCCTGCTCGGTGGTCGTGGGCGAGAGGTTCCCAACCTGCATACATCGAGCCTATCAGTACCTCTCGGTGTGTGATACGATAAGAACTCACGTTAACAGAGAAAGTAGACATGTTTAGATTTTGTGGTAGGAGAGATGGGAAACAGCAGGAGGATAAAAGTACGTTCAAGTGGTGGAACGGAGGAGAAGAGTGTCGAGGATGGACTGGCTATAAGTAGTCTGGAAGGCGCAGTGACGGGCCCAGAGCGGGGACCCCGTTAAACGCCCCAAGAATGGGCCCCCGGAAGAAAGGGAAACGGCGGGAGAGCGCGGGAGCAATTTTCCGCTCATCGGACCCTGACGTCATCTTCCACCATAATCAATTCGCATGTGAACATTGACCCTCACCGGTTGGAAGGGCACGGAGCAAGCAACAACAAACAATGTTGGAACATGTGTACCGGCCATAGCTGGGAATACCGTTACCTTTCCTGCTTTCTCGCATGTTCCGCCCTACCACTTTCCGCAGGTGGAGCGGAGGGCGGATACCGGACTTTGGATTTTGGGCTTTGGAGGCCGGGGGGCGCATTGGACTGCACTGCTAATGCACATGATTTCTACGGTAGGGACCCTATTTCCCGGTTCAGAAAGTACCGACGGTGCTGTGACCGGCGGCCTCATCACGCGTGCGCCTGACACGCAATAAACAGTATGGATTTTTTCCAACTTCGTCCTTTTCGCAGAAGTACCACATCAAGGGACTATCGGAAAAAGGCTGAAGACGACGGACAACGAACGACGTTTTGTCACGCTACAACAGAAAACCAACGAAAAGGCGGTGGGGTGCGCGATCGCAAAGCCAAGAGCAAAGCAAGATAGAGGACGTGAATTTTGGACCGGCTTACGCGGTGGGTATAAGATGGGGAACGGAGAGTCAATATAAGGTATTGCGAAGGAGGTTGAAGAAGTGAGTTTAAAGTCAATTCGAGATAAACCTCGTGCCCAGAGAAAAAGCCAAGCGGGAGAAGGGGAGGGGTGCAGTCGGTATGAAGAAAGGGGGTCACCAAGTGGAAGATGGAACTACCAGTTCAAACTCGATTGACGCAGGATCGGCTGAGAGATCTGGCTGATCGTCACTGGGCTCGTGCGGTGAGCGCCGCGCTGCTGCGACTGGTACTCGTGCAGCGGGTCCACGGCGCGTGTCGCTGCTGGGTCCATATACCCGCGAAGCGAGTCCTCAGCGAAGAAGAAGGACCGACGACGTTCTTGCATCATGTCCGGGCTGGGCGAGTTACGCTCGGGCACATAGGCGGCCGCCACGCCAATGCCTGCACCGCCAATGGGTGAGATGGCGCTCGAGGCGGGGGACATGGCAAGCTGCTGATGTGCGCGCTCTTGTCGCCGCTTGTACCACCTCCGGGCAAAGTACAGGGCTGCGAGAAGGAGGATTCCACCGACGGCCGTGACGACACCGATGATGGCGTCTCTGCGCTGATTGTTGCTGGTCGTTGAAGAACCGCTGGCTGCCAGGCTACCCGAGGAAGGCGCAGTAGCCAGTGCGGTCACCGGGAAGGCAGGATCGATGAACTCTGAGAGCTGGTGCGCCGTGCCCGTGGAGGAATAGTACAGCGGTGAGTTCTTCGTCTGTACCTGGGCCTGGAGGTACGGTACATACGCATCCGGAATCTGGGCAAGGTAGACCGTGAGAAGCTCGTTGATGTCTCCATCATAGTTCGCCGGCTGGTACGCTTCGAGAGAGACTGTCTGTACGTCGTTCGTATCGATCCCGAGGGCGTTAGCGAGCAGCACAGGACAGAAAGCGAACAGCTGGCTGGCAGACTCGACATTGTTGACCACGAAAACCCAGTTAAGTTGGGGAGCAAACAAGATCGAGATGAGCGTCGTGCCCGCCGGTGTCGACCCTGCAGCCACAGCTCCCGAGACACTGTTCTGGCTACCAGAGCTGGTAGGGGGTAGGATCTTCGCTGGGATGGCGCTGGGGAATGGGCTTGCTGCGGGTGTACCGAACGTCTGGGTGAGCGTGGTGGGGAGAACGTCTGGGTTCGTCTGCGTAGGCGAGGAGCTATCGGAGGACACAGAGTTGGAAGAGAACAAGAGCGAGCTGGCGGTCAGAAGGCCGGAGAACTCGGACAGAGGCGCATCTTGGGCAGTGCTGATAGTCGTAGGCTGGGAGACAGAAACAACAAGACTCGTGCCGGGGAAGATACTACCTAGCGCGGGAGAGAAGGACGGCGTCGGGCTCGCAGAGGTCACCGAAGCCGTCGATGGGCCCAGACCGGGAGCAGTGAACGTTGCCGGAGCAGAGGTGTTCCCCGCTCCAAAGTTGATCGACCCTGTGTTAATAGCAGTGGTCGTGGTCGGCGAGCCAAGAAGGATGCTCGAAATCTCGTTGATCGCACTGGTAGCATCGTTGATCGCGCTGGAGAACTGACTAATCACTGTGCTGATGGCGTTGTCCGAGCCTGTGTCCGAGCTTGAGGCTGGCGGATCGGGTATGCTGGTAGGGTTCGCAGGGGGGGCCGTAGTCGTGCCGTTAAGGATGTTGCCCACGTCGGAGGTAACGATGCTCACGATAGAGGAAAGCCCGCAACCGAAGCCGCCAAGGACCGCGCAGGGATCAGTCGCTGTCGCAGGCGGCGCAGGGCTAGTAGTAGGTGGCGGAGCATCCGTAACTACCGAAGTAGGCGGGTCCGTAGCGACTGAAGTAGGTGGGTCCGTAGCGACCGATGTAGGCGGGGCCGGCGGGTCCGTGCTCGTGGTCCCATTGCCCAGGAGGTCCGAGGTGACCTGGCTGACGATGGAAGACAGGCCGCACAGCGCACCCGGGAGTAAGCCGTCACACGAGTCTGTGCTGGGAGCGATTGCAGTCGTGGGCGGAGGCGGGGGTGCAGTCAACGTCGGGGTGCTCGGGTCCGTTGTCGGGGGAGGAGCTGCAGTCACCGTCGGGGTGCTCGTGTCCGATGTCGGGGGAGGAGCGGATGCGACGTCAGTTGGCGAAGTGGGAATGTCCGCAGTAGTAGTCGGGGCACCTCCGAGAAGTATGCTCGTCGCGCCGTTACCTATATCCGAAAGGCCAGTGCCGAGGCCTCCGGTGAGTGAAGACAGGCCGCATCCAAGTTCGCCAACCACACCGTCACAGCTGTCTGCCGTGCTCGTCGGGGAGGAAGGCGCGGTCGTTGTTGGCGGTGGGTCCGGTGCTGTTGTAGGCGGGTCCGGTGCTGTTGTAGGAGGCGAGTCCGGTGTTGTCGTAGGAGGCGGGTCCGGTGCTGTTGTAAGAGGCGTGTCCGGTGTTATCGTAGGAGGCGCAGAGGCAGTATCGGTAGGCGAGGTGGGTGAGCTGCTATCCGTCGCAGTCGTCGGCGCAGCGGTGGTGGTGGGGATATTAGTGGTGCTAGTAGGGTTGTTCCCCAAGATGGCGCCGGCGTCCGAAGTGATCACGCCAACGATATTGCTCACCGCTGTGCCTGCGCCTCCACCAAGGGAGGAGAGCCCACAGCCAAGTGCACCAAGCACGCCATTGCAGCTGTCGTCTGTCGCCGAAGTAGGCGCAGCGGTCGTGCCCGGATCAGCAGTCGATGGTGGGTTGGTGGTGCTAGGGGAGGAAGAGTCGGTGGAGGGTGTTGACGTGCCCGAATCGGTGGATGACGTGGGCGAGCTCGTATCACTTGAAGAGGTAGGCGAGCTCGTATCACTTGAAGAGGTAGGCGAGCTCGTATCACTTGAAGAGGTAGGTGAGCTCGTATCACTTGAAGAGGTAGGTGGGCTCGTATCACTGGAAGAGGTAGGCGAGCTCGTATCACTTGAAGAGGTGGGCGAGCTCGTATCACTTGAAGAGGTAGGCGACGTCGTGTCCCTCGAAGTAGCGGACGGAGTATCCGTTGTTGAAGCAGGAGTCGACGTGCCCGAGTTGGTACCCGTGCTCGTACTTGTGCCCGTCGACGTGCCCGAATCAGACGAACTCCCATTCCCGTCTCCCAACACGTCTGCGACCGTGTCTCCCAAACCTCCGAGGACGTCTCCGACCGCTGGGTATTGCGTCAGAAAGCCGTCGTTAAGAAGGAAGCGGACGCACTCTGGTCCAAGTCTCCGAGGAGATCACGTTTCTCCCACGACTGTAAGCGCCGCTTGATGTTGGCCAAGTCGTTTCCAACATCCTCGCCCAAGTCTGCGACCGTCTTTCCCAAATCTCCCAACAGGCCTCCGACCACTGTGCGGTATCAGAATCCATCCCTTCACACTGATGGGGAGACGTACCCTGTCCTAACCCATCCAACACATCCCTTCTCTCCTCCCTCGCATAGCTAGCGCTCGTAGGTCCTTCCCTGGTGTGGAGCGAGCGCCGTGCGTGGGAGTGGGTGAAACTCGAATGGGTGCTATGTGCGTGTCCACGTATCGGGTGAGAGCAGAGGAGTGCGAGCAGGAAGAGCGGTGATAGTGAGAGCATCGTTGACTGGGTCGTGGGGCGTCGTTAGGTTGCAGGTTGCTGGCAGGTGGGCTGATACGAGATCGAGATGGAAATGAAGTCAGAGGGTTTAGTAAGAAGAGGTAATGAGCGACTGAGTGAGATCGGGGCCGTCAAGGCTGGTATAGCAGAGATGAA